CCCCCCCCCACTCTATCCATGGTGTGAGTGTGATCACAATCAATCAATAGATCCAAACACACACACACATATATCACCCCCTTTAACAATCAGTTATTTCTAGCATTGTTATTTGATCAAACATACCCCAAGACTCAGTTCATAGCCATCATCTGATCATATAATATTGATCAATCAATATCGAGGCAGCTGATACAATCACACACCATCACACACCACCTTTTAATTCAAATTAATGTGCACCATTCCAGTTTCCAGCTCACTCCCTCCTTAATCAATCAATCAATCATTGATACTAACATCATTTCATTCATTCAATCAATCAATCAATCAATCAGTCAATCAATTATATATATTTCTCAGATTTTAATAATTTATTCAAACTATAACAATAATAATGAGCCAAGAAGAATTGGATGCTCGTGAGGAGGCTCGTTTGAGCCGTGCATTGGCTGGAAAGGTTCCAAGCCAGAGCCAGACCAAGTCTAATGGAAGAGTACAATCATGGGCTCCTGTGGTAACAAAGCCAGTTGCCACATTGCCAGTGAACTACTCGGGCACTGCCACTGGAGGTGGTGTGGACACCGCCTCACCCTATGCCAACAACGTCAACGTTCCAATATCCGATGAGAAGCTACGCCAAGAGCAAGCACGTCTAAAGAAGTGGGGTTTGGACTCTGCCACCAACGGTGCCACCAATGGATCATCAGTGGACCATTCTCACTCTTCAAACGAGTCCACACCACTCGTGTCGCCAAGCACTCATTCTCAGCATGTTGACTCGACACCCATCGTCTCAAACATCGATGGCACAACGAACGAGGATAAGATACGTCAGGAGCAGGCTAGACTTAAGAGATGGGGATTCAACATTGCAGCGCCAACACCAACACCAACCAGCAGCATCTACCCCAATGGTACAACATCAAACACAAGCTCAAACTCCAGCTCGATCGTGTCCCCACCAGCAGCCTCATCAGTACCAGCGTCACCATTCGCCAATGGACAAGCCAACCACGTGGCCTCGCAATATGGACTTGATGTCCAGGTCGTGCTGCCCTACCTGACCAGGATCATATCGGCGGGCAAGTCTGTCAAGTTAATCCTCCACAAGAAGTCATCCAACCACGACGTCGCCATAGCCATTATGCTCGATCTTGTCAAGGAGTCTGCAGAGTTTGGTCTGCAGCTGCCCAACGACCTACCCATTTCCTTTGATATCTCTCAAGCCTCTGCTCGTCTAGCTGTTGCCGTCAATGAGCTGGTCAATGCCGGAGCACATCAAGCCGACCAAATCAAGATCCAACACCTCTACGAAGACATCCAAGCACAAGTTGGACTGCTCTACCTAGCTGTCACTGCAAACTAAGTCGAGTGTGTGCCACATCCATACAATCAATGAAATCAATCAATCAATCAATCAATCAAACATTGTGCATAAACTGTAAAGATAACAAATAAATTATTATTATTTATTAAGTCCACTCCATCTTGTATCAGAATCGACGAGGTTGCCGACTTGAGGAGCCACAAGTAGTACTACTACACCACCTGTCAAGTCGTCAATAGTATTGTCTAAAGACCTTTTAGTTAATGATGATTGATCCATTTGACTATGGGATGCTGTGGATATGTTGTTAGTCATTATATTACTACAACGTTGTAGCCTATAACATAAAAGAATAATGAAGTTGACTATTTGTGTCCTCCTGGTGCTCATTGCTTGTCCTTTGCTGCTGGACATCTTTCAAACTGTCAATTCAAAGATGGTGAATCTATATACGACTTCTCACCCATGTATGTATTATGATTGATTGATCGATTGATCTATTAATATTGATTGAATGATTGATTGACACTCATATCTACATCATCATCATAATAGGCACAACAACTACACCCAGTATTCCTACACCAACACATCCAAAACCAGCACAGTATGTATTTTATAAGCAATGATTATGATGATGATCATCCCTCAATCTAATGGATTGGACATTGTATCACTAACATTCAATCAATCAAACATAATATAGTACTACTTCAACATTTGTGGAACTGCACAGATCTGTACACAGAGGGCCAACAACATTGACTCTGCTGCTTGCCAAATGACTGGCACCAACTACTTTGACTGTGGTCATTTGAAGACTGCCACATGGAGGGGATTATGTATGTTTAATGAATCAATCATTCGTTCAATCAATCAATCACTCAATCAATCAACTAACAATATATAATACTACAACAGTAAACGGCGTAAGCGGTGCTCAGGTCACTTACAAGGAAGGGTGCTGCTCCAAGTCAATCAGACAAACTACTCTCATTCTGCAGTGCAGTACGAGAGAAACCACTGTCGTTTCGGCCGGAGAGATTCAACCATGCGTCTACGCCATCACTGTTAACAGCAAGCTCGCTTGCCCAACCAACGGTACCATGTACGATTAAATAAGTGGAACAATGAATGCATTCCTTGGATCGAGATGGAAATGGTTGGTCTAGGGAAGTTGTTGGCAACGATGTTATTTTGATTAACTAATGATACAGAGAGAGGGCTTTGGTTTGGACCTCTCTTCCAATAAGGCCTTGACACCATTGACGAGAATGTCTTTCAAATGATCAAGTTGGAGATCTGAACACTCCAATATTCCGCCATAAATGATTCCTTTGAACTTAATGGCAGATCGTTCGGTATTGACAATATAATCATTCTGCAGTGTTGGACCAAGAATGTTTGTTGGACATCCTACGATATAGAATAGAGGCTTCTTACTAACGTAATGTACGACTCGAGGATAATACTTTGTGAGGTAAATGTAAATATCTCATGTTTGGTCTGTTGCTTGCATCATCAGTGTATGAATGTGTTGGGTATGTTTGTTTGTTGTTACCTGTGTTATCATTGAATCCAAAGAGTGTCCCACCTGGGGATTGAAGCATAGAAGAATGATATCGGCATCGATTAGAGTGGATTGACACTTGGGATAGTAGTTATCAACTTGTGTCGTGTCGACCAATGTGATGTTGTGTATTGTATCATCCACTGTAAGCTTGTGACTCTGTTCACAGTATTCCATAGACCTCGTCTTTCCAATTTCTCCAATGATCACCACTTTGATTGGTGGCACTTCAAGTCCACTCATTGTTTTGTGATTGATATTATTATTACTATTCAACCAAATTGATCAAAAGAGTAGAGTGGTCCAAATTCAAACATTGTTCCACTTATTTAATTATATGGAGATTAACTAATAATACAGAGAGAGGGATTTGGTTTGGACCTCTCCTCGAGTAAGGTCTTGATACCTTGGATGAGAATGTCTTTGTAATGGTCAAGTTGGAGATCTGAACACTCCAAGGCACCACCATAAATGATTCCTTTGAACTTGTTGGCGGCTTGAACAGTAAAGTCAAAATAACGCTGCAGCTTAGGATCAATATAGTTTGTTGTAGGACAGCCTACGATATACAATAGAGGCTTCTTACTAACGTAATGTTCTACTCGAGGATAATACTTAGTGAGGTAAAGATAAACGACTCATGTTTGGTCAGCGTGCTGGCATCTTCAGTGTGTGCGTTTGTTTGTTGTTGTTACCTGTGTTAGCATTGAATCCAAAGAGTAGACCATCTGGGGATGGAAGAACAATAGAATGATATCGGCATCTCTGAGAGTAGATTGAGACTTGGGATGGTAGTTATCAATTTGTGTCGTGTCGACCAAGGTGATTTCGTGCACCTTATAATCTACGGTAAGCTTGTGACTCTGTTCAATGTATTCCATAGACCTCGGCTTTCCAATTGATCCAATGATCACCACTTTGATTGGTGGCACTTCAGGTCCACCCATTGAGTTGTGTATGATTGATTGATTGATTATAACTAGTCAACTTTCAATCAAAATGATCAAAAGTGTGGTCCACCAATCAACATAGATACGTCCGGAAAACATCAACTACTGGTGGCATCCACCTAGGTTGGAGTTACATTACAACATATATAATACTGGTACTATTTTATTCATTTGTGGTCGGTGGTGGAGACGACTGGAGTTGATCACCAATGTTGCTGCTGCTATTGTTGTTACTGTTGCTCGCAGCTGGAACCAGTGGCGGTGATGCCGTGACCATTCCTTCCTTGATACAATCACTAGAGATGAAGTAGGGCGACAGCGTTGACTTGAGCTGCTCCTTCACCGCCTCGGACGTCTCGGGTGAGAGTGTGATCGATTGGATCTTGATGTCGGATGACGCGATTGATTTACACGTGTCGTCCAGCATGAGTGAGAGCGACCACTCAAACTCATACTGCTCCTTGTTGTCGGTTGATCTGGACTTTTGTCTCTTGCGATGTCGCACAACAATGTTGTTTGTTTCGTTGCGCTCGACCTCGATGCGCCATCCACCCTGTGCGTCCATGAACTGGAGACTCTTGGCTATTTTCAGTGTCAGCTCAATGACCGCAGGCGCAATGATGGCCTGGTTGCAACACTTGAGCGCGTTGACCACCTTGCTCTCTGCTCCGACCACTTCCTCAAGATAGCGGAGCAGGTCGCGCTTCACATCCGCATCGCCAGGTGTCGTAAAGGGAATATATGTTTGATAGGACTTGTCCAGACGATCGAGATGCTCTGCCAGCGGTGTCTCGGGCGTGGGCACGTCCGAGTCGTTCAACATCAGCTTGGCCAGTGATTGCACCACTGCATGTATATCAGTCACCTTGCTTCCAGTGTTGATGGCCTGCTGGCCAATGGTGAAGAAGCAGGCCAGTCTGGGCAGGTCGATGCCAGTCGAAGTTTGTGCCAGTGGCTTGGCAAACGTCTTGGCGATGTTCTCCTGCCAGGTGACTTGGGCAAGGTCGTCCGCAGCGGGCACGGTGAAGCGCTTGTTCTTGGATTGGGGAGGAGGTTCGATCTTTAGCGACCACTCTGCCAACAGGTCCATGTTGGGTGCGTTCAACTCTTGGAACTGGAACAACAGCTTGGTGGCCTTGATCGGGTAGGCCCTCTGTTGCAGCTTCTGCATCTCAGATACCATTAAAAAGGTGTGGCGCAGCTTGTCTACATTGATATGTGCGCCATCCGCTGTCTTGGTTGGCATGGACGTGTCGAACTGTTGCAACAACGACTTGATCGTCGCAAAGTGTGGTACACATGGTGTGCCCAATGCGCCAACGATCTGTTGGTAGGAGTTGGCGTGAAGCTTGAGCCATGGCGACAGAAGATTATTGAGATTGTTCAGTTTGGTCACTGTGTCCTTGGGCACAGCATCCCATGAGGCCGTCAATCGCTTGATGTGATGGTTGTTCAGCGCGTTCAATATGGCGATTGCCACATTGAAGTTGCACAGGTCCGTGCAACAGATGGTAGCAACCTCCACCATGAGACTGATGGTCATCACTCTCTGTATCTTGTCCTCCACCTGTAGGATCTCGCCCATGGTCCATTGCGTCCATTCCGCCGAGCGCTTGATCGCCTTGGTGAGATTGGGTGACATGGGCGCGTCGACGCTGCCCTGCACCAAGCGCACCCAGTCGCTGGATCGAAGGTTGGCAAACACCTGGAAGTCGGCCAGTGTCGCTTGCTCAGCGATCTCTGTGGCAATGAGTGCCTGGTCCTTGCCCGACGTGCACATCAGAAGCAGGTTGTCGAATGAGCCACTGCCCTTTCTGCTGTGGAAGTGCTTGGGCACCTTGAGGATGTCTGAAAAGGCAAAGGCCTTGTTGGACAGACGGCTGCTAAGTGCTGCCTCGAGATGCGGGAAGCCCTTGAGGATCTTTTGCGACAGCTTCTTGTCCTCCCTGAGCTCGCGGTAGCAGTAGTCCACCCAGAGCTTGACGGCCTCGCTGATCTTCTCCTCCTTCTTGGAGGAACGCGTCTTCTTCCACTTCTTCTTGGACGACTCTATATGGTTCTCCTTGTAGAGCGCGATCAGCTTGTCCACCAGGTCGTTGGGCGTGATGAACAGGTTGTGCGTGACAAAGAACACCAGACTAAAGTAGGCGTCGCAGTGGTGGTAGAAGAGGTCGGTGGCCTTGTCCACCAGCTTGTCGATGGTTGCCTCGCTCACGAGCAGCTTGCCATCCTCGTTCTTGAATACAATGTCTGGGTCCTTGGCCTCGGTGAAGAGGTAGTCCAGGTTCTCAATGATGATTCGCAGGGACTCTTCGCGCAGCGCCATGTTGGAGTTGGCCAGCTTAGCGTCGGCTGGACGGAAGAAAGTCGGTCCAAACGTGCTGGCCAGGATGGTGATGGTCTGCGCCTTGTTGGTCGCCTTGTTCACGTACTTTTGTGTGAGGAACGTCACAAACAGCTGCAGGAAGTTCCTGCGCAGAATGGACAGTGACCAAATGAGCGATCGCAGATCCTGTAGCTTCACCTCGGGCTTGGTGATGTCGTGGATGTCCAGCAGATTGTTGTAGAACTTGGTGTTGAACAGTGGCTGTGGCAGCTCGGCAAAGAACATTCGTAGCAGCCCGCCTACTACACGTGGGCTGTTAATCTTGGAAAAGTCGATCTGGGTCTCGTCAGCTGAGGCGCGAACGCCCTTGACTATTGGGTCGAGATGTGCATCCTGGAAGATCATGGCCACATCAATAATATCAAAGTTGGTCAAGAACGTCAAAGCTGATGAGATAAACTGCGGCAGGCCATCATCGACTGCAAACAACTTGGTCAATCTGACTCTAAATACTCCTGTTGATTGATTGTTTGATTGGTGAGTGAGTGAGACTGAGGCCTTTGGATTGCGTACTCAATGATACATACTTGGAACAGACTCAATCTCTACAACATTCTTGATCTTTGATTCGTTGACTGGCGGAGCCTTTGTCGCATTGGTCTCGATTGTAGATGACTTTTTGGAGCCACTTGATGCTGATAATGAACGTTGCTTCTTCTCTTGCGTCTTTTGTGCCTTGTCCMAACTTCTTCTTGTCGCGTTTCTCCTGCTTGAGTCGCTCCTTCTCTGTCTTGTCCACCTTGGTCTTCTCCTTCTTTGGCTTCTTGTCCTTGCTTTCCTTTGGTGGTTTGTCAGAGGATGGAGGCGTTCCGCTGAGCTGCCCCGCGTCCGCCTTGTCCTTGGACGAGATGGACTTGGAGGCAGACTTGGGCAGGATCGATCGCTTTGGTGAGTTCTTGGGCGTGGTCTTGGGAGGCGTGATTGGCACGGCCGATGGATGGTTGACGTTGAGCGGCTCGGTCTGGTGGAACTGCATGCGAATGGGTGAGTCGGAGGGAAGCGTGTGTTGAGTTGGGTGGTGCAGGTCTGCGTGGGCTGCTGGCGGGACGGCCGCTGTGGTCTGAATGGTGGGTGTTTGATCGGACAGGTCGAAGCGTCCTTCAAGCTCCGAGACATTCTTTATCATGTCCTCGCTGTACTCATCGTCCGAGATCTCCTCTGCGCTGTCCAGATCACTGGACGACGAGTCCTCGACTGAGCCCGATGACGAGACATCGGCAGCCTGATCAAGTAGCACTGGTTGCATCATCTGATCGTCGTCCAACTTCACAGTCTGGACGGCATTCTTTAGTTGCTGTAGCTGATCATCGACAACAGATGGCGCATGGCCATCCTTTTGTGATTGATCATCGGATCTTGTCTCGGCCACTGTGCCCGTGGCTGTCTGTGGCGCCAGAGCATCCGATAATGATTGAGTGGATGTTGATGGCGAGGTGGATGTGGATGTTGATGTGGTGGTTGTTGTTGAAGTGGTGGATGGATGACGCGGCATTGACGCCTCGAGCGTGACACTTGTGCGGACATTAATGACGGACTTTCTGTAGTTGGACTTTGATTCAGAGTCGTCTTTGATCTCGATGGCCTTCTTCTTCCAAAAGTCAAAGGCATCGGTGACATTCTGCTCATCCCATTCGACCTGGCCCTTCTGTTCGTCCTCAGGGTCAGGAGGAGGTTTGAGCATTGTAAACTTCTTTGCCACTGGTGCACTTTTGCTAACGATCGCAGCATTCTTCTTCTCGACCGTCTTCCAAAACTGCATTGCAGAGAATGTCTCTGTATCTGCCATTCCTCTCTTTCTCTCTCTCTTTCACTCCTCTTCTCCTTTGTATATGTATGTATATATATATATGAATATGTATGTATGTATCTGCTGCTCCTCAAACTACTACTTTCTAGAAATGTACATTCAATCTAGTAGTGTCAGTCTTTCAAGTTCAATCAATCAAATCAATCAACAATCAAACATCAACTCACCTACAATGGGTATATCTCTGTCTGTCTATCTATTTGTTTAAACGAATGTTAAAAGTAGTACAGTGAATGACACTATCAATCAATCAAACACACAAACAAAGGTATACACACACTCACATACACAATACAAGTCAATCCAATAAACAATAATAATAATAAAGTGTTTTGATCAACTTGAATTCAAATAATATGATTGAGATGGGGTCGAGGGGTAAAAGTTCGATCAGGTGACCGAGAGATGAAGTCAATCGTATGTGTAAGTATGATTGGGGCTTTCATTAATCAAGTTGTTGAAGTAGTTAACTACCTTAAGGTTGTTGTTGTTGTGTTACATCTAATAATAGTCTAGACCGGGAAATTATTACTATTCTTTGCAAAATGCCATTGTTAAAATCTAATCAATCATATCTTATTTGAATAATGTTGTGTGTATAAAGACTATCTTAGACTCAAAAATTGACAATGACATCACCACCAATTGATTGATTGACATAATCATCCAAGTAGATAGGAGTCAGTCAAACATAACTTGTCCTTCTTGAAATTGACCAACCTTGAACATTGAACTTCTTCAAACAAACACCCCAAATATAATTCAGAACCTCACTCTTCATTGTGGTTTAATTTAACAATTCAACATTTATAACAAATAACTAAATATATATATATTTAAAACATATGATTGACTCGATAAAGGTCTTGTCGGGCACTGCCCATCCAGAGTTTTCCGAGCTCATCTGCAAGCATCTGCATGTTGAGCTTGGAAAGTGCACTTGCAACAAGTTCTCAAATGGAGAGACGGGAGTGCTTATACAGGAGTCAATTCGATCGCGAGATGTCTATATCGTACAGCCTACATGCTCTCCCAACGTCAACGATAATATAATGGAGTTGTTGGTGCTCATTGACGCGGTGCGTCGATCGTCCGCCAAGTCAATCACCGCCGTCATCCCATACTATGGATATGGCAAGCATAACCGCAAGGAGATGTCACGAGAGCCAATCACAGGCAAGCTAGTTGCCAACATGCTCGAGGTGGCCGGTGTCAATCGTGTGATCTCAATGGATTTGGAGGCCAGTCAGATACAGGGATTCTTCAACATACCCGTGGACAACCTGTATGCTGAGCCATTGATAGTCAAGTATATCGAGAAGAACATCAAGGGCGATCGTGTCGTAGTGTCGCCCTCTGTCGATGGTGTCAAGCGTGCCAAGCTCGTCTCTGACAAGTTGAACTGTGACCTCGTAATCCTCGATCGACAGGCCAAAGAAGAGAGCGACAATGACATGCTACTCGTTGGAGATGTAGTAGATAGAGTGGCAGTAATCATTGGAAGTGTTGCAGATACATGTGGTATGTTCAGATTGATTCATTCGTTCATTGATCAATCCACTCACTCCTTCATTCAATCAATCAACAGAGACATTGGCTTTGGCAGCTTCAGTGTTGAAGAGGCATGGAGCAACAAAGGTATATGCGTTGGTTTCACATGGCGAGCTCAGTGGCAACTCGATTGAAACATTGAACAACTCAGAGTTGGAGGAATTGGTCATCACAAACTCCATTCCAGTGAAGCATAAGCTGGAACAAAGCGCAAAGATCAAGGTAATCAATGTGGCGCCAATGTTCTCAGAGGCCATCAGGAGAATCGTCCATGGAGAGTCTGTAACAGCCACCTCATCCAAGTTTGTCATCCTCTAAGAGCAAGAGGAATAGGATGACCTCAATTGGATAGATCGATCACTCTGAGATGGCAATAGTCTCAACCCCTTCATTCATTCAATTAGTCAATGTCGCTGTGATGATGCCTTGGTTGTTGAGGATGAATAAACTTAATGTTGATAAAGATATTAATCAATGGAGGTGGCTAGGCTAGGCCTTGGCGCACTGTCCATCTTCCTCTGTTCTATATTTCTTCAAACAAGGTTCTTCTTCATCCATTGCGCTTGTAGTATTGTTGTTGTTGTTGTTGTTATCGTTCTCTGTTATATCTCCACCAATATTGTTGTCCTCTTCCAGTGGTCGTTTGGTTGGAGTTGTCGTCGTGGTAGTAGTCGCTGTGGTAGTGGTAGTTGTTGTATTATTAGTCGCGGATGTATTCTTTGTTGTTGTTGTCGCTGCTGGTGTCTTATTTGGTTTGTCGCCAACTGTAGTCTGATTGCTAACTGACAAGAAGTGCTTGTACTCTTCTTTCAGTCCCCATAGTTTACTACAAAGTTGATTGATTGTTAGCAAGTGCCGTCCGTGTTGAGACTAAGGCGTTGACATTATCCAACATACCAGAGTGTATCATAGTTCTTTGCACCAATTGTTCCTTTGCCTTCGATTGTCTTTTGTACCTCATTGCCCTGTACGATCTGCGTGACGACGTACTTGGTGTTGACGAATACATTGTCTGTCTTTAGTGCGTATCTGAGGTAATCCTTGACGACGTCTTCCATTGGTGCCTCAGGCCCAGGTCTGAACATTGAGATATTCTTGATGGCGCCTCTGGCCACCATGACAGAGTTGGCACGTGTCTTCTCCTTGATGGCCTTGCAATCGTCATAAGAGTACATGTCGCCATTGGCAATGATGGGCACTGTGAAGTTTGCATTGTCCATGATGTTGCGCAGACGATCTGGATGTGATGGATCGCGTGGTCGCTCAGGGATTGTTCTCATGTGTACTGCGATCGCCTTGACACCAGTCGATTCAATCATCTTCATCAAATCGATTGTAGCATTGTCATCGGCCAACAGTCTGATCTTGCATGTGACTGGCAATGGTAGATTACGAATGAGTGTTGTGAGGATCTATTGATGTTAAACATGATGACGATTGATGGTTAGTCAGCGCAGCTCTGGTGGGAGTGTTACCCTGCTCAATCAATCCCTCTTACATCTTTGATTGTGTCTGGCTTTGAGAGCAATGCTGCACCCATGCCACCTTGGATTGAGAAGAACTTGGGGCAACCCATGTTGATATCGATAGCACAGACATCATTCACTCTGTGTTCGCGAGACAAGTGTTAGTTACATGCTCGAGAATAGCTTGATTGATTGATTGATTACACCTACACTACTTGAGCAGCGGCCAAGGCAGTGACGGCTGAGGCAGTACCAAGCTGTAGCACGTTGTGAGTGTCTGCAGCACATGTCCTGTATGTGATTGTGTTGTCCTTTGATACAAAGTCCACGGTTCCAAGTTTATCTACAATGATGTGTAAGTTGGTGAAATCAAACAATGAGCACAACACAATACAGCATACCATTGACTATACGTTTGGTATGAGCTAGCTTTAGATCAACCAACTCTTCACTGTATGCTATATCACAACCGTATTGACGTGCCAGTAATCTCATTGGTAGTGTTCCAACACGTACCATTGGTGCCATAATCATCTTATCATAATAGTCCATTACAATACCGTTTGATTTAATGTTGACTCCATTCAAATGATCATCTGTCATTTCAGCTGTTGTTGTCGTATCCATTTAGTATAAGCAACAAATAAATAGTAACAATGTAATGTAAGTTCGTATTGTATATCTATATATTACAATAGTTGACGAATGAGAATAATGATTGATGACTGAATGGCATCGGTCGTTTATCTTCCCACAAAATTCTGTTTAGATTCCAAGACAAAAGCAAAGGGGGGTACCCCTTCACTTCTTTCAACCTTGCCCTCATTCCAATGAAGTAAACAAATACATAATACAACTTATAACTCCCTTTCTTCCTTTCTAGTATTGGATTGCTCTTTGATTATGAGTTCATTCATCGGACATTTAGGATGGTTCAACATTCATGACTCACACACAAGTGACAAATGCTAAAGACTATTCCTACTCTTTCTCTTTTGAAATGTTCATTAGAATGGTCGCGCTGGTGTCTGAAAGGGTAGGATTGGAATCAACGCAGTAGGTAGGTTCTAGAAGTTGTTCACCTGATATGTTGGGAATGAATGATTGAATGAATGATAAAGACCCTAGAGGGTCGGATCAATCCCCTACTACTGCCTACTAAACACCGAGAATAAACCCGAATTGGAATAGATTGATGTTGTTACATTTAGTGATGAACGTAATTGTTCATAAGAAAGTTCACAAGATGGAATGACCTTCAATTGTATTATTGGGCAATAACAGATAAACAGACAAAGACTATGTTTAAATTTATCCTCCACATCAATATAACGACATCTTAAATATTAGATAAACATCGTCAAAGGAGCACAATGCACCACTTGGTGCTGAAGCAATGTCGCGGTCAAAGCGTTTACCTCGCGTCAACAATTGCAAATTTTACGTGATCCTACATAACCAAACCTCAAAAATCGACCCATCAACTCCATGCCACATGTAAATCGGAATGCCCATTCACTACATCACAGTCACATCAGGTCCCCCAGGTCCTGGAAGGACATCATCACCCAACAAGTCAATGGTAAGTCCTATCCTATCCTACCTTCCATCCTTTCCAAAGGTCGGGTCTTCAACAATGATTTCATCAACCTCTTCCACCTCAAAGTGCTCATTATCCACATATTGTACTATTTCAATCCTGATGTAATAATAACCTTGTATCCCTACTTACCTTAATATTTAAAATGAATAATAATAATAATAATATATATTTGTTGTCCATGTTGTTGTTGTTGTTGTGCCTGCTGGCTACGACGACAACACCAGTTTCAGCTGGTCTCCCACCTCCCCAATGTCTATGTCTGAGAATGTTCACGGTAAACAGACTGGACTATATCGAGACGGATAGTTGCGACACGAGTAAACAATACAACTGCACAGCACCTCACAATCAATGTGATCCAAACTATGCCTTCACCTCCAACGATGGCTACAACAAACTATACGTTGGCGATTGTCCCAACTTGCCCTACGACGAAGACGAAGACGTCCACATCCTAGGCAGTGTCTGTTGTCAATGTGCCAAAGGCTACATCATGAACAATGTATGTGTACTTAGATCATTTATTAAAATTGATAAATCATTCATTGACCCAATATTGTAGCAAGCGGATTGTGTACTCCCAGTTGTAGATCCATGTCAGACTGCCAACTGCGCTGGTACTTGCCAGAACTCTGGCGGTACGGCAGTATGTTCTTGTGCCCCACCTTTGATACTTGGAACTGATTATAAGTCATGCTTCCAGAATGTTTGTTCCACTGCCAATGGTGGATGTCAACAAAGTTGCGAGAGTATTGATGGAAAGGCCAAGTGCACATGTGCCCAGTACTACTCATTGGCCGCCAACAACAAATCATGTATCCATGATCCAATCAACATCACAGCCATCACTCACCCTGACATATACTTTAATGAAGCTGGCAACATAACAATCATTGGCGCTGGCTTCAATGTGTTGCCAAACTCAAATGTATCGGCATCAATTGGTGATGCACTATGCAAGCGCGTCAAGGTCATCAACTCAACACATATTGTTTGTCAATTTGCTGGTGATGCCACACCATCAGTCGACAGCAACTCATTGTCTGTTAATGTAACAATCGATGGCGCCAAGGCATCCAATCAGTTGTTCTTCTACACTCAATACGTTCAATGTTTGAATGGATGTAGTGGACATGGCACATGTAACAACAAGACTGGCGAGTGCACTTGTGAGCCAGACTATGGTCGAACCGACTGTTCGTTCAACAAGCAGACCAACAACCTGCCACCACCCACCATCGACGAGTCAGGCGGTACTTTGTTCCCAATATCCGAGGGCAAGGGAAGCAACTTCACACTCTCCATCATGTTCCTTCGTGAGCTCGACAATCTTGACCGCCAGGTCAAGTTGCTAAAGATGTCCGAAATCATTTGGACCGCACGCAATGTCACTCCCGACTCCAACACCTATCACTACCGAGGCGTGTTCCCCAACGACACGGCCACATTTGAGGTGCAGATCGACTACTTCAAGGATGCAACAAAGGTCGACTTTGCCGGCGAGACCATTCAGATCCTGGACAACTCGATCAAGTACACGATAAGCATTCAGAACTGGCGCTTCAACAGCACGCTCAACACGCTCCATATCGTGTACAGCACCAAGTCATCCAACCCCTGCGCTGACATGACCGTCGACAAGAATGTGGGCATCTCCAACAGCTCGTCGCCATACCCATTCCTCGACGTTGCCGATGGCACTGGCGCAGTGATGCAAGGTCGTTTCGCCAGCAGGATGTTGATCGACGAGAGGATCGTCAAGAGTCTCTTTGTGCACCTGCCGACCACAGACAACCTCTACCAGCTGCTCCCCAACGACTCGTTGTCGACTACATTCAACGTGTTGACGGCCAATGTGCTACCGGCATTCAGTCGTCGCGCCAAGGTCGATCCAAACTTTGGTGTGATGGTTGCAATCAATGGTGTTCGCGACCAGTGTAGCGAGTCGGACAACAAGATCGGCTGGAAAATACCAGTGATCGTTGTATGTTCTGTCGTCGGAGCTGCCTTGGTAGCTGTTTCCATCGCATTCATTGCAAGGTCCAAGTTTGTCATGTTGAAGATGAGCCAAATTAGAATGAAGAATATCGAATAATGATGGTATCTGTTATCTCCCTCGGGTGATCATTATTATGTGTGAGTGTGTGATTGATTGATTGGTTGTTTGTGGCTCTTCGGGAGTTGGCCCCTACTCCCAGGACACACTTGACACTGGTCGGGCCAGTAAACAATGAACCAACCATTCATTCCTATCGCTGCAAGTTTGTAAATACAATAAATCACTGTTTTAGACTGAATGATCATTCAATCAGTCTTTGCAACACACACAAACTGATCAAACAATTGTGTCCATCCTCACCTCCAATCAGCCTAGGCAACAACCACATTGTGCTTAAACAATGTTATTCTTTTGAAAGAGCAAAGATAATAATAATAACACTTGCAAATGTGTACTAACATAACACGCGATCGTGTTTCTAGATACTCGACCTCTGTCAGCTGACCAAACACAACACAATCGCCAACAACAGCAACAAAACAGCGACCAGACCAGGGCCTTTCAGTAAAAACATGTGTCAAAATGATGGGGGTCGTTTAGATGGGCGAAACGAGTGATTGACCCCCATGATTACGTATCCCGACTCACCGTGTTCAGCATGGAATCCGTCAAGTAATGTAACCAAACAGCAAGCATACTCCATTGATGTTTACAATGGTGTTGGCGTGCATCATCAAACATTCTCTAAACATAGTATTGTTGATTGTTGTTGATGTCTAGATTCTTGTTGAGGAAGTTGTTGATGATGATGGGGGTTGATGTTGCTGTTGGGTCTCTAAATTTCATCATGTCTCGCAATCACATCTACACCTGTCCTACCACGACCTGGCCTCATTCATGCAGTTTAAGGAAAGGCCATACCCTGATCAAACAACCATTTCTAATTCTAGATATAAATATTTATTTATACAAATAATAATATTATTATCATAATATATATAAAATGAAGAATAATAATAATATTTTAAAGACATTGATGGTCTGCATAACAATTGTTATACTCTCAATTAGTATGGACAAGGTGGATGCTTATGATGCCGCTTGTCTTTGTGAGTATATGTATAAAATTGCAAAGGATACAAGAGGTGGACATGATAGAGATGATAGGAGATTCTCAGATAATATAGTAGGAGGAGAAGGACATGGAGTAGAATCAGGTAGAAGGTTATTGGATGATGATGACAATTATAGAGTTGATACATCACAATGCAACTCTAATAACAACTTGTATCAATGCAGTGGATGTACCAATATGGTACAACCTGGACTCATTAACTTTAACCAATGTCCAGGTTCGAGATACAGGACTAGTAAAGTATATCTCGCACAACCTATATGTTGTAATTGTATGCCACCCAACTCAATCCAAGATCCAAATGTAAGTTGTAATTGTTATAGTTGAGTTTGTTCAAACTCATTTGACAACCCAACTAACACATGTCCACTCAATCAATTAATCAAATACTATAGGTAGTTCAATGTGTAAACCCTTGTAATAATAAGAATTGCTCGGATACTTGCTCGGTGAATTCAAATAGTCAGGCTGTTTGCGGTTGCAAAGCTGGAGATAATCTTGGAACTGATGGAAGGACTTGTTTCATCAATATGTGTGCCAAGAACAATGGAGGATGTTCTGGAAACTGCTCAAGTACCAATGGTGTTAGGACATGTTCATGTACTCCACCCCTGGTGCTGGCACCAGACAAACAATCCTGTGTAGGCCAAGACTACTGCAAAACAAACAATGGTGGATGTAATCAAATATGTGCGAACACAATTGATGCACCCACCTGCAGTTGTTACCCAGGCTACACACTCAATGTCAAGGATCTCAAGACATGTGAGAAGGATAAGTTCCAGATATTGTCTACCAACACACCAACTGTTTATCACAATCAACGTGGATTGATCACTATTTATGGTGATGGATTTGGCGCCGCCCCCAATCCCAAGGTTACTGGAACGATCGGTGATGCCAAATGTCTGAATGTGACAAGGATCAACTCAACTGCGTTGGTCTGTGACTTTGCCGGTGATGCCACCCCAGCAGACAAGGGAGAGTCACTCTATGTAAACATCACAATCGATGGAGTTACATCATCCAATCAGGTCTTCTTCTACATTCAATACTTCCCATGTCCGGGCAATTGCAATGGCAATGGTGTGTGCAACAATCAGACTGGCGAGTGCACTTGTAATGAAGGATTTGGTCGTCAAGACTGTTCTGAGGCCAAGCAAACGAACAATATCCCACCACCACAAGTCGACAATGATGGCAACACAGTGTTCAACCTTAGTGGAGTCGGAACGAATGTCACCCTCTCAATCAAGTACCTTCGCGAGGTGTCCAACATTGGAGAAGAGATCAAGTTGCTACGACTGTCAGACATTGAATGGACCAATCGCACAGCCAGCATCGAGTCACCAACCTACACATACTCTGGACGCTTCAAGAACAGCACTGTGGTGCTCGATCTCCAAATCGTCTACTACGCCAAGGCATCAAAGACTGAGTTTGCAGGCGAGTCCATCCAGATCTACGACAACTCAATCAAGTATACAATTGGCATCTCCAACTGGGCTTTTGGATCATCACTCAACTACCTTCAGGTTGTCTATCAGACTCAGGTACTCGACCCATGCGACAAGATGTCATTCGACAAGAGCTTTGGTGTGGCCAATGGCGGATCATATCCCTATATGACAATGGACACTGGCGAGGGAGTGGTGATGGAGGGCAGATTCGCGAGCAGGATGATAGTGGACGAGCGTATAGTCAAGAGCAGTTTCATCAAGTTACCATTGAGTGATCAACTTTACAACGAGTCTGCACCCAGCACTCCTGGAGTGTTTGTCGCTCTCACTGCCAATGTCATTTCTGCATTTGGAAAATCAGTTAAATTGGATCCCAACTTTGGAGTGATCGTTTCTTTGGATAGTGGCAATGATGGAACTTGTGGACAAGGTGGTAGCAAAGGTATTAGTTGGAAGGTGCCAGTCATTGTCGTATGTTCAGTGGTCGGCGCAGCCCTTCTCACAGTGGGTATGATCTTCCTGGTACGATCCAGGTTTGTCCAATTCCGTGTACACGAGATGAAACTCAAAAATATATCCTCCAAAGATTAATTTAAATAAATAAATATAAAGACAATTATTATTATTTGAATGATACAAAGGTGATATTACTTTTATTCAAAGTGATATATATGATTGAATGTACATATATAAAGTTATATTAAATCTAGGAAGAATACAAATGTTGATGGACTCACTGAATGACTGACTGTCTTGCAATACATATAAACATCAACATAACTTGGCAGATAGCATGTCCAATAATGTTTAGGCGTGGACATTAGCATTCACATTGGCATCGAGACAGATTCCCAAAAGGTTGAGATGGGCAACGACATTAGCATCAAGGTCAAGCAGACCAGCAGTGGAGTTGCTGCCCTGCATGATGGAGGCTGTCGAGGTGGATCCGACAGTAGTCATTGAGCGGGTGTTGTTGGAGAAGTTCATTGAGGAGATGGCCTCTGTTTGAATATTTGGTAATTTTGTTAGTTAGAATTTTGATCAAACTCCAGTCATCCTGGAAACAATCAAGTAATAGCAATTGTTGTTGTACATACTAAGGAGAGTCATTTTAGAATTGATTGTATTAAACTTTAAAGTAAGTTAGAAGTAGATTATTATTTGTTTGATTTGATGATTGATTAGGACCTGACATGTCAACTATTTATACCTATTTTCAGCAGATATCAACAATGCCAACGCAGTGTATTGGTAGTATTGAATGAATATAACTACCCGGAAAGGATAAAGATAACAACTTAAATCCAGGAATGGGTGGAAATATGATTAAACATCGCAATCCTTATTAAGAGCGAATATAATTATATATTCAAAGATGTGGTTGTATTAGAAGTAGTAGTTCAACATCATCAACATCATCATCATCAATGTAATAATACCAATCATCCATCCATCCATCCATCCATCCATTCAAACCAACACAACTTCATGATTAGATTATCTATTTAACATCAATGATGGGATGAAGTGTTGATTGATTGATTGATTGTCTGCAGTTAGAATATGAATTACAAGTCATTCTGGAATAGCCAGAAGTACTGTGTGAACCGTCTGTCAGTCACATCATCAATTCAATCAAAATCGCACCCCTCCAACTACTAATTGGAGGGAATTGTAGTAGTGACTGACGTGTTGTTGACATGTGTTGACAATAAATAGTGTCACACGTATATTTGAGTGTGATTGTACGAACATGTGATTGGTCCTCCACTGTCATACATGCCACAAGTGTGGTGATCACGATCAAGCATCCAGGATTAAGTATTCATGAATGAATGGAGTGAGTGGTTGACAACTGATGAAAGGTGTAGTTCAGAAATATAATTATGGATGTAGATAATAAATGTTTGTTAATTTAATGGCGTGAAGTGTAATGTATGAGTTCTCAATGTTCTGTCAATTCAAAATGTCGTTCATTCTTGTACATTCTTACTTATTCTTCTCTTTTTCTATATTGTTATGCATAAGAATAAAATAGACAAGTCTTTAACCAAAGACTCTAGAGTTGTGTGTGTGGCACTGATCTTATTCCGGAACATACGTTGTTGGTTCAACGTATATATCTGTATGATCATCATCGTCATGGTCAGCACGACAACAATGAGAATGAAGTTGGTTTGAGGGTTTTTGTTCTTGAAATCATTTATTCATAATTTTTTCCATTAATCATCTCAAATTGGTTTGTTTTTGGTGTATGTATGAGTGTCATTGAATTAGGGGAGGAGGTGTTTGATGAGTTTAACCACTACCCTACATTCACAATTCATTCACTCAATTATACAGATAATAATCACACACACACACAATATATATATTTATATATTTATATATACATACATACATTCATAACCAATATATAGAGATACAATGGCATCAACATCTGCAAAGCGTTTGCAAAAGGAGATCACTGATATAATCAAGGCACCACCAACATGGTGTTCAGCCGCTGTAGTCGGTGACAACCTTCACAAGTGGAAGGCAACTGTCTTGGGACCAGTACGTATAATCATCATCTACACATCCAGACAGTGAGTGAGATTGGATTGTTAACTAACTTGTATTGTGTGTAAACAGGAGGGATCACCTTTTGAGAAGGGTACATTTGAGATCGAGCTGGATATACCTCACGAATACCCATTCAAGCCACCAACCTTGAAATTCACTACAAAGATATACCATCCAAATATCAAGTCTGACGGTACAGTTTGCTCTGAACTGCTTTCACAGAGCTGGTCGCCACAGTTGAAGATCCAAGATGGTATGTTGTGTTCACTTTGAGCTCTCCTAACAATGCAGTCAATGTCACTAACATCAACAAACAAACACATTCATCTTATGATTAGTTCTCTTGACAATTAGAACTCTTTTGATTGAACCAAACCCAGATAACCCTCTGGAGGTAGATATCGCTCAGCAATTCAAGACCGACCGCAATGCATTCAACAAACAAGCCAAGGAGTGGACAAAGAAATACGCCAAGTAAATAGAGCTCTACTTGGTTGGTTGTTTGTTTGTTTGATTGATAGATTGATTGAATGAATGATTGGTTGAAGCATGTAGGTGTCAATACGCAACAAAATACATCTACATCAACAACCCTATCTCCTACTGCAGTCGGTCATCAATCAGACATCAACTCAACAATCCATCCACAGAGCATGTATTATAACTCCACTCTCTCTATCTCTCAATATATCGCATACCTCCACCAACAAACCCTATTGAACTTTACGGAATAAACAACCTTTAACCGATGGGAACCCCAACACAACAGACAATAATAATACGACAATCTTTGACTTCAGTAGCAGAGTAACTTAATTAAGTTAAATAACATTGATGATGATCTTCACTGCTTTAGTAATTTTGATAATGACTCACCTACTCACCTGGGTAATGTCGTTTGTATGTCGCTCATTTCATTGCTACAAAGAGCCAGCCCCCTATGTCCACCCATTCATTGGTTGTTAAGGTCTTTCTTTCTCCTGATGGTGTCTTGTTGTTGTTAACAAAATTGAAATGGAAAGGAGGACCTATCTACACCCCTCCACAACATGCTCGTGCACATCTTTTGCTGAAGGAGGAAACAACAACTTTGGGAAGAGCTGAATGAACCAGGTTTGGTGTAGTCTATCGTCAAATTATGTGTTTGTTGTTTGTGTGTGTGAATGACAAAACAAAACAAAACAAAACATCAACACAACAACATCAAGAACAAGAACAAGACAATCTCCAAAGCTTTGATTAATAGTTTCAAAGAGGTTAAACAGTAACTAGCTAGTTACCATAATAACAGATTAGGACAGGAGACAAGGGAAAAGATTGCAATAGAATAAGAAAGAAGAGGCTTCGTTACGATCATCATCAGTTCTTCAAGTCATTCCATTATAGATCGATCCACCCATCATCATTCCTTGCTTCCTTTTACACATTATGGACAAGGTACTTCTTCAATGATCATGAACATCATCACAATGTTGCCACCACCAGATAATACTACTACTGTAGCGGGGCTTGTTACCAATGCCAATGCCACCGCTTCATCTTCCTCTTCATCATCCTCTTCTTCATCTTCATCATCCGATCATCGATCAGTACACAACAGCATCAATACATCAGGTGGACTACTTGATAACAATCAACAGCAGCAGCAGCAACAACAACAACAACAACAGAATCAACAACTTTTACTTAATCTAAACTTGATTGAACAGGTGTTACAAACATTGTTCAATCCTCCAACGGGCGGCAATAATGATACGGCCGCACACGTGCAGAATGAAGCCAACCGATGGCTGATGGACCTGCAGCACAATCCCAATATAATACCATTCTGTCTCGAGTTGATCAAGCCCGAGCGACCGTTCTTTTCGCAGTTCTACGGCCTTCAGACACTGCACTCGACCATTCACCATCGATGGGAGACGTCGCAATGGACGGACGAGCTTCGCTTCAGCATCAAGTCGGCAGTGTTCACCCGCTTCCTGTTGCTGGTGAACGATGCACAGGTGGCACCAGTCTTCTTGGCCAAGCTGGCGTCTGTGCTGGCCGCCGTCATCGTACACAGTGTGCCGCGTCTCTGGGAGGACCCGGTTGGCGACTTTCTGCTGTTGATGTCCACAAACAATGACCGCATGATACGTGGCTCTATCGACGTGCTGACCATGCTGCCGCCAGAGTACGTGTTGGTCAAGCTGAAGCAAAACAGGAGGAATGCACTCAAGGAATACCTCTTGCACAGCTCAGAGAGTGTGATCATGGCCATCACCAGCGCTCTCATGAACAACTCTACGCCAACCTTCCAGAACAAGGCCCTCATCATCCAATGCTTCAGATCATGGGTCATGTATACAAATTCAAAGTATGGATCACAACGATCACTCCACTCATCATCCATCCCTAACATGATCCTCTTCACTCCACACAGCACATTGTTAAAGGCCAACTTCCACACGACTATATTCAAACTAATRRTGGATACACATTCCAATGCATTGATCCCATCACTCAGTACCATGTGCGACCTGATCAACTTCCACACCTATGTGTCGCCACTCTCCAACCGTGCACCTGTCGTTCAAGGCGAGAGAAGCTTCGACGAGATCAACTATGATCGACTGATCATTCCCATCATTCGCAAGCTGGTATCACTCAAACAACTCTTCAATCAAAGTTCAATCATTCGTAAAGTATCTGGTCGATATTGGTCACCTGCCCTGCCCATCGCCTAACCAATCAATCAATCACATTCAAACACAGCACAACTATCATTTATATTCAGCGCATTCGCAGAGATTGTGTCACAGATCGTAGAGTGCTATGCACCTCTTATAATGGACGTCACCAAGCAGGATAATAGACAGTTGATGCGATACTTGTTGGATATATGCGCGCACAGTGATCGCGAGATGTCTGAGTTCACGTTCGACTCATGGGTCTACATGACAGGACACATCACAGAGTTGGCGAGCGAAGATGTGCTCGTCCGCTTCCAACGTATCTACGCCAAGCTGCTCCAGTCTTTGATGCAGCATGCCTCATTCCCCGCCAAGGTGGACAGGCCCGATGACAACATTGTCGACGAGATATTGAGCTATCGCAACGATGCTAGCGATGTCGTCAACGCCTGTCTCGAGATCATTGGAGAGGAAGCCTTTGTACAGTACATTCATAATCTAGTCCATAACGAATGCAAGACTTGGCAGTCGTTTGAAGTTGTACGTACACCTCCTGCGACACGACCGACCGACCGACACAATCACTGATCATTCACACTCATAGGTCATACATATATTCCGATCGACTCATCTGGAAGCATCTCAATTGCGCCAGAGTAATGATAGCACTGGCAAGATGATGGGCAGCATTATAATACGCACGTTGACCACTCGACCACATTACATACTCTCCAACACAGTGTTGATGATGCTGGAAGACTACAGCCAATTCATTACGACCAATAGCGAGTTACTTCATCAATGCTACCATTACATAACATCACTTGTCCAGCATACAGAGACCTGTTCATTGGCATGTAAGTTGTGTTGTAGTCACATGACATGATCACTCAATCAATCAATCCAATTACTCACTCTATCATGCCTAACGCAACACAGTGAGGACACTACATGTCTTTTGCCAAAGACACGGAGACCGACTGTATGACAGCATAGACAACTGTTTGAACCTCTGGGAGTCAATGATGGCGGCAAAGACAGTAAAGGTATGTTGGCCGCAACTATAACATCAACGTCAACGACACACAACTTAACACTCTACCTGCATGCAGCCTGGCGACCAAAAGTCACTCATTGAATCCATCCTCTTCCTCTCTTCCTTTGCCAAGCATGAGACACATGTATGTACATCTCTCAAATAGCATGTCCAACATTCAACATCTGACTAACTCATCAATCAACCAATCAATCAAACAGTCCAACAACATTTTCCAACGACTACTATCGCCAACTATTGTAAATTTAAAGACTGCTCTTGCCCAAGATCCCCGACCATCACTGCATCTCAGTGCCGACAAGAAACATATGATCATCGATCGATTATCTGTTCTGGAGTCTGGATTGAAGTATGTGTATTCTGATGATTGAAGTGTGATTGATGCTAACCCGAAACAACAATCAATAATATACAGGATACCAGCGCAATACTTCACGATATACAAAGACTTTACAAACAATATTCTACCTCTGTGCGATTCTGCTCATGATCTGTCAATCAAATACAGGGACTTGGACATATTGGAGTCAGTTTGGCGCGTACTCTGCAGTGTCCTACTCACAATGAGTGAGCATCAAAAGAAACAGCAACCACAACAACAACAGCAACAACAACAACAAGAACAACCACAACAACAACAACAGTATATCAACTTGGAGAAGATTGTCAACTACTTTTTGGTGGACATTGCAACCTTTCACATTCTCACCAACTCTGCCTACGATTCACTGGAGGCCCTGCTCACTCATTATAGCTGCTCCTGCGTTCCACTACTCTCGGAACCAATCAACAACCTGGTCAATCACTCATTGCCACTCATTGCCAATAGTAAGTGATTGTATAATTCAATCACTCATTCAATGTACCTAACGCACCACAACATAATCATAATCATCAGACAACAGTGGCAGCATACCAGTGACGACAAGGTTCTACAGAGTGATGACAAAGATATTGATGAAGTGCCACGCCATGTTCTATGCACTGCCCAATGTGTTGAAGATCGTGGAGTTGGCAGTGGTCGCCATGCTCAATATTGAGCGCGAGTCAGTCATCAGTGTACTGGAGTTCATCGAGCAGTTGTTTGTGCGATTCCCACACGAGTCCCTTGTTACCAACTACAGCTCTCACGTCCTCTCCTCCATGTTCACTGCCATCTCCAAAGACTCCACCAAGCTGCTCACAGAGCACTTTGCAAAGACACTCTATGCATGGTGTATGTATGGCCCTGATTGGAACGACTGAACTATCCACAACTAACTCCTTCTCCCCCTTCCGTTGACAAGTCAAAGCACACTCTGGTGAAGGATTCAACAAGATTGTTCGCGATAGTGTTAAAGAGGCCAAGTGGCTTCCAGATGACCTGACGCCCAAGGACAAAGAAAGACTATCATCAATTCTATTAAGGTAAGTTGGATACCGGCTCATATGGAATGCGAGAGACGAAGCGTGCACAGTGCCAGATATTAACAAATTAATATCATCAATCACATGAACACCCTGTTATTACAACAATGATCCGAATGGACAGCAACCGAGTATTGAGCAGTGAACATCGATTCCGGTCATTGGTTTCGGACCTCTGTGATTATTGCAACAGCCAACAGCAGTGGCAGGCGATCACCTCCTATGATGTCGACATTAAATAGGACCAGTCCTCACCTTCCTCCCTTCCCCCACCCCCTCTCACAGGCGTCAAATGTACATGATCAGATCAAAACGCGTGTGATGCAAAAGACGATTCTTCTGCGGGTTTGTCTTGATTAGGTTGGAGTGTGTTCTGGCACGTGGAAATTTCCCCAAGTGATGAACTTTTTGTGGGATCTCTTGCAAGTACCGACTCTTTCAAGATATTTACAACTATAATTTATTCGATTTAATGTTGGTCTCTCCTACTTCCAAACTACATTCAATGTACACTGATCGGGTACCATTCACTCACTCACTAACGTTCAACATTATAATCATTCTGCAAACAGTAGTAGTAGATCAATCATACTAAAATATATATATATAATAATACGATGAGATTATATTTATTAATATCAGTATTCCTATGCTTTGGAATGATGGCTGATGCCATGAATCCAAACATTGTTGTCGATGTCAACACAAAGAGATACTTGGACACTGATGGAAGAGAGAGATACTTCCATGGTGTCAATGTTGTTTATAAAAGTATGTTTTATCAAATATTTGATTGATTGATTGATTGATGCTAACTAACTAATGAACTATTGTAGTCAGTCCTTATGCACCTGGTTTGGAGTTTGATGTCTACCAATCATTTGGACCACAGGACATGCAGTACTTGCAGGACTGGGGTTTGAATGTTGTTAGACTAGGAGTGATGTGGGCTGGTGTCGAACCCGCACAATCAGTGTACAATCAGACTTACTTGTCATACATGAGACATCTTGTAGACTTGATGGAAGGCTATGGAATATACGCTCTACTCGATGGCCATCAAGACCTCTTCTCCGAGGCCTACTGTGGTGATGGTGCTCCAGCATGGGCTGCCAAGCCCAAGGCCAAAGAGGCCTTCCCCCTACCATTGGCCGCACCCTATCCATTGGACAATGTTACTCACTTCCCATCAAGAGGTATGTAATAATCATTTGATTTATTGATTGATGTGAATGATCATAACTCACTAACAATTATCTAAACAGAGGACTGTAACAAGTTGGGCTGGGCAGATTATTATGGAACTATTGCATGCTCTGGAGCATTCCAATCATTGTATGATAACTATGAAGGAATACAAGACTCATACTCTGGATACTGGCAGCAGATTGCCACAACATTCAAGACCAGTACCAATGTGATTGGTTACGAATTGATCAATGAACCATGGGCTGGAGATGTCTACACTGATCCCGAGATCCTAATCCCAGGTGTTGCCGACAGGAAGTACCTCCAACCATTGTACGACCGTTTGAACACTGATATTAGATCAATCGATCCTGATGTATGTATCCCAATCATTCATTCAATCCAAGTTCATGATCTAACACCCCATAATAGCATATCATCTTCTTTGAACCAATTCCATGGGATGACTTTGGAACTGGTCTGGAGCATGTGCCAGGTGGAGATCAGTTTAGGAACTTGAGCGCAATGTCATACCATTTCTACTATGGTCCAGAGTTTGATATTTATGAGACATTGGACGTCCGCTTCTTGGACTATGATCGTCTTGGATGCGCTGGATTCTTGACAGAGTTTGGTGAGACCTCTGGAAACTCACCATCAGTCATCGAATCATCCACCAAGATCATGAACGCCGTGGAGACTTACAAACAAGGATGGATATTCTGGAGTTACAAGGACTTTATCCCTGGTGACTATGAATCATTCTTCTACAACGCCAGCGGCCTGCCCGACCCAGTGCGCGTCAAGTTGTTCAGCAGGACCTATGCCCAAGCCGTCGCCGGCACCACTGAGAGCACGGGATTCGACTCAGAGTCTGGAAAGTTCTCCATCACCTACACGATCAATCCAAACTGCCAACTCCCAACCGAGATCTATCTGAATGAGGACATCTATTATCCAAATGGATACACTGTCGAGATTGTTCCAAATATGATCGCCAACTACACCTCCACCACCAATCGTATCTTTATACACCATCAGCTGTCGATTGCTGAGCCAGTGACTATATCAGTCTATCCAAACTAAACTAAACTAAACCAATGATGATCGATTGATCGAGAGAGCCACACACACTGTTGTGATGTGACCATTCACAGATAAATGTCTTCGTTGACGTCGTCTTTGTTCGTCTTTGTTCTTCTTTATTCTCCAGCTTGTTGGAGAGTGAGTCGCTTCCAACATCCACATGGTCCACATTGCTTTTGGATTCGTTGTTAGATTGTTCGTTCGTTCGTTCGGTCACTGTCATCTGACCTTGGGAGAGGGAACCAAGGGGTGTGAAGCCATCGCCATGTCAATGTTATAATGCCAGTGAATGAATGTACAGAGTTTAAGATAGGTAGATAGATAGATAGATAGGATGGCAGTTGCATTACCAGCACATATACTCTCTCTATCTATCTCTTCTTGAAACCAAACTTCTTTCTCTCATAGAATAGATCTGTCTTTGAACTACCCAGGTTAACAATCTTGGGGCATCCATCTCTCTATAGTTTGTTGTTAGTAATCTGATTCATTATGTTGATTATGTAGTATAACTTACATCTTTCTCCTGTGTCGTGCATTCCTTGCAGTAGTAAGCATCTGATATACCTACACCTCCACATATAACACATCTTCCTTGGAATGTACCATAGTTACACTGTAGTAGTGATTGATTGATTGATTGTGTTAGTAACATCATCATAATTTACATTGGAAGATGGTTTGCTATGTACATACCTCATCACATATTCGCACCAATGTCGAGGGCTTGACATAAGAATCGCATACAACGCACTTTCCATCACACTTCTCGCATAGACGACCAATGGCAATGCCAGGTTGCTTCTTGCACATAATCAAATCGGGATCTACAAAGGACATACATGTCAATATCAATCATTCCATTCAATCAAAAGGAGTAGTTATAGGTTATAAGGTACTTACGATGCTTTGACATTGTTGTTTTATAATTCCTGTAACTACACAGATACTAGATATATAACAATATATAAAGGATGATGCTAGCTACTTGTATGCTTATTGACAATGATGGAGTTGGATGTGGAAGTGGGTACTCATGAGCAACTTCACTTCTCGATTTTTTGTCAGTGGACACTCTCAAAGTTCATTCATTATTCATTCGAAGACATCCCTTTACTTCCCTTCATTCACACAATCAATAGATCAATCGGTCAATGAAGTCTGTCCTTTTAATACATGTATTAATAAGATTGAAAGGAGCAGTACCCATCATGATGGACATAAATATATCAAAAAGAAACAAATGTTAATATCTAACATGATATCATGATCAATTGGGACGATAACTTAGAGTTCAAAGAGTGACACACATCAAGTAGGGCACGATGACGATGAATGCGAGGCTACACAGCCAGACACAAGCAAATACATATAGATTCTATGAAGGCCCTCGGTAGCCCAATAACTAGATAGGTGGTGGAGAAACACTAAACTGAACATCAGTATCCCTGATTCAGCAGTTGGGTAAATGCTTTGGCTTGATCATCGGTCGAAAAAGTTTGAAAGTTGATCCTTTGAGAGATATTTGGTGTGTGGACACGTCTTTTCAATCATTCATTCTGCTTGCTTATTCTCTCCTCCTCCTCATTATCTCTATCACCTCATTATCTGTATAACAATGACTCTTCCCGACTATATGACCGATCGCAACGCCGTCCTCAACGACGAGGGTGTCAAGTGGCGCCACGGAGAGGCGCCCGTCTACACCAAGGCCAACACTCTGTATGATGAGCAGCGCACCAATGTCCACGCCACCGACTCGCTCGAGCATCTCGTCGAGAACCTCGTCAAGAACTGGGAGAAGGAGGCCTCCTTCAAGATTGATGCCGCCGACTGGCGCACGATCGACCACAAGGTCTACAAGTTCTCGACCAACGGTGGCGAGTGGTCCACCGTCGAGGATGTGCTGCGCGTCGGCACCTACAACGCCCTGCTCGGCGAGACCCAGTACTACTCGGCCAAGAACACCAGCTTCGAGGAGTCGCACCAGACCTTCCGCGAGTCGCTGTGCAGCGGCTTTGCCTGGGAGTGCCTCAAGGTGTACTCTGGCCCACCCATCGTCGCCTTCAAGTGGCGCCACTGGGGCAACTTCTCTGGCAAGCTCCGCTGCCCAATGTCCAAGACCGAGCAGATTGTTGCCGAGCCAACCAACTCGCTCGTCGAGATCTTTGGAATCACCGTGGCTCACGTCAACGCCCAGTTCCAGATTGAGAGTCTCGAGACCTTCTACGACCCAGCCGCCCTCTTCAACCAGATGGTCAAGGGCAGTCCCTCTGTCACCACCTGTCCCATCACTGGTCAATCCGCCACCAACTAAACCCAGCCGCGTCCGGCCTGACTCCTTTCAATTTTCCAAATATATACACCATCACTTTGATGTGATATTTATTTCGTTCCAGAGATCAAATTATGATCAAAATCTTGTTTCTTCATTGGATGGATTAGGTAAGGTTCAACATCGAGATATTCTTCGGACTATCATTTGGAAATCCACCTCCTAAATGTAGGTAATATCGTTCCAAATCGAATACATTGAAGGTTGACCCAACTTGATATTCTCTAATATTTGTATATGATTCTTGGCCCATATAATGAATTTGTTGAAACTATAGATTGATAACTTTCTACATTGTTCATTGCAACCTTCATGCAACCCACCACACACAATGGTTGCAAAGGAAACGACACTTTTTTTGCATGGCTTGTTGTGTTTGTTGCAAGCCAATCAAACAGTGTCATCATCCCAATCATATTATTTACAACAATACAATGAATAGAGATAACAAACATGATGTACTTGGTGCATTGGCATCAGCATACATTCAAAGAAAGATATATACTTATACAGGTATTCAATCATTTATTCAATCAAAGTCATTCAATCATACTAACCTGTCAATCAAACTTATAAAGAGAGATGTGAAACAACTAGAAGAGAGATTGCAAAGGAGATATGGAATACAGAGAGATGTTATAAGGATCAATTGAATACTATTATTGAGTTATTCTTGAAGCCAATGTTGATGTTGGCAAGACAGAAACAAGAGGATGGATCAAATGATAATGTGAGCGGACTGACAGAGACACTGGTGCACAGCATATTCTCACACATCGAGAGTATACATCATCTATGTACATTGCTATTCGATCAACTTAGTGCTCGTGTACTTGAATGGCAGCCATCGTCCAGCATCGCCGACATCTTCCTGGACATGGGCCCTTTCTTCAAATCATATAAACAGTTCTCTGAGAACTATACCACCGCCACTGAGACACTGAAACAGGTCAAACAGAACTCACCGGCACTGGCCGTATGGCTACGGACACGCGAGAAGGAGGCACGTTGTAGATCACTGGATCTTGGATCATTGTTGATTGCCCCAATTCAACGTGTGCCAAGATATATTCTATTGTTGAATGCAATGGCCAAGGTGACAGAGTCCAGCCATCCGGATTACAGGCGATGTCAAGCGGCGGCCACATTACTCAAATCAATAGTCCAAGTGATCAATGATGGAATCCAAGAGGATGTAAACAGGAAACGACTAATGCAACTTCAAAGTCTAATCGAGACCTACAACAGGTATCTTCCACAATTGCCAATCGAGGTATGTTTGGAATCGTTCCATTCAATCAATCACTTTGGAACCATTCCACTCACTCAATCACATGATCACATGATCATTCACTCACATCCATGCACTATTCATAGAATCTTGTGGAGCCACATCGAAAGTTGATCAAGGAGGGAAGATTACAGAAACAATCAATGCGCGACAGATCGATCCAGACACGTTTGGTATACCTTTGCAATGATTATTTGATCACAATTACACCATTGCCATTGCCAATTCAAACTGATTTGGGAAAAGTTGACAAGATGATACCATTGGCAACTGCATCCATTATAATAGACTCTGAAAGCGATACATCATTCTACCTTATCAGTCCAATCAAGAGTCATCTATTCATATGCGACACTGCCACCACTCGATCACATTGGATACTTGAGATACAGAATACCATCTCCAACCTGGTCGATTCCAATCCAATGTTCAAAGGTATGGCTCTCACTCAATCACAATCATTTAATCAATCACTAACTTAATCAATCAGAACAACGCAATCAATGGACTATTGAGCATCAGAATGGAAAATGGATATGCGTGCCAAAGGACAAGGGAGTGGCGCCAGACACTTCCGCGAACACCAGTCGACTGAAGAAGGTGTCACCAACCTCACCAATACCATCACCTAGGAGGAATGATAATGTATATGTACACGAACCAATGGTCAAGACCAACACTTATTATAACAACAACGCGACAACTACACAAATGGAGAACTTCGTGGCCACGAGGAAGAGTCCAAATGCCGCCATTGATGTGCATGCCCAACAGCAACACTTGGGGATACCAGACGACAAGGAGTGGGTCGTGGGAGTCAAGGTGAACAAGATATCGGCACAATCACTATCTGGATACCTAAGGCCGCCAAGTGGAGGCAACATCAATCAACAACAATCAGCAACTACACTTCCAACATCTCCAGACATCTCAAACAACGACGACAACAACAGAAGCGACAACAACAACAACAAGGAAACATCATCATCAATCGATCAATGTACCGTAGATGACATCAAGGTGACCAGCATGCCAATGGAGAAGCTTAACTTGGACAACCTGCCAAACTATGATGATGTGGATAGCGATAATGACGACTACAATGACCAAGATGCTAATGGGAACAGAGGAGATGATGTGGACTTGTCATCATCACTAAGTAGTCTTCTACCAAGTAGACGACGAAACGTAGTGCATCTCCAAAAGAATGACAAACTACAACTACTGAAAGACCTATCTGGATCAAGCAATGTACTGGAGTCTCTAATGTAACATACTATCTATCTATCTATCTATCTATTTATAAACAATCGATCCATCATCATTCCATCGCATATCCTGTGATGTTGATGATTGAATGGATGGCCAGAGTGTGATGGGGGCGATCAGTCCTCACTGTCGCCCTTATCTCTCAGCCATCCTATTCCATACCATCATTATTCTTGCTCTTTCTCGTCATCCAATGACATGTCTATTTGAATAACAAAAAAGTATTAGTATTAGTCAGGCATGTCATGATTCATGGATTGTCTAACCTACCGTATAGATCTTGTGGCGATACTAGTATTGACTTTACAATGTCTACCAGTCGTTTCAGCTCCTCTGGCTTGGCATTCGATATCAGAACATTGGCGTAAGTACCACCTGGCAGCAGTAGTTCAATTGTGCACTTGCCATCGTTGACAAAGTTGGTGTATATCTTTGATACACATTCCTCTAACTAGTTTGTTTGTTAAAAAGAGTATGTATGAATGAGTACAATGATCATTGTCAGATTGACTGATTGATTGAATGAGTATTATTATGTACATTGAATATGGTTGGAGTACTCTTTGGCAACTCCAATACTATCTGTTGTGTCTTCTCATCACGTCGCAGTATGACACCTTTCTTTGATGGTCTAGTAGCCTTTCGTTGTTGCTGTAGATAGTCAACAACAACCTGACAAATTATCTTTATAGGCATTGATTGTTGTACATGTATCTTTGTTGTTATAAATTGTTAGAATGAAGTGGTAGTCGAACATAAAGCGCCAAACAGACCCAGGTCAAGTTCAATTTGAATTTCAAACAAAAGGATCTAGACCAGGGGATATTTGATGGAATTGGGAAGTTTCACATTGATAGTATCTTTGAAGTCAAGTACAGACAAGACCAAATCAGATAGTAATAACATATGTATCAACAAATAGATCAGAATCAGACAAGTATGGCAGATATTGTATATAGTGCTGAATCAGAAGAGTACAGCAGAACAGAGATCACTCTGATGCAGATAGAGGCATCATGGCTGATAAAGAAAGAGGTACCTGTTGTCTGTAAACGTGTAAAGAGGATATTAGAAGTATGTTGTTAAGTGATTGATAGTACAACAACAGAAGTACAAGGTATACTGACTGACTACACTACATGACATAAAGAGATGTGTAAACTTGTTGAGACCAGATACACAGAGTAGCAAGGCACAGAGTGATAATGTTGATGACTCTACAGCGACTTCACAGACATCATCAAATACAGTGGACATTAATAATATATTCTTCAATGCCAAGACTGCCACTGCTTCAATCCCATCATCTCTCGGTCTAAATGCAACTAACCTTACATCATCAAGAAGAGGCAGTTCAGACACTAGAGCAATCGATATGTCGGCAGCTTGTAATCAAGTCAACATTGAAGAGTTGGATGGTATGTTATATGAATGAATGATTGATTGATTGATCATCAACTAACATGTTTATTCAATCAATCAACAGACATCTATCAAGATCAATCAATCGAGAACAAACCAATCAATATTGATACTCCAGAGTATGTGTACCTACCCTATCGCGATCATCGTCTTACTGTTACTAACGCGATCGTAACACATCTTAGGGGCACAAGAGGTACATTGCATATCAATGGATGGCTAGTAGAGTCACCAGAGTTGATGATCAGGTTCAATAAGCCTGCCAAACAGAACTACACTGTGCCAGTGTACAAGACATTGATCAATAAGTCACATCCATGGAGAATACAACAGATACAGAACTCGAACAACTATCTCCACTTGATCCTCACAGAGATCAACAGTCTGCTCGTCTTTGCCGAGTCGTACACTCCACTCGACAGCTATCAATTGAACAATCATCATGGTCATCCAGGCAATCACCTGTCATCTTCATCCTCATCATCAACCATCTCTCAACAACAACAACAACAGCACGCTCAGGCACAGGCTCAACAGCAACAGCAACAGTCTCAGGGACTGTCCGCCTCGCAATCTGGATGGGTGCCATCGGGCATGAACAAGCATCACAGCAACAGTCTGCCCGAACTGCACTCTCTTGTGGAAGCATTCGGTCGCATCAGTGAATGGCTGCAGATGGCACGCGATGAGCTGTTGCTGCCCAGTCGCAACGTGTTCCCAAACACAATGTACCAGCCAACGGTGTTGCAGCCTCCCCTCCCATTCGAAATCAACGTAAACCTGACTGTATCCAACTGCGAGCTGGTGTTTAGCGTCTATGAGCTGCACATCACATCGACGCCGCTGGACGGTCAGCGCGGAGCACAGAATCTTGCCGATACCAACAGTCCATCAAAGTCATTGCGCAAGTCTCAGAAGCTGCAGCCGACACTCTCATCGTCGTCAAGCTCCCTTCAGCTCTCCAGTGGGTCAGTGCCCCGCTCATCGTCGCCCGCATCCGGAGACTCAACAGACGCATCTAAAGAATCTCAAGAGACATCTCATGCTCACAATATTCCACCATTGTATGTACACTTAAGTGTTGGCGTGCACTGCAGTGCGCAGCAGTTTATTAACCATTGTCTATGTATCAATTTCATTACTAGCCAAACAACCAAGGGAGGAAGTGCTCAATGGGTCACAGTTATCGATCACTCTGAGTTTAGACAGGCCATTCCAACACTTTTGACCTCATTCACTCTGTTGACCAATGCATATGATATTCTTGCCGATCTTGGTGAGAAGTTGTTGGTTCTATCCAACGTCAACTGAGCGAGATCCATGAGCAATGAAGTCGACAACATTATTATTAAATATCGATGTGGAGTGCAAGTGCATCATCCATTTGTATCTAACATCTATTCTTCATCCTCTTCGTCTGAGCCATATTGGAATAATGATGCCAGTGAGTTTGAGTTGGTCTCAGTCTTTGTTGACTTTGTTGGTTGTTGTTGCGCCACTGTCTCTGAATCTGTTGTCTTTCTCTTGTTGCCATTGTTGTTGTTTGATTGTGTCTTTACAATGTTTAACTTAACAGCTCCCAATATACTAGTCTTTGGTTTCTTGTTATTTCCACTGCCATTGCCATTGCCATTGATACTGCCAAAGTTATCCAAGTCATCGGTCAATGGACCATCCATCTCATCAATACGTTTGATTACATTAAGTGTTGTTGACGATGATGATGACTTGTTTCCAAATGTCTCTTTGATCAGCTGCTCATCCTGCTCGGCCAACGCCTGCTCCATCTCCTCTTGCTTCTTCAGACTGTACTCCAACAACTGTTCATGATCAATCTCGGCATTCTTTGAATTGAGATTGCGTAGCTCGTCCAGTGCATCCATGATCTCCATCTCTCGCTTCGAATCAACCGTTCTATTCTCCAATGCCTTCATTGCGTCGTTCTTCTCCTCGTCCTCGCGCTGAGTCCTGTCTGTCCGCTCCTCCTCCGTCTCCTTCCAGGGCTCGTAGTTTCGCGTTGCACCCGACTCACAGACGTAGTCCGAGTTCTTGGGATCTGTCTTTATCGCCAGCTCTGCAGCGCATCTCTTGCAACGTAGATAGAATCTGAATATCTTGATGCCAAGGTATGTATCGTCTAGTGTCTCCTTTCTCGAGTTGAACTTTGTTCCACGACCAATGTACTCTCCACAAGTATTGCATCTAATACTCATTGGCAACATCATAACAACCTTTATCGTTCCACTCTTCTTTACACCCTTTGCCCTTGGTATCTTGCTTGGGTCAAAGTCCGGTGGATAATATTTACTTATAACTTTTCTTTCTCCCATTCTTTCTTATTCTCTCTATTTATATATCTATATATATATATATCCCAATAGATTATCTCTATCTCTATCTGTTGAGTTTGAAAATGAAAAAGTTCAACTTGTCACTTATTTTTGAAATTTATTCAATGGTTTATCTCAAGTTCAACATCAACTCTGTTATTCCCAGTCATTCTGGGTTCCAGTAACAAAGGTAAATTATCCATCCAATAGTACTATTAATGGTCGTCATGATAATTGTGTTTCTATTGTTGTAGACTTGGTGCTGAGGAAGAACTTATATTGGGATCTAATCCAAAGATGTTGGTCTTTGAGATGATGTTGATGTTTCTTAGCATCCACCAATCAATGAATTACTACCTTGATTGTTAGCAAGTTGGAAATCTATAATAGATGAGACTTCTCTTCATCGGTGTTGTGTTCAAATCTCTCAACAGATTAGTTTGGTCCAAAAGGATGGGACAAAGAACACCAAACTACAACAAATAACATCGATACTCATAACGAGCGATACAGAAAGAAGATGGCAGATCCAGGTATTGCAACACTTGATGATGACGGGGATGGGCATTCAAACACAACTGGTGGAAACAGCAACATTGTGTTGCCCCATCTAATACTCAGAGAGATCATCTCCTATGTGGAGTCCAACATTGACTGGATCAGCTTTGTGCTGGTCTGCAGCCGATGGTTCAGAGAACGAGACAAGTACCTCGAGTTTATAAGCAACATGTACGAGGACTACGAGTCGCAATTCTACATTCCCGGACCCGACTATAAGTTCTATTGCCACTCGTTCTCCAAGCAGGTCTACCAGTGGGTCAATAGCTTGGGCCTGTGCAAAGGTACATATCTTCACCATATCTTTACATGTTTGTGTTTAACAATCGATTAGATTCATCATCATCATCAACTAACCAACATGCACACCTAGGCTTTCGGATTCAAGGCTCAATACCTGAACACATCACACGCATAAGTCTCTCTGAATACCCTCACCTCGATTTGAAGCCTGGAGACATTCCCACGACCGTGACAGAGGTTTACATTGAAGATTGTGGCGAACTACCTCTGCCAGGTGTTCTCCACGACAATATCTCTATTGTTGACATCTTATCACATTTTGAGGATGATATCTTTTTAGTTCCTGGGGCACTCCCTCTCAATGTCAAACGTCTGGCACTTCAAAAGCGACAACCTCTCTGGTGGGGTTCAGTACCTTCTCATTACCTTATGGACTCGATCACTGACCTCACACTAGAAGGATATCAACTTCCAAGTCGTCTTCCAATGTCTCTCAAAAGACTCAGCACTGATCATCTGACTGGGCCACTTCCAGATCAGATCGAGGAGTTGGTTATAATATTAGATCAACACTTCCTCCCTATACAACTTGGATGGCTACCTGCTTCTTTGACCAAGTTGTTGGTAACTCACACAACCCTCGCAAGCCACCCTCAGAGCGATCAACCATTTGGTGCGCCCCCTCAAATTGGCGTGTTTCCACCATCATTGCACACTTTGGAACTGACTGACTTCAGCCAATCGTTCTCAGTTGGTGTGCTTCCACCTTCACTTCGCACATTGCATCTTAGATGCGACCAATTGCAAAAGGACATCCTCCCCAACTCACTTTGCACATTGCACCTTAGATGCGACCAATTGCAATTTGGCATCATCCCCAACTCTCTTCACACATTGTCACTTAATTGTGAACAAGGACTAAACGACGGAATAATTCCTGAAGGACTAATCTCTCTCGATTTGGCATCCAACTCCTATCCCAACTATCTCCCGTCCACGCTGAGGCGACTTGTACTTTTCGGAACACAAAGTATTCAACCAGGATTGATACCTCATTCTGTTCATGAACTTCAATTGCCCGACATTTTTTGATAACAAGCTAATCTCTGGGTGGTTACCACCTCTGGTCACCAATCTAGTATTTGGTAGAATGTTCAATAGTATGATTGAGCCAGGACAGATCCCCGACACTGTTATCTCGCTCCGATTTGGCTCTATGTTCAACCAGCCGCTCATCTCTCATTCACCACCAGACCCAACTGCGTCACAAACTCTCGGATATCTCCCTAGCCAACTCACCAGTCTATTCTTTGGTTATTCCTTTAACCAACCAATCCATCCTGGAGTGATCCCTCCCACGACAACAATGCTCGTATTTGGTGATAATTTCAATCAACCCCTGGATCCAGATTCATTGCCTCGATCAATAACCTCACTTCATTTCAGCAGTGGATTTAAACAATCAATTGGATCACTCTTTGGTGGTGACTGGTCGTCTATGCATACACTCACTATTCCGTGGAGGGTGGACCCTCCATCTTCTCTCCAAGCATCAACCATTAATCTCGTTTCTGTACACGAGGAGGGTTTCCAAATTCCAATAAGGTTCCTTAATCACACTCAATCAATTGGACTAGGGCGTGACCAATCCATTCAACGTTTGGACAACAACTATGCATTTTACCTCACCAGCAACTTGGTGAACTGTGGTGTCATTTCGATTGACAACCTGGCGAAACGTACCTTTTATAGTATAAGCAACTTTTTTTATTGATACCCTGACCCAATGAAAATCATGCCGAATTATTACTTTATACTTCCGACCACAAACATAATAACAATGAATATCGGATTATTAATGTTAATGAATAATAATAGACCCTAAAATAGAGTATAATAATAAGAATCATGGATAACTTATTTGTTTGATTTCAGAGACACACTACAAAGTTCATTTTGAAAGTTGTTTGGCGCGAAGAGGTGGTCAACCTTCATTTCATTTCAATTTCAGAATCGACTGGTGAGTCGTAGATATAGAAGGATACAAGAAGTATATCTTGGCAAGTGATAGAGAGATAGAGTGCCACAACCAAAACATCATCATTAGTTAGTTATTCAATCATAGACAGATAGACAGGTATATAGACAACAAACAATATAACACAGATCCATGACAACATGGTGACTTTATCTGAGGACGACTTCAACAGTCTATCACTACAAGTTAAAATACCATCTAGCTCATTAAAGACATCACTTCAGACGTATGCATCATTGAATGAATGAATCGAATGAATGAATGATAACTTACTCATTGACTTTATCATTGATACATATATATATAGCCGACATGGTATAAACAATCTGTACCTACATGTACTCAAACAGATACTCAAACACATACGTGACAGGTACGACACGAATGTTTCCATCACTGGCAACAAAGATGTCATTGTAGAAAGATTGGCAAAGTTGGTAATATCGTCGTCTACATCATCTTCATCGGTAGCCGGCCTATCTTATCATGTACCCCGTACACGTGTTCAAACACCTCGCTATGGTACACCCGTCACGGCCATCACCAGAAAGAGGACATCATCAGGTAGCAGTAACGGCAGTAGCAGTAGCAGTGTCAGCAGTTTATATCCACTACCCAGATCATCTATACTAAAGAGCATTGCAAAACTCACTGCAAAGAAGACGGCGGCGCCTTCACCGGTGCAGGGCATCGAGTGGAAGACATTCACAGACAATCAATCGATCCTGTTCCAACATGTCAAGGCAATTGGCGAGTACAAGATATGGAAAGGATCCATTGGGACCGAGGCAGAGTTCAAGATCGACGACGAAGTCTTTCCAAAGCTCAGAACGACCAAGGAGCAACAACAACAAATCGATGATGAACTGTTCATTCACGTTCGTCTTGTCAACCAACGCTCAACCGTTCTACCCTATACCAGTGACATGCACTTGACAATCAATGGCAATCAAGTGGACTTTGTATGTTCCTCATTCAATCATTCAATCATTCAATCATTCAATCACTGACTCACTCATTGGCCTCTCTCAATCTCTATGTATAGCCACACAATGTACGCAAGCCATCAGGATGCAAAGCACCTTTAATATTATTCAAACCAATGGACATCACAACGTACGTCAATAAGGGTCGTAACACATTGTCTTGGAAGTCATCAGTCAAGCATCAAGGATACATGGTGGTGCAAGTTGTCAAGAGTATACCAATGGATCAGGTAATGTCACTATCATTCATTCATTCATATGACATCTTATTCTTACAATTCAATCTAACAATCAAATGTAGTTGGTTGAACAAGCAAAGAGTAGAGAGACAAACAGTCAAACGACAGCACTGTTACAACCAAAGAATGCTGATCAGGACATTGAGGAGCTATCATATGACATCTCTGCTCGATGTCCACTCGCCATCATGAAGATTTCACATCCTGCAAAGACAAGTAATTGCAAACACCTTCAATGCTTTGATTTAAATGTAAGATAAGATGGACCATGGTCCCCATGGATGTCTACTCAGCTCTTCCGGACATGTACTAACTATCTTCCCCTACCTTATAAAGTATTTTATAAGATTCTCCTTCCAACAGCAGATATGGAACTGTCCCGTATGCCAGTGTCAAGCACCACCAATCAGTCTTGTCTTTGACAGCTTCACCAACAACATACTAAAGCAGATCCCAGTCGACTGCTACAATATCACACTACAGCCAGATGGTTCGTGGAAGACATCATCATCTGAGCATCAGTGTAAGTATTTCATTCATTCAATCAATCATTCAATCAATCAATCTTACGCCATTGCCACCCCCAATCTAGCTATCAGTGTGGAGGCCAAGGCATCATCAGGGTCAGTCGAGATTGATCTTGATGCATATTCTCCAATCGATTGCAATTATATGGACGATGCATTTGATGTGGATGCAGATGATGATGATGCCGACGATGTGGAGCGTGCAGACGCAGACGCGGACGCGGATGCAGATGTAGATATAGTAGAGGATCAACCAATGACTGGCAGTGACCCAATCAATGAAGACATGGCCGTTGGTTGCGACTCATATGACGATGATGATGATTACTACCGCACAACCTTCAACAACAACGACAACATGGCCGCCACCAGCTCCGACAGCAATGAGATCATAAACGACGACGATTACAACGAACCCATTGCCATACAAGATGATATCAACAATTACAACCTTGACAATAACGATCCATACGACGACGACGACGATATTATGAATGGACCAATTGATCAAGATGACCCTCCTCCAAGAGCTTCTTGGGCGAAACCTTATATTCCATCAACGCCTAGCACTCCAATATCCAATGGAAATGGAACAAGATCAACAACAACGACACCTCAACAACCACCAGCACAACAACCAGCACAACGATCAACACCATTACAACAAACACAGTCACAATCATCATCCACGACGACCAACGGAACACCTCTCAGATCATCTTCCAGTACATTTGGAACACCAACAACCTCCACCTCCTGGATGGATGTCGACTCATTCATAGAGATAAGCGATGACGACACTTGATCCATCCATATATAAATCATTACCTGTATATATATATTTAACTGATTGATTGATTGATTGATTGGAAACAGAGATTACTTGGCGTAGTTATATTGTTTAATAATATGGTATGATTGGTTTGAATGAGTGTGTAGGTTGACTCGTGCGCGCGCAGTCTATTTAAATCTGTTGGTATGAGCCGGTCTGACCTCCAGTGCCGGTGATCTTGCCCTTGATGAAGAGCACTCCGTCCTTCAACAAGCCTGGGAGGGTGTCCGACCAGAAGGTGACGTTGGGGAACAACTCCTTTCCTTGGAGACCGCGAACCTTGTAGTTGATGATGATACCGGCAACAATGTACACTGTGGCCGAGCACAGCAGGATGATGACAAAGATCCAGCCGCCGCCAATTCCTCCCTTGTGACCGTTGTCGCCTCCAGAGGTCGTGCCGCCAGTGGTGGTGCCAGAGGTGGTGGTTGGACCAGCAGAGGTGGTTTGGCCGGTGGTGGTGACACCAGTTGTGGAGGTGGTGCCGGTGGTTGGGCAAGCGAGCTTGCTGTTAATGGTGATGGCGTAGATGCATGGTTGAATCTCACCAGCCGAAACGACAGTGGTTTGTGCCTGACTGCACTGCAGAATGAGTGAAGTTTGTCTGATTGACTTGGAGCAAGCAGCACCATCCTTGTAAGTGACCTGAGCACCGCTTACGCCGTTTGCTGTTGTAGTATTATATAAATATTTTGGTTAGTTGATTGTTTGTTTGATTGATTGATAATGAATGATTGATTAAACATACGCAATCCCTGCCATGTGGCAGTCTTCAAATGACCACAATCAAAGTAGCTGGTGCCAGACATTTGGCAAGCAGCAGAGTCAACGTTGTTTGCCTTCTGTGTACAGATCTGTGCAGTTCCACAAATGTTGAAGTAGTACTATATTATGTTTGATTAATGGATTGAAAGTTAGTGATACAATGTCCAATCAATTGAGGGATGATAATCATAATCATTGCATATACAATACATACTGTGCTGGCTTTGGATGTGTTGGTGTAGGTATACTGGGTGTTGTTGTACCTATTATGATGATGTGATATGAGTGTCAATCAAACATTCAATCATTAGATCGATCAATGAATCAATCATAATACATACATGGATGAGAAGTCGTATTTAGTTGCGCCATTGCTGTATTGGCAGTTTTGACGCTGTCCAGCAACAAAGGACAGGGCAACGAGCACCAGGAAGACACAAAGAGTCAATCTCATTTTCTTTTATATATTTATAACTAACTAACTAACTATATATTGAGATAGAAACAAAGTAATATGTGTGTAAAGTTGTATCTATTTGCATTAAGCAAAGCGAATCAATAATGAGGAGAGTCCAGAGATGGGAGACCAGGATGCGCCAAGAGAGTATCAACAACAACAACTTTCACTAACAAAGTGTTCTTGACCAACCTGATCACTTGTTGTTGTTTAAACTCACACCCTAGTTATGTGCGAGGGTCCTTGAGCCCCGCTACTACTATGAGGCCTACACGATAAGGTAATGCGTTTGATTAGTGGTGTAAAATTAAAATCAACAACAATCTTATTTTATTTTCATTTTTTTAACATTTTTGTCCAAGAGATATTTATCAAAAGTGATTTGTTTTTATTTTGAACAGTTCAACAGAATGTTCAGATTTGATTGACCAACAACAAACTTCGGTATAACCCAAACTCCGGTATCTATCCAGAGTAAGTGATGATCATTGTAAACAATTTATTCGTGTAGCCTCCCCGACACTGATTACCATCTCCTACTCCGTTGAGATCCATCTAAAAAGAAAGGTGAAGATCTTTGTTGGTGTGGAGCAAGGACACCACTATGCCACTTGAGTTACATTCTAGGTCATTATGATTGGAATATTATATTATTTGTTTGAAACAAAGAGAGATTTATTAAATTATTAATATATTTATTATTTGATTGAATGGATGGATGATGCAAAGTAATTGATTTAGACTTGTTGGTATGAACCATTTCCACCTGATCCAGTGACCTTGCCCTTGATATAAAGGACACCATCCTTGATCAGTCCTGGGAAGGACGACCAGAACTCAATGTTGGGGAACATCTCTCCTCCTCTCAACCCACGAACCTTGTAGTTGACTCCAATGCCAATGCCTATGTAAAGAAAAATTCCAACCAAAAGCCTACATAAATCATTTGATTGGGTTGATTGGATGGATAGTCAGTAAATCAATCAATAGTGGGCCCACACTCTGTGTTTGAAACAACATACAGGATGATGAATATCCAGCCACCACCGATAAAGTTTGATTTTGGACCATTGCCACCACCAGAGCTGCTGCCGCCACTGCCACCACCTGGACAGGCAAACTTGCTAGTCATTAGAATGTAGTAGTTACACTTAATATCACCCTCGGTGGCACTGACAACGGCTGTTGGTTCATTCGAACATGTCAATCCAACGTGTGTCGTACGCTTAACACCGTTTCCACAAGGATTTCCATCACCAACGTATGTAACTGTTGCACCCTTTCCAGATTCTATGTTTGTTGATTGATTGAATGAATGATTGATTGAATGTGTGAGTCGGTGGAATAGTTCCATCATCAATCAATTGTCTGTATGATGGAATCAATAAATCAATCAATCAATCTTACCAAGGTCGCTCCATGTAGCTTGATCCAAACTTCCAGTGTCAAACCATGATCCACCACTGATCTGACATGAGGCAGTTCTCACTGACATGCTGATGCAGCTGTGTGCCACATCACAAACGTTCCAATAGTATGTCATCTTTGGTGAATTCGAGTTGAATACGTATGATGTTGCGCTAGGAGACAATGATGACGTTTAGTGTGAGTATGAACGAACATCAGATCTTGTTGACCACACACACACATGTGAACACATTAGTATGACATACTTGACCATTCCAGAGAAATCGTACTTGTCACCCGATTGTGAGGTGTACTGACAGTTGCTGGCTGCAGAGGCCAAAGAGGCCAAAGTGATCACTACCACCAATAGTGTGATAAAGATCCTCATCATCATTCTAAAAATGTTGTTGTTGTTGTGTTTTGAGCTCAACAAAGAGAGATAGATAGAGATAGAATGTTGTAGTTGTAGAAGCTGTATTTTACAAATGAATGACCAACCCTATCCTCTATTACGTTAACATATAGTTAATGTATGTTGGTGCGTGTGTAACCTTCCTTTCTGTAGGTGTGGGTCAGCTCTTGGATAGTCAGTAAGCCGAGGTAGGTCCACAGCAGCTCATTAAAAAAATCACACCAATTTCGTCGTGTTGTGCAAGCCCACCTCTTTTTCTTGCGAATGATCAACAAGATCTTTTTTAGACCCCGATCACCCATTGCTTGTTAATCAAATGATGGATGGATGGTGGGTGGTGAAGAGATAAATGTTGGAAATATATGTTTAAATGTATATATATATAAAGGATATGGAAGTGCACTTGATCAATTAACCTTGAGTGCCACGACAGAGTTTGGAGAATGCTTGGACGTAGAATCGATAGTCGACCTTGTTCTCGTTGACGTGTTGGATCTGGCTGAGGAAGACCTGCTTGTCATTGTGATCGACAACACCTTCCAAAAATGTCGAGTTGATCAGAATACCTGCGGCCTCCTTACGGAACACTGTTGGGAATGCAGTACCATATGCTTGGAGCAGCTCAGCAACGTTTGGAATAATACTCGCTGGGAACACCGTTGACAGGCCAACCAAAAGATTGCCAATCAATTGTTTTCCATGATTCTTGATCACTGTTGCAACTGCTTCTTCGAATGGATTTGATTGTTGTTGTTGTTGTTGTTGTTGTAGTTGTTGTTGGAGGTTGTTGTTGTCCATGTTGCCATTCTTGAGTAATAATATGGATGACAGCAGTGAGAGACAATGTCTGCTGGTAGTAACATCATTTACATCCAATATGTTATGTATAATATATGTTGACAGTGCTGTGATGATATTCGGGTCTACACAGTTGGGTGTAGATTTAAGTGACTATGATTGATTGATTGATCGGAATGAGTGAGTACAAGTTTGGATCATTGTTGGATTGAATGATTGTATGATACATACATTCTGGATGAGATGGAAATAGTCCTTGGTGATATCTGATCGAATGGAGAAGTTGAGATGATATTGTGGCTCAATGGGATAGTCTTTGAGGGGTGGGAGACATGCTGTCTCATTCTTGAGTAGAGTGATGGTGGTGGCAGAGATCACTCCAATTGCATCTCGCAGTTTGATCTCGACGTCTGGTGTGGGCTTGCTACCAGTGTTGACGGCAGAGACCACCTGAAGCAGCTGTGGCTGGGGATACTTGGTGTAGGCTTCAGTGGCCTGGCCCAGAATCTCATTGACAAAGTCAGACACTGCACTCCTACAGTAGAGCAAGGCGCCACGGTATATGCTGGCGATGGATTCAATCACCTCGCACTCTGATGGGTAGAGCTTTAGCAGCTCTTTCAGCTGGGGTATGATCGTGTGGAAGAAGGGGAACAGTGGATGCTTCTGGATGTCATCATTAATGTCATCGACATCAATGATACCTGTGATCTTTTCATAAATCTGTAACTGTATCTTTAACAATGGGAGTGAACTACCAGGCTATGTGATTGATTGATTGAGTGAGTATGTATATCATTGATTGAATATGATATTGATCGCTGAACCTACAGTATTAATTGTCTTGTTTACATTCTCAATGATTGGTTTCAAAAGTTGTTGGAATGGTACCATCATTGAATCGGCATCAGGTATTACATGAATGATATAGATCAAAGCTTGATAGACTGTGACAATGGCTGGATGTGATTGATGAGCCATCAAGTGTGGAGTGCTCATGTCCAGGATGGCCTTAATGATTGGCGCCAGCTTGAGCTGACACTTGCGATTGATTGCAATGTTGAGCAATGACTGCGCGGCGGCGGGTAACAGCTCCATCGACGCCAGCGCCGATATGAGATCGGCGATCACCTTCTCGAGAGCGCTCTTGTCCATGTGCAGATAGTTGGAGAACTTGCCAATGAGCTTGATCGATGTCTTGAACAACTCGAGTGACTTGACCGGGATAGTCGGGATGAGGTGCAGAAGAATGGGCACCATCTGCGTGCTGTCGCTGCTGCTCATGCCCTCGGACAGCGTGGAGATGTACGACAGCGTCACCTCATAGTGCTGCCACTCCAGCTCGTTGTTTTGCAGGTCGTTCTTCAACTGCTCGATCAGATGTTTGATAAAGTAAGTGCTGTCGCGAGACAGAGCAAACTGCTGTATGCTGGCAAGCATCTCGATCGAGTTGCTCCTGAACTGGTGTATCTGGCAGATGTCGGCATGGCCGCGCTTCTTGCATGGGTACATTGATATCTGTCGGAATCGCTTCATTATGCTCAAAAAGATGGACTCGAGCAGCGCAGGCTCCAGCATGAGGTACTCTGGGTGCGACTTAAAGTCGTCGAGCAGGGGGAAGAGCAGATCGCACACCTCCAGGTTGCCCAGTGATATGATGCTGATCAACAATTCAAAGTAGCGCTTGATGAGTGGGGGCGTCAACAGAGTCGAGTTGTTCGCCAACATCACTTGTACCAGACAGTTGCAGATGGCCTTGGCGCTGTTGGAGTCGTCCTCCTTGATGGCCTTGGCGTAGAACTCTGGCATCACACATTGCAGTCGATCGGCAATGGCAGAGTACGCGGCCTCAATGTCGTCCCTGAGCTTCGAGCTCAGGTGGCCGAGCGAGTTCTCAACCAGTCGCGTCAGTGATTCAAGCAGTGATGGGTCGGCAATCGTCATTGCCAATGCCATGTTGAAAGTGTCGAGGAGGAGCGACGCCGACGTGGGCAGCATGAATCGCTGCCAGAGGCCCTGTGCGCGAATCACCATCTTTGGTACATGTATCTGCAGCTTGTGCTCGGCCAGCGGCAGATGCTGATGGTTGGCCGCGATCTCCAACAGATAGCGGTAGATGTGGTCGATGAATGAAGCAATGCTGCCTTTGAGCGCTTTGAACTGGTTGCACGGCAGCACGTAGCTGCACAGCTCTTCGGGCAGGATCGACAGAAACTCGAGTACAAAGGGCAGCATCTCGACGCGCATGTTGGCCAACGGGTGCTCGATCGATGGGCTGCACATCTGAATGATGTTCTCGATGGGCGAGCTCCACAACGCCGTGCCATAAGTATGCATCGCAGTGATACTCAACACGACACACATCCTCTTTGCTACGATGCCCGTCAACTTTGCTCCACTCTCCGACACGACTCCAACCACAATAGCCAACACACGCTTCTTCATATCATCAGGTAGATGTGACCATTCACTCTTTAACTTATTCTCCAAAGTTGATGCTCCAAAGTATTGTAACTCAACAACCTATTTTGTTATGTTTGATTGATTGATTGATTGAATGAGTTAGTTAGTATGATTGATTGAATGAATGAATGTGGACATGTCAGGGCTAGGCTTACATTCGACTCAAGTATGAGTTTGGGACAGAACTCCCATGCGACAGGTAGTCGTTGAACTTGCATTAGCCATGTCTGAGCATAGTTTCTCATCTTCTCATCAGTTGATTTATATAGTGCCACTAAAGCCTGTGATATGTTCTCCATTGTAGGTTGAGGATCTACCTCTGACGTCTGTGTAGGTGACAAACAAGAAGCTGTCGCAGCAGCTCCACCTGTACCTGCGACAGTCCCACCTGCACCATTACTTCCATTACTATGTTCTGCTTGCATTACTACTATCTATCTATATATATATATTCAAATATGATCAATGTATCTCTATCTAACTCTATTTGTGTAGTGATACAAGTATGAATGAATGAAGAAATCAAAAGTTGTGTAAAGAGGGGGGGCCTTCTCGAACGCGACTCTTTGGTTCGCATCCCCACATATTATCCATCGATCAAACAAATACAAACAAACAATGTAGAGAGATAATATAAATAAAGATAGAGAGGATATCGTATAGATCTATATTTATTACTAATCACAGTCGTTCCTGCGCAGTTTGAGCGTTCGTTGTATGTAATTGATGTTGATGATCAGATAGACACATTGGGTGCGTTTAGGCAACCAAGACACAGGCTCCACCGACAGCCTTGATCTTCTTCTCGGCGACCTTTGAGAAGTATCTGGCCTTGACAATGATTGGCTGGGATGGGAGGAGTCCGTGGCCCAAAACCTTGAAGAATCCCTATAATATTATATCGAATCACATATTAGTCATCGCGTCCTGTGTTCAATGTCGCTCGCAACTATCGCCTGTTGGGGTCTGTCGCTCTGTTCTGCTGTCAATGATTAATGAATGATCTTACTCTTTGGGTGACATCGACAACTGGGGCAGTGCCATCGTTCTTGGTGGCGAGCTCCTTGCGAACTGAGTCTGGGACAAAGGTCCAGATCTTCTCGAGGGAGACGGTTGGACAGTAGGATCTGTGTCTAACCAAGTGGAAAGTTCTCATTCCAAGCTTACCAAAGTAACCTGGATGGCTGTGATGTTCAAAAAGTATCGTATGTGTAAGTGTCTACTCGAGTCATTCATCATCTTTCATCATCGATCCAATCAATCAATCATCATATCATCTAACTATTATAAGTATCCACATACTATTTGACGAAGTTGATTCTGTGGTGAGTCAAACCTCCAGCGTTTCCACGACCACCAGCATGCTTTCTGTGCTTTCCTGTGTAGTTGTAGAGTTGTCAAGTTAGTCTCTTTCGTTCATATCCTGTGTGTCTGGTTGCTGTGCTGCTGCTGCGTGTTGATAACATACCGACACGACCGTAACCGGCGCAAACGTCACCTCTGGACTTTCTGTGTTTAGAGAAACGGGTAGGCTATAGGATTGAGAGAGAGAGAGAGAGAGAGAGATATACATTGAACGATCCATCCATTGATTGATTGATATGACGAATGAGTTAGATTCATTGGATAGATCTTGATGGTCACTCATTTGATCGATTCCTCTGACGTACCATTCTGTGTGATTGGCGTTAATGATGAGTACAATGCACTGCTGTCGATGATACTGCCATCCAAAGACATGACCTCGCCAAGTGTGTATCCTGCGCAGCACACGACCTCCTCTCCCACGTTCAACATCCCACACACAACTTTCAAATTGATTTATTTTAATTTTCATCAACCCAATCAAAACGTTACACTAGCGTTTGGTAATCCCAAACTCCACGGAAACTCAAACATTTAAGTTGGGATGTCTATCTACTCTATTAAATATCCCAATAACAATTAGTTAATAGTTATTATTCAATCAAATATTTAACATAGTTATAAATTCAAAAGATAATAATTATAAAAATGAACCTAATCTTCAACCATCTCCCCTTCTCCAAGCCCAGAACAATGACCAACTTGGGGACAATCCCAATGATCTTCCCCTTCCCATCACTGAGAACAATGACCTACCAACAAGTCATCATCCAATCTGGATCAATGAGATAATATCTTACACAAACTATGGAAGACATTAAGATTGGCAAGTGAGACCAATATTTATTTAAAACAATCAAATGATGAGATCACAGTACTTTTTGATCAAATGTTCAATGTATTGATAACTTTGGAGCATAGAGCTAAGTATCCAATTAAAGAACAAAGGTCCATAAGTCAAATCATCAATCAAAGATATAATCAATGAGATAATATCTTATGATAATATCATCAGCCAAAAGTCATACAAACCCAAATATTATAAAATATCAACTATAAGCTTATTAACTTCTTGGACACATATAAGGATATGGAGAAGTATATAAACGATCGGTTTGCTCCCGAACTTCTCATGAAAGTTCAAGTGCAAGTCAATCAGGATGAGATCCAATCATCCCTAAACCAATTCGATGACCCTACGTTATGGCAAAGACAATCAAATATGGACATTATTTGGTCGACCATCAAGAAGCTGATGGAATCTTGCTTGAAATTCAATGGACCAATTGGAGATTTTAGACTTGCTGATCTCAATGGCAATATAATATCTTTCAATGTCGAGGAAGATGATCATCAAGAATACTCTTTGAATATTCTATCTTTGGAAACGTTCAAGTGGAAGTCCATAGGTACTGGCATACTCAATTCATTCAAGGGATCTGCGGTGGTCTACGCCCGTGGAGGTATCTATTCATTTGGTGGCGTGAAACAGCCAACCAAATTCTCTCGTTACTCCCTCTCATCCAATCAATCTCATGATACATTAATCTTCTCAGACAGAGGATACTCATCAGCATGCTACAATGGAAGAAAGTACATCTATATAGTAGGTGGATTGTACAAGAGCACATTTCATGACAGAGTGGATCGTTTCAATCTGGACACTCAGGTGTTTGAACATATTGGGAGTCTTGGATTCAATGTTATATTGCCATGTATCCACTATTATAATGGCCATATTTTGATTGTATCTGGAAATTGTATCTATTATTTCGATGTCTCCCTAGGAAATACATGCTCCTTCAGTATTCCTAGTAGGAAAGTAATACGATCATGTTGCTTTGATGACCGAGGAAAGATATTCATACACTTTAATGACTCCTTCATTCAATGTTCATCACGATTGGATGATCAGGTTCCTGATCGATACTGCCACGGTGCAACAATGATTCAAGACAATAAATGAATCGTGTTGAATGATTGGTAGTACTAATCAATTGTGGGGGCCCCGACTCTTGATCTATTAATTGGACTACAAATTGAACGTGTCCAGCAGTCCATCCAGCCAAGTCGACAGATACGAGTTTGATGCTTACTCAACGATTATGACATACTACAATGGCTCAAGGTACTCTATAACGTCATGGTGTAATAATGATTCAAGACAATAAATGAATGGTGGATTAGAATGATGGGATTGGACCCGTGATCGTTTAGTTGGACTCCAAAGTAATGATGTAGGTTCTGACATCCATTGGGCTGATCTGGACGGTGAAGTCACCGTTGAGGGATGGCTGAACTGGCTTGACGTTGGCAGAGTTAGTGTTCCAGTTGAGACGGTTGACGGCGGCCAACTTCATGGTGGCCGACAGGTTCATCTCTGTGACCGATGTGACCTGGTAGAAGGCGAAAATGGTGGTGATGTCAACAGAGATGGTCTGGGTGTCGACAGTGTCCTGACCATCGATGGCGTAGATGTTCTGCAGACGCAACACGATGGCGCTGTCGCTGTTGTCCAGCCACTGGAGGGTGAGCAGACGGATGCCCTGGGGCAGGTCGTAGTTCAGTGGGCTGTAGGTGCCCTGGTACATGGAAGACCAGACGTTGGAGCTGTAGGTGGTGGTGGTGAACACGGGGAACAGTGGGTGCTGGTGGGCCAATGCCAGTGGACGGTAGAAGGACTGGGCGTCGTTGTTGATCTGGTGGAAGACGATTCTGGTGGTGGTGATGATCTGGGTGGACTCGTTCATGGGCTCGCCGACTCCACGGCCGTCGTCCATCAAAGTACGGCGGTGCAGCATCATCTCGAGTTCACCGTTGCCCAGGGAGGCACAGGAGCGCGAGCGGTCGGTGATGAAGGTCAGCTGCAGGTTCTGGTTGGTGTCCTGCAGGTAGGTGATGGCGTTCAGTGGCACGTAGTTGCCAGAGGTTGGCTGCATGACGGTGTAGTTCCACGATGGACGGTAGTTGATGATTCTCTGCTGCATCTCCATACCGTTCGAGTCGGAGTACCAGGTGTTGTTGGTGTTCAAGCTGGTGTTGTAGCGAGTGACAACCTCCTTGCCCAAGCCGTCTGAGATGTCGATTGGGCCGACGGTCTCCTCGACCTCGAGGAAGTAGGCGTTGGCGTACAGACGGAAGATCTGGACCATGTTCTCGTTCCAGAAACGGGTGATGGTCGACACCTCTGGGCCGTTGACGACAGACACTGTTGGGTTGGTGGTGGTGTAGGCGGTGGGCTCCTGGTTGACTGGACGGAAGATGTAGGCACCATCGCACTGGTCCGACACAGAATCGCCGACAGATGGGGCGTAGGTCATGAACTGCTGGGTGACGTTGATGTAGGTGCCAGAGGTGACATTGGTGATGCTCACGATGGCACCGGTGGTGGCGTCGAAGCGGACCGAGATGAATGGGTTCTGGAGAACGATCTGGCTGTCGTGGACTGAGGGTGTGGCAGCCTCAGCGACGTCGGCGGCAGTGGTCTCCTCAGCTTGAGCTGGGGCGATGATGTAGGTGGCGTATCCCATTGGTGGGACCTCGGCAACGAAGGTGACCCAGGCAGAACCGTCGAGCTCGACGGTGGTCTGTGACTTGATGGCGCCGTTGTTGTTGGACACAGACACTTGAGCGATGGGCACTGGCAAGTTGACGTACTCGTAACGAGTCCAGGACAGAGAGTTGTACAGGACGACGGGAACAGAGGTGTTGAACACCAAGTAGTCGAGGACTGGGCACGACGACTCGTTGAGCAGTGGGCAGAATGACATGGATGGGATTGGGTTGCTGGAGGTTCCGGCGAGCAGCTGGCCAACAACGGTGTTCAACACAGAGTAGGCAGAGTACTGACCAATGGAGAGACGCTGGGCATAGTCGTAGGCGACGTGCTGTTGCTCGGTACCGGCGACAGCGTCGTGGTGCTGGGCGACACCCTGGGCCTCACGGAGGACCTCAACCTGGGGGAACATCGACTGGACGTTTGGAATGCTGCTCTGGGAGGTGACCATCAGCTGCTCGGTGACGTGCAGCAGGGCGTTGGTCTGACGCACGTATCCCTTGAGGGCGGGACGTGAGACAAAGTAACCGGTCCAGTATGAATAGGGACCGTCGGCGTATGGGAACAAGTCGTCGGTCTTGACGTTCCAGGTGAGGTTGGCGGCGTTGACGGCGTCGATGTAGATCGATGGGGTCGAGTAGAGCAAGTTCATGTTGTACTGTGGGTTGGCGTTGATGTAGGCAATCAACTTGTCCAAGTTCTTAAAGTACATGTTGGCGTTCATGTAGGCAAAGTCACAGCCCATTGGAACCAACACGTTGTTGGACTGGTAGTGAGTGGAGTACTCCTGAGCGACGGCGATGAAAGCCTCTGCACGCTCCTGGATGTTAACGTTGAACAAGTTTGGATCGTCTTGGATGGGGTCATCACCACCCTCAAAGTTGAAGCCTGATGGTGTGCAGTACATAGCTCTCAAGACACTTGTGAACACCTGGTACTCTGGGTTGGATCTTGATCCTCTCCACATGAACTCCATCTGCTTGTCCTGGAGTCTCCAGTCCTATATATACATGTGTGATTGATTGAATGAACGAGTGAGTGCGTTGATTCGTTTCTCGAATGGATGGCTGGATAATTGATCACTTACAATATCTTGGTAGTCCATACGACCAATGATAAAGGCGTCGAAACCAATGTTACCAAAGATGGCGGATTGAGCGTTAGAATGTCCGAACGGATCGATGTGCCAGCCAATCTTGGGTGTGACACCAAAGTTCTCGTTGATGAACTGGTGGCCCAGGGTCATCTGATCGATGATGTCGTCGTAGTAGGTGGTGGCCTCGTCATTCATGCACCAGCCTCCGTTGATGAACTCGAGCTGTCCGTTGCGGACCAACTCAGTGACGGACTTTTGAGTGGCGGGAGTCTGCTCTCTCCACCAACGCATAAAGAAGGCAATCTCGACGTAGATAAATCTGCGCTCTGGGTTCTGCAACAGACCAGTCACGACAGAGTCCAATGTGTACTGAACACCAGCAGTTTGAATTGACATGTTGGCACCATAATAGTACTCGTCAACAGTCTTGAGCCATCCTACATCCTAAACATCGAGTTGATTGATTGATTGATTGATGTCAGTACACTGAATGTATGATTGATTGATTGGATAATCAAACAAACATACATCATGAGTATGAGCAACGAGATGAACGTTGAGGATGTTGGAACCCATTGGAGCAATGTTTGGCTTTCCGGCCATGACCATTGCACCAAGACACACAAGTGTCATCAACATAATAGTACCAGAGATTCTCATTTCTAATCTTTGATATATCTGTATCTTTATATTTATTTATATATATATATATACTTAAATGGTATTGAACCTAATGTCAATGATTGTTAGGGTTGGATTGGATTGGAACAGTAACATGAGTGTGAAACAGAAAGCGACAGGGAAGGGTATTGAGTGAGTGTGGAGGGGGTTGATTGATGGGGATGGCGACAATCATACACTCACATGGTCATTCATTTATTCAACTTTACGACACTCACCCGCATTTATGACATTCAACACACGTTCATTCTCTCTTGATAACTTTGTTTGTTGCTGTTGTTTGAAATTGATGATGATCACTCCTGTTTGTGCGCCCAAGTCCGAACCATCAATCGCAAACATGTTCAAAAAATATCTGGGTAAAGGGGCCAATGAGTTGTGAATTTGACCTGGGTTATTGGTCTTTGGATTAATTATTAATATTTTTTTATTCGTTGTTTCATATTCGGAAGACCGGAATTTAAAGACGACAAAAGTGTAAGTCGGGTTTGAATGAAGCAGTAACCTTATTTGCATCATTAGGGACATGTACACGTTCCCTTGGCGACATCTATGTTTGGAATAACAAGACCGACCTGGTATTATTGTTATGACATTATTGTAGGGTCTATTCAAACAGAATGAGTGATCAACATTTTAAAGAATGAACCAAGACAGGCATGTTATTTGAACATATAACAAGAGGTATAATCAATGATTCTTACATACTCTTGAGTCTAGTCAACTAGATCATGATCCAGAGAGATTGGTAAAGAAGTGTGATGGAGAATAGAGAAGAACATCCAAGCATTCCATTACATAACCAAAGCATTGGTTGGTGGTGATGAGATTGAATGACAGGGAGTGACCTGCCCATTAACCGATCTCTAGTAGCTTGAAACGTTGGGTAGGGAACCCACGATGCTGCATCCACTAGCGTTGGAATAAAATTAATAAGAATAGTTTTGAACAGCCACAACTTTGTTGTTGTTGAAGATGAGTGGTCAGCTGACATCAACTGCTCGTTCATTGAGTGCTCCAGTATGTGGCCCAACCTTTCATTCATTCATTCATTATTCAAACAACATATTATTTGTGTGCATGTGTACAAGCATGTCACAATCTTCAAATTGAAGACCCTGATGGCCAAAAGAAAGAATATCATACCAAACACAACAACGACTACTACCACAACAACTACAACAACAACAACATCATCAACAGCAACAAACAGTAGCCGAAGTAGAAATAGTAACAGAGAAAGCGACGACGATAATAACAATAATAATAACAATAACAATAATAATATTAATAATAATAATAACAACAATAATAGCATCGATGAAAAGAAGAGATTTAAATGTAAACATGTTGGATGTAACAAAATATATAACCATAAGCAGGGCAGAAGCAAACATAACAAGAAGCTTCATAGCAGCCCTTGCACGACCTTTTGTCAGAACTGTGAGCGACGTAAACAGGAGGATTTGAAACTGGATGAGGAAGGCGTGAGGTGCAGACACAATCGGTGTCACTCGACGAGGGAGAAGTTTGTGAGCAGCAATCTGGCAAAGCATGAGAAGAAGAAACACAAGCTTTGCCAGCCTGACTGTCCCATATGCTTGGGCTTGCCATTACCCAAACGAGGCTCCAGACGAGGAACCAGTGGCGCTGGTGGTGGCTATGGTGGTGGCTCTGGTGTGAAGGGTACTATTTTCTCTGGGAAGGGTACTGGGGTCAGCGATATCAAACCAGAGACTGTTCTTACACCTGGCACTATCAACACCATGTCTATCAGTCAGATCACCGATGTCGTCCAGCCGGCAGACACAATAGCCGACCTGGATGATATCACAACCAACACCACAACCTCCACCACAACCACGTCCACCACTTCCACCACCTCGACAACAGGTTGGCCGCGACATCTGGACAACGATCATTATTCGTCGATTGAGTGCAAAACACCAGACGACGATCTTGATTCACCTCCAGCATCCAGCGACCCTGATTCTCCACCAGCGACCAATGTTAGGATGGAGGATTACACTGGCGAGGAGGACGAGGAGGAGGATGAGACGGTGGTTGAGGCGACGGTGGAGGAGGATGAGTCTGACGAGGAGATCGAGGAGGATCATGAGCTCCTGATGACGACAGGTGCCAACATGGCATCGCATAGGAGGTGGCAAAAGTTGTTCGTTGGCTGTGATGTGGAGGCCAAGACCGACGCTGACACACCGGACAGGTTTGCGTGGTATGAGGGTATATTGTTTCGTAAAGAAAACTTCCCTTTCTGCATTGTACAGTACAATCAGGAGCGCTACTGCACGAGGTTGGTGGAGTTTGAGTCTCTGCACATCAAAAGGATACGACCAGTGTCCAATTGTCTATTACAGGTCAGCGAAGCGCGATACATGTTGAAGGTTATGGTGTTCTACAATCTGCGATACTACTCTGGCAAACTTATAGATCTCAATCTCAAATGGAACAGGATACCTCTGGAATCCGTCACAGTGAACATTAGAGACTTGAACGTCATATTTAGGGCCTCTTGGAATTGCGTTTATAAATTACCGCCTTAAGAAGACCTTTCTTTCATTTGTAGTTGGATAGAGAGACATGTACAGCAGTGCTCTTTACAACTTTCAATGACATTTCGGTTCGTCTGGAACATTAATTATATCTCTCAATAGTTTGTTTGTTATTATTATTATTATACATACTTACTTACCATTCCTTCTCTCTCTCTCTTTGCCAGGGACATTGAGTGATTGACCAAAGTATTCAGTTTGTCTGTCTGACTCAGCAGTTGCCAGCTCACACATTTTCACTCACAATCAACCAAACAAACAAACAAAACACACACTTTTGGTGAACTTGATCAAGTTCAGTGAGCTAAATTAAACAAGTATTTGTTGTTGTACTTATTAGGCATTCATTTATATACATACAAAGAGATAAAGAGATGGTATTGAGCGATTTTGATTTGGTTTGCCAGATAAAGGCTGTAATCATTATGGATAGTAATGGCAAGCGAATACGTAGTCTCTTCTATGATAGTGCACTCAATGATTTCAAGACAGAGAAGGATAAGAGAGCATTCGAATTAAGACTACATGAGAAGAATAAGGTTACAAATAGTATGTTTGTTGTTGTTGACTAAGTATCATCATTAGTACTAACATGATACACATTATAAAGGTGAGTTGGAGATAATTGATCAATACATTGTTGTAGGAGGAAAGACTGGAGATATACAGGTCTATGTTGTAGGACTCAACTCTGTTAATGAGTTGGCATTGTTGGACGTACTAAATGTCATCACAAGTCTGATGCGAAGGATATGTGCCACAGAGGACTCTTCAATCATCTCAAAGAAGTTGTTGTTGGAGAACTACAACATGCTTTGTTTGTATTTAGATGAAGTTATCAATGATGGGTATGTGAACATTTCAGATGGTCAATCGGTCACTCAGGTCACTCAATGAATGAATGAACGATACTAACACACAGCAACAACAACAGCATTGTATTCGAAGTCGATGAGGACACCATTGTTGGAAGAGTTCCACTTGCCGATCAGAGTATGACCGATTTGAACAATGCAATTGAGTTGGCCAAAGAAAGATTCTCAATCTTTACCAAAGGCAGATAAGATAGATAGATAGACGGAAAAGATAGATAGATAGATAAAATAACATAATCTTGTGCACATATATTATTACATATAACCATCCATGTTGTCATTCATTCTCAATGACTTCCATTCCAGCTTTCCACGTCGACAACCCCCTGCACTCACCTCTATTTTTGGAATAGGTTTCATTGAATTCTTCTAAGATCTATCTATCTGTGTGATTGACTGAAACGAATGGATATTGTTGCAAATGAACCAATGTCTAATGTCATTCATTCATTCATAATAAACTAAATCTATAACAAATACATAATATATATATATATACAATACACTGATGACATCATTGTTGGACTCAATCGTAACATCGATTCGAAAGTTGAAGAGTGGGACTCAGACTGTGGTTCAAACTCGTGAAAGTGAGTATGCCCACCAATCAATCAATCAATCATCCAGGAACCTATATATTAATGACAACATTCCAGTTGAATCAATCAAACCAACAATCAAGTTCATTTGTGATGGATGCAAATGTTTGATTGAGGATGGTCAGGAGAGATTCTGTTGTTCAGAATGTCCAGACTTTGATCTGTGCAAGACATGTTGGATAAAGGAGGTTCGTTTCTATCAACAACTTGAGAAACAACAAAAGATTAGTGACGGTGAGCCACTCTCTCCTGAACTAATGAACGCACCTACCGTCAACCAACCATTGACCTACTCTCACACCGACTCTGCGCCACTTCCACATTTATTCACAAGGGAGATATGTACGTCATCGTCCGTGGACAGTCCTGATTGATCTCAATACTAACATACTTTTAGACTCTCAACAAACAAAACTAAGTCTTATGCAGGCTGATACAACCTATGAATCGATGCAGTAAGTTGGCATGGCTACACCCCACTGGAATGATCCCACTGACCCATCAATCAATCATTCTCAAACCAACTCAGGAACTCATTCAGGGAGCATAAACATAGACGATGTTTAGGACAGCGTAGAAGGGTACCGGTATCGGATAAGCATCCATTTGGTCTGGCAGAGTTTGTTTGGTTGACTTTTGAAGAGGTGTATGAGTTGACAGAGACTTTTGGAAAGGCTCTGGCATCAGTGGTACCCACCCGCACGTTCATGGGCATCTGCGCAAACAACTGTCTCGAATGGTATACAGCAGACTTTGCAGGACTATGGTATGGAATGCCAGTCGTTCCAATTCATCATCAGGTCAGCACAAGTGATCTGGTAGAGATATTGGACAATGCAGACATTGGTGTCATTGTGATATCAAGTGTGGCCATGGACACCTTGGTTCAAGCAATCGATATAAATAGAGCGGCTAATGGTGGTCGCTACACTGGCCAGTTGCGACTGATCATTCACATGGAGAATGAGTTTGATGTGCAGCTGGTCGATCGTGTCCCGTCAAAGATCGACTTCAAACTGTACACAGAGATGATGGAGCTTGGCAAGACCATAAAGAATGCCAAGCACAATCCATTCAAAACAGATGAGATCATAAGTGTCGTCTATACATCAGGTAGCACTGGCACACCAAAAGGTGTGATCACAAAAGACATCGAGTATAACAAGTCAGTCACTGATGGCTTCTCCAAGTATCCATCATTGATCCTAAGCTTTGCCACCTTGTGTAAGTCACTCAATCACAGGAACTATTCCAATCACTCACTCACTTAATCAAACTATCACAGCCCACTCACAGAGAGAGAATGATCACAGGATATTGTTCCATGGAGGAAGAGTTGGATTGTACTCAAGGAGCATGGAGTCATTGTTTGATGATGTTAGGACACTGCGACCATCATCATTTTGGGCAGTCCCACGTGTTTGGAATCTAATATACTCTCAGTATGTCTGTGAGTTGGACAAGTATGCAAAGGAGAACCCACAGGCAACAGAGAAGGAGTGCAAGAGTAAGACAATTGAGAAGTTCTCTGGTATGCTTGGCAACAGACTGCGATACATTGGTACTGGAGGAGCACCCATCTCAAGCGAGGTACTCAAGTTCATGCAAGATTGTTGGCACCAAGTATTGAATGTGTGTGACAGCTATGGTCTGAGTGAGGTGGCTGGCATATTCATCGATGGTCGCATTGCTGATGACATCCAATTCAGACTGGAGCCGGTGCCAGAGTTTGGTTACTCACCATCTGATCAACCCAATCCACGTGGTGAGCTTGTTGTCAAGTCTGCTCGCATGTCCACTGGCTATCACAAGAATGAAGAGTTGACCAAACAATCATTCGTCGATGGATGGTTCTTCACTGGCGACATTGTCGAACAAATAGGATATCGAAGGATCAAGATCATCGATCGCAAGAAGCATGCTTTCAAGCTTAGCAATGGAGAGTTTGTAGCGTAAGTTGGCCTACACCTTCATCACACCCAAGCACTCACTTACCCTTGCCCTACCCTCAGCCCTGAACCATTGGAGAATGTATTCCGCTCGAGTAATATGATTGAGCAAATATTCATTCATGGAGATAGGATGAAGACATTCTTGGTTGCGATAGTTATCCCAAGGAAGGGTGTTATGGAGCAGTTTGGACTAAAGTATAACATTGATAGTGATGCAGTGCAGATCAATAGAGATCTCAAGAGTCTGATATTCCAAGAGATACAAAGGATAGCTGATCAAAGCAAGTTGATGACACATAGTATACCAAAGACTATAACAGTGGACAACACAATATGGACGATAGATAATCACTTGCTTACAGGATCAGGAAAGTTCTGTCGACGCAAGTTATACGCTCACTACAAGGATGCCATCACCAAGATGTATGAATCAATCGAGATTGTACAATCAGCATTGCGCGATGATACCAAAGTCAATAATGCAGCTTTGATGGAGTATGTCAAGAGTGTGTTGGGCGTGGACGATCAAGTGGACATCTCCAAGTTATCATTCACACAGATTGGAGGTGATAGTTTGGGTGCAGTGAGACTATCATCATTGCTCAAGGAGAAGGTGAACATCAATGTCTCACCACAGTTCATATTGAACAAGAACAACAACCTTCAGTCTCTGGCCAGGATGATGGAGATGAACATGGACGAGTACGAGCTGCCACCTGTCAAGATTGATTGGGAGCAAGAGATGGTCCTTGAAGACGCGATACAGATGGGCGACAAGACTATCAAACCAATCAAAAATTCTGGCAACTGTGTGTTCTTGACTGGTGCCACGGGATTCCTGGGATCATTCCTTCTTTTTGAACTCATCACCAAGCCATCAGTGGAGAGTGTGTTGTGTCTGGTGCGATCAGTTACTAGCGAGCAAGAGGCATTCAACAAGCTTGTACAAACACTCACAGTCAAATATCGTCTGGATATTACTGAAGAGCAAAAGAAGAAGATAGTACCAGTGCTGGGCGACTTGGAGTTGCCACGCTTTGGCCTGAGCGAGGAGGAGTTCATCTCAATGGCCAATCGCATCGACTTCACCATTCACAATGGAGCCATTGTCAACATGTTGATACCATATCCCAATATGCGTGCGGCTAATGTTGGAGCAGTTCAAGAGGTGTTACGACTTGCATGCTCTGGCGAGCATATCATCAACACATCGATAATATCAACCATTGGTACCTTTACTGATCGTCACTATACAATCACAGAGAATGCCGAGCCCACAATGGAGCGAATCGATCATATGAATGGATATAATCAATCAAAGTTGGTGGCTGAGCAGTTGGTATATGAGGCAAAGCGTCGCGGACTGCCACTCATTCTCTATCGACCTGGTACCATATTCGCACACACTGGAACAGGCATTGACAATGACAATGATTTCGTCAGCATGACCATCCGTGGAATCATATCGATGGGTGCATGCCCCGTTATGTTCAAGGAGGGTGAGGGTCTCTTCAACTTGTCACCTGTGGACTGGGTCAGCTCATCAATCGTTGGACTCTCACTGCAGGCGGACCTGTATAACGAAGCTGGCAAGAGCAAGCCAAACGTGTTCCACATGGTCAATGAGACATCGGTATCACTAGATGATGTGTGCAGCGCCATTCAACCACCATTGGAGCGATGTTCCTTCGTTCAATGGAGAGACAAGTTGGATGCACAGATGGACAATCCATTATATCCACTTAGGATGGCTTATAGAAATGGATTTGGTGGATATGGTAAATTCAAGAATCCAACGACCAGCTCCAACTTGGATCTTATCAACATGCCCAAGTGTCCATACATCACTGATGAAATGTTGGCCAAGAATATCCAACATTTAATGTCCAATTTGAATAAATAAATATATAGATTTGTATAACTTATTTTTTTATTGTTTGATAGGATTGAATTGATTGAGTGAGAGAGTGATTGGGACCATTCCTTTAGATTTATAAGTCATCACGGTTGGTTGTGGAGGTGATTGGGTTCCAGGTTGCCAGATCCTTCAACCAGCTCTCAGCCTTGAGCTTTGCCAAAAAGTTGGAATCCTCACCAATGTAGATGTGAAGTGGCAGGGCGGTATTGTCAACGACCAACTTGAATACAATGTTGGCCAACTTGGCAGGATCACCCTTGGTGAAATCAGCAAGGCTCTTGGTGGCCTGCTCCTTGTGGAATGGTTGGTAATCATCGATTGACTGAGCGGCCACTCTAAACTTGGATCCAGAGTAGATATCAGTGTTGAATCCACCTGGGTTGACTGTGAGCACCTTGATTCCAAATGGTTTCATCTCCTCAGCCAGGCTCTCAGTGGCAACTTCCAAAGCAGCCTTGGATGCAGAGTAGGCGCCGTAAGCAGGTAGTCCAAAGTTGGCCATTATCGAGGTCACATTGATAATATAGCCACTACGCTTGGCACGCAAGATAGGTGTGATGGCACGGATGACAGCAAGTGGTGCATAAAAGTTGACTGCAAAGTTGTCCTTGATGTCATTGATGGACAACTCCTCGATCACACCGGAGAGACCATAGCCAGGATTGTTAAGTACAATGTCGATGGTACCGAATCTGGCAGTGGTCTGGCGAACGGATGATTGGATACTGGACTCATCCAGGAGGTCGACTTGGAGAGCAAGGAATGATTCGGAGTCTGGGCCAAAGATATCGTTGAGGGCTTTCTTGTCTCTGGATGTGGCGGCCACCTTTTGTCCATTATTCAACAAAGTTTGGACCAAGGCCTTTCCAAGGCCCGTTGAGCAACCAGTAATATACCAGACGTTGACAGATGAGTTGGATGAAGTAGACATTATTTTGTAGATTGATTGAGTATTATAATAATTGAATATTTGATTTAATGGATCAACTTGATTGTTGTTGCTTTAATTGTTTTGATTGATTGTTATGTTTATGATGTTTGATAATGAAATGGATCCTTAGTTTAAATAGTTGTCCATTCCTTTGGTTGATGGACAAGTGATTGAGGGTTCTCCCAAGTGTCACAACTCACCTTTTCCTTTGGTAAAAACAATGGCGAACAACACTACCGAAGCATGTCACCCCTCTCATCACAAACCAAGAGGTGTGTGAGAGATATGAACCAAGTGGGGTGTTTTGTCTTTGTTGGACTAAAAAAGGAAACAAAAGAATGAACCTACCGAAACATAGACTGGTTCTCAACAAGAGAGAGAATTAACCTACCGAACGATCTGATGATCTACAGAATCAATGATTGTATACACTTTGGTTGCACGTGGTAGGTGTTGGTCATCTCGCAAAGCAAAGAGAGAAGTTCAGTTTCAGAGGAACTTCTGAGGACTTACTTACTTTTTACTCAAGGGTTGAATGTAGATGATCTAGTCCACTAGTGAGGACAATTCTTGTAAATAATCGATCGTTAACGATGAGTAAATGGATGTTGTTGATATGATAGATTAATTGATTGTGTAAAACTATTGATCACTTAATTGTTGATGGCCCTCTATTTGTTTGAAGTTCAAGTAAAAAATCATCTTCAAACAGGTGTGGGCTCGCGAATGGAAGATCTCTCTCTGAGTTCACTTTGACTTGAAAAGGTTGAGATACAAATAAGAACATATATATGTATATAAAAAAGGATAGAACAATATATATAGAATAGATAGAATATATAGAATAGATTAGATATAGATATAGTTATAAGGGGATATAGATAAACAAGAAAAGACAAGAAATGAAATTGTTAAAGAAATATATTGAAAAGGATATGAGTGGCAAGGTCAAGCTACAGATAGATGAAGAGGAGGACTTTTGGAATATATATAACCTCATCTCTGTGGGTGATAGACTCATGTCCACCACCATTAGAAAGGTACAAAAGGAGACGGCCACTGGCTCAGTGTCAAGCGAACGTCAGAGAGTCACCATTACAATCACCGTGCAAAAGATCGATTATGAACCGTCAAGTCAGTTGCTACGTATATCAGGTCCAGTCAGCGAGGAGAATCGTCTCGTGAAGCTGGGCGCATATCATACCATCGACCTCGAGGTCAACAGAGACTTTACATTGTTCAAGGACGAGTGGGACACTGTGTCGCTCGACCTGGTCAAGTCAGCGTCAGACATCTCGCAGCGTGCCGACGTCGCTGCGCTCATCATGAGTGAGGGTCTTGGTCATCTGTGTCTCATCACTCCCTCCATGACCGTTGTCAAGGCTCGCATCGATGTCCCAGTGCCAAGAAAGGGACGTTCATCCAACGACACACATCAGAAAGGTTTGGAGAACTTCTTCAATCTCCTGTTACAATCTATACTGCGTACCATCAACTTTAGTGTTGTCAAGTGCTTTATCATTGCATCGCCAGCATTTGTTAAAGTATGTACCAGTGAGCGAGCGAGCGAGCGAGCATGGTCCACATAACTAACATTCCCTCAATAATAACAGGATAAGTTCTATCAATATATGATGGAGCAGGCAAACAAGAATGAGACATATAAGGATATCAAGGTGAATAAGGCAAAGTTCATTCTGGCTCATTCGTCATCAGGTCACAGATATTCATTGAAGGAGGTGCTGTCAGACCCAGCCATTCAACAGCAATTGGCAAACACCAAGGCTGCCAGTGAGATAAAGACACTGAATGCCTTCTATGACATGCTAAAGAAGGATCCAAACAGAGCCTTCTACGGCTTTGATCACGTCAAGAAGGCAAACGATCGACTGGCCATTGAAACACTACTTGTCACTGATGACTTCTTCAGAGGCAAGGATATTGTTACAAGGAGAAAGTATGTTGATTTGGTTCAATCTGTCAAGGATAACAATGGCGAGGTCAGGATGTTCTCTGGACAACATGTAACAGGCGAGCGTATGTATAATGGAGATGGAAATGTAGGTGAGTTGAGAATGTTGGACTGACATTGCTGTTTGTTTTATAGAACTATCAAAGCTGTCTGGAATAGCAGCCATTCTGCGATGTCCAATGGAGTTGGAGGATGAGGAGGAGGAGTATCATGCAGAGAATGAGGATGATGATGAGGATGAGGATGAAGAAGACGAAGGAACCTCCTCTAAGCAGGAGGGTCATGGTGACTACGACGATGAGGATGACGATGACAACGATGCACAAGATGCTGGTGACGATTTTGAGGACATTCAATAAACGACACGGTGGCATGACTGACACGGTGGCATGTACATTGTAAACATGTAATGGTGAAGTAGGTACATTTTGGATCATGGTCCATCCAGGACCCAAGATGGTTTATTTGAGTGTGGCTACACGCTAAGCCTTGCTAGCTGATCGCTTGTCTCCGGAGGAAGCCTCCTTCTTCTCCCTCTCGCGTCGCTTCTCCTTCTTCCTCTCTTTCTTCTCACGCTTCTTTTCCTTCTTTCTTTTCTTCTTTTCTTTCCTCCTTCTTCGTTTCTCTTCGTCGTCACTATCGCTACTGTCACTGTCACTACTGTCTGATTCATCGCTGTATTGTGACAGATATGACTTGATGTTCTCCACCCATTTATCACTATCCTTCTTCTTTGTCCTGTCCTTGTCCTTTGTTTTGCTATTGGACTTTACATCACGCTCATCCTTCTTGTTCTTTTCCAGTGGTGTTGATGGAGGAGTTGGTCCAACTATTGAAGTAATCGGTTGATAAGGCTTGACTTCGATTACCTTATAGTATGTTGGTTCAGTTGATGGCTGAGGAGTTGGTGGAGGTGGTGGAGGAAGGTGAGGTAGTGTAGGTGGTGGAGTAGGAAGAGGAATAGGTATTGATTGGGCAGGAGTATTGATTGATGGAGTGGTTTGTCCCGCTGGAATGAAAGGTTGCATCTTTCTTTGAGTGAATGCTTCCTTGACTGTTTGATTGACAAATGCAGAGAATGGATCGGATTCATCCTCATCTTCGACTATATTTTGGTGTTGTTGTTGTTGTACAGGAGTTGTTTGAATTGGTGTCAATATCATGTTGTGGCTATTATTGTTGTTATTGTTGGTGTTGTTGGTATTGGCAATTGAGGAGAATGGTTGTAGTGGAGGAAGTGGCTCATCTGTTGTTTTGGACAATGAGGAGAAAGGATCATAGTTTGATTGATCGTCGTCGGTTTGCTCTTCTGTGACATCATTGCTTTCAAAGATTGCTTTGAACAGGTCCAAAGAAGGTCTCTTTGCCTCTGTGAATGAGAACTCGACAAATGGGTTGAGGTTGGTAGCATCAGAGATGGATGGATGCTCAGGCTCATAAGGTGGAGATGACGCATTGTTGTCCTCTTCCTCCTGTGTAGCCGTCGGCGGATCTGTTGGGAAATCGATCTGAATGTTCAGCTTGGTGAGCCAGTCCACCTCCTTCTTTGGCTCAACCGTCATTCCCTTGTAAGGATTCTCGACACCCATTCTCTTGCAAAGCAATGGGGCCGGATACCAATCCTGTACGACACGTGTAGGTCTCTGCTTCTTCTTGAATGGCACGACAGGCTCTGCAGCCTTCAAACGTGACTTACCATCGCCTTCGGACTCGAATCGACTTGCAAATGCTTGTTGAAGTGACTTTAAAGCATCGCTTTGTTTGGCCAATGCAGGTGCTGGAGAGGTTGGTCCAGCAGGTGGCGACGACGATGATTGATACATGTCCAGGTTCTTGGTGGGCTTGGGTGGTGCTGATGGCAAAACGCGCTCATTGAGCATGATTGACCGTTGAGTTGGTGTGATGTTGACCATATGCAGTGGCTTGTGTGTTATCGACCTGTCCAATGGCTTGTCGTACTTGTGGCGGATATCAAAGTTCGTGGGGACTTTGGGAGGTTCGTACCATTTGATGTCCAAAGTGGTGTGCGATGCGACTACAAAGTTCTTGAGCGGCAGTGAGCCGTCTGAGCAACGTCGCAGACGAGCAGACCCATCATCAGGCTTAAGAAACTCGAGAATCTCATTGTTGCCAGATGATGATGAGGATGATGCTGGACGTCTTCGTCCACCAAGATGGCTGTCATATATATCCTTTGAACCAGAGTCATAGACGTCCGTGTCATCAATAGAGTGCTCGCTACCAAATAGAATGCGACTACCTGTCGTGTCGGCGGTCGGCCCGCCAGCGGCATTCATTCGCATCTGTCTAACCTCATCCGAGGGAGTGAAACCAACACCATAGTGATCATTCTTTGGTGTGTAGTCTACAATCTTTGGATACTCCTTGCCATATTCCACCTGTACCAACTGCTCCTCCTCTTCATCATCTTGCTCATCATCATGCATGAACTGACCTGCATCATCATTATCAATGATCATTGTATGTCTCTGCTTGGGCTTTGGCACCTTCTTCTTGTAGACCTTTGTAATGACTCGTGTCTGGCCTTCCTTCCATCCCATCTTCTTCAACAATCTCAAACCAATTGGGTCCTTTGTTGGCTCGACAATATCCTTGAACACTGATTTGAATATACTATATGTTTGAGTGAGTTAGATATGTGAACAACACGGCGCCGTGTCGATCAAAGAGGTATGTACATACCCATCAGAAATACTATCGATGGCACTAGTTGGTCGACCTTCTGATGTTAGATCATAGTCCTGCTTTGTGGTCAACTCTTTGGCCATGTTGCTGATGTCCTCATCGTCCATAAAGTCCTGTGCAGAGTATTGTCTATGTGTAGTCCTCTCGTCTCTTGATGACTTGAATGTTGATGGAGTGAAGCCCTCCTTTGAGCCGACAGTGTTGAAGTAGCCAGCAGAGAAACCACCTGTGAATGCTCCATGAAATCGTTTGCGACCTCTCTCATCAGTGACCTCTTGTTTATGTATTGGCAAGTATCTATTTGATGTCCTCGTCGTCGTTGTTGTCTTCTCATCCTTAACCTCTATTGGTGAGCCAAATAAGAATGACAGGTCACCTCCTCCTCCTCTGCCCTCATCATTCGCTTCATAATCATTCTTCCTTTTCTTATAGTTATTCATTCATTCATTATATATGTATGTATGTATGTATGAATGAATGAAAGAGTGTGAAGTACACCTACTCATGATTGTTCGTGAATGGGTGAATGACAAATTTCATTGAAGGGTGGAGGTGGGATTATCCCACCACAAGTTGATTTAATAATAATAATTAATATTACAGACTATTGAATAAAGAAGTGTAGTTAATTGATTATCCAACAATCGCTTGTGCCTTGACATCAGCCTTTAGGATATTCAATATGTTCAGATTGATACATGCTTGAATCTTGAGAATGTAGTTTGGATCAGTTGGATCGAAAGTACATAGACGAGGTGTTTGACTAGGTGGCAGGTCGTGTCCAGTCGTAGTTGGTGCTGTCAGGAAGGCATCACTAACTTGTTCTTCACAATGCTATTTATTGAATGTTCAAATATTAGATTACAAAAATAAAAAATAAACAAATACTATGAGAGTACTTACAACAACTATGGACATCATCATAATGATGGCTACGAGTAATAGGATAACCTTAGTAGTAGACATTATTGTAGTTTAGTTTAGTTTTAAATATTATAAATATGTTTATATTGTTTGATAGAGTTGATCAAGTTATCCTATTTATAACTTACTTCTTCACACTTACATAAATTCATACGTATTATATTAGAGGTAGAGTATGTGGATATTTTAAAATGGTCAGAGGTGATGTTGATGATGATGACAACGTCAGTCAGACAATCTTAAATTATAATCGATCTCACCGATAACTTATCCAGACGATGGATAGATAGTCCAAAGCACGTATTCAAACAAATTTAATCAACATTCCTGTGACAACTGATTCATTGAAGTCACTCTTTGTCTACTCAATCACTCTCTCTCTCAATCAGTCAATCAAATCATTCATTCATTATGTAGAGGTATGTCGGGAATATCCATTATCCACACCCACCCACTACCTGATATATATTTATATATACTTCTAAGCAAACTAACAACTGAATTTAATCAATGATGTGTTGGATTATTATTTAGGTGATGATGATGATGATGATGATGATGATGATGATGATGATGATGATTGTCAGAAGAGATTGATGACAATTCAACTTAACTTTATGAAAGATATCACGTTGTTATTATTTGTATAATTCTATCCATGATGACACTGTAATCATCAGCTGAAGGGCACCCGTCATCAATCTTCATCAAACTTCCCCCATCACACACACTCATACACACAAACCCACCGTTCATTCGTCTAGTGTGTGGTCCATTGAACTTCTTAATAATATAGTTAACAATAATAATAAATTAAACAATACTAATAATAAATATATATTGTACTATTAATAATAGATGGTAATAGTCAACCGATTAGAGATTCATACAAGATGGAACAAGTCTTTCCGGATCTAGTGATCCAGCGGATTGTTCGCTATCTGTTGTTTAGCGAGTGGACAATACCGAGCGCACAAATGGAGGCAGGTTGACACTTTACAACAACAATGTCAAGCTGCCACTTGCTTTGGTCATCTCCACCCTCCACAGGATACTGTCCACCACGGATATTGCAATCGACTGCACACCATTGTGTTATCACTTACCGGCAGACAATGAATCTCCAGCGAGGTGTCACCACCAAATGGTCTCTCTGGAGGGCGTTGCAAACGATCGACCAGATCAATCATGATACCTCAGGCATATATTGTCAGAGAAGATCATCAAATGATTGTTCGACTGTAGCGAGGATGCAGGCCTGATCCAAGCCCATCCAACAACCGTGAACAAAAGCCATGACTACCTACGAATTGTGGACCATTCGTATAACAAGAGTGTTTTCATCAAGATTGAGTAAAGGACCATGCCATCCTCATGTTGTTCATAGTATATTCCCTTCCATGAGTCGATGGTCTGCCCTTCCAGCTATTTGTATATATATCGGTCAACACCGATGAGAAGTAATTGCTCGAGGACAAGAATACATCAACAAAGAAGAGTCGTACGACAACCACTACAACTACAACATAAATAAAGAAACAAACAATTCAATGCTGTTGTTGGTTAAGATTAAGATTGATGTTCATCAATGTTTACAACCACATTATAAATCAAATATCCAAAATTCGTATTGTTGGGTTGGTGTTGGCCTTGGAAAGCCCCAACCCCATAAATGGACCATCCACCCAACCTTATTGTTATTACAAAATCGTCTTCATCCCTACAATGGTTCCAATAATACCTCTACCTCCCATCAATATCTATCTATCTGTCAAAGCAATCAATTCCTCCTCAATCAAACAATCACTATTGTCAAACAATCAATCATATCAATCAATCAAACAATTACATGTCAATGAATGAACATAAACGAACATTCTCATCACCTTTTCATAATATAACAAATGCCTACAAGTCATTGACACATGGCGGTGGTAGCCAGAGTAGTAGATTTGTCTCTAGAGGTCGTTCAATGAAGGACTCCAATACACCACCTCCAACACTAGTCCGACAACACTCTTTAATGAACTTACCAAATCACTCGACTACCTCACCTAGCCACTCACCTCATCATCCAAAGACACCATTATCACACTCTGAGGGTATTAAACCATCAGTGTCCGCACCGACATCACCAAGTATCCTAAACAGGACATTGTCAAATACATCAGATTTGAATGAGACATCTCCTTCAGGTATTCCAGGATCACCCACCACAACCAATGGAAGGCCTACAATTAGTAGGAAAGACTTAAGTCTAGCCAAGAAGCATTTAAAGAAGAATCTAATTGTTACAAAGAAGTCATTAACTGTTGTGAACAATGATAGTAAGTTTTAAGTTGATTGATTGTTTTTAATGATTAAATGAACGATTGAACTAATATTGTAAGGTGATCTTTATAGACTCTACAACATTGGAGTCACCAGAAAAGTCTGGAAATATGTATATGTTGAATGTAGGAGTACAATATGGACCAGTGTCCACTTCACCATCACAATGGACCAAACTATATTGCATCCTAAAGGAATGTTCCATTCTGATTTATAACAATCAAGAAGTCAGTATTCAATCAAACAATCATCAGAGAAACTCACTCACCAATTCATTCATTCACTCAATCAGGATTCCAAGGTCATTGAGACCATTAAGTTAGACCATCGAGGATCTATCAATGAACAGGATTCAAAGAATCGTTGTTTCCAGGTCATTTCATACAATGATACCAGGTCATTCACAAGATACTTCACACTGATTGACAACGAAGAGTATGAATACTTCTCATGGATTGTATCACTTAGAGGAAGTGTATTCTACCTCAAGTCTATTCATTCTCCTCCTTCAATCAATCAACATCAACCTGTAAGTATCTTTCAATCATTTTGATTTGGTTAGATTGACTAACTAACTATAACTTCAAGGTGCATCAGCCCACGACCAAAACAACATCAAGTGTCTTAGGTTGGAAGATGGGAAAGGTCAATCCAAGTGATGAGAAGAGGGTTGTACAAACAGAGATTGGAAGCAAGATTAATAGTGGATATAGTGCAGATGAGTTGATTGGCGCAAGGAAGGGTGTACTTGGATTGGAGAGTAGGAAGTTGTTGACAAAGTGGAAGCCAAGATGGGTGGTGCTCAGTACTGAATCATTGACAGTATTCAAGACAGAACAAGAAGAGAAATCAAAGCTAGTCAAACCAATACTATCATTCATGATAATGTTCTGTTCGGCCAAGGTTGTATCAACTAAAGATCGATACACATTCGATGTGATGACCAACACTGATAAGTCAGTACGCTTCTCCTGTCCATCGGGTAGTTCAATGCTCGGATGGATCACATCAATCCAAAACGCTCAATCATCAGCCATGGCATCATACCTCCAATATGAGTTCTCCCCTTCTGCCACCCCCTCAACATCAACTTCATCAACATCCACAACATCAGATCAATCAACATCATTGTTGGGTGAGTCACAAGGATTGATGGACTCATTGTTGGCCAACCCTGGAAATAAGTACTGTGCAGACTGTACAGCAGCCAATCCCTTGTGGGCCAGTATCAATCTTGGCATATTCCTGTGTATACAGTGTTCTGGAATACATAGAAGTCTGGGTGTACAGCTGTCGAAGGTACGCTCAGTTACAATGGATAAATGGGAACCTTCAACTCTCAACTTCTTCCAAACAATGGGCAACAGTAGATCAAACTCAATATGGGAGCATAGTATACCATTCGACAGATCAAAGCCTCAACCTAATGATTCAATGGATGTAAGAGAGAAATTCATAAGAGATAAATATCAGCTTCGTTTATTCATGGAAAGGAAACCTATTAGTGGCACCGGAGTTGGTAGTGGACAACAACAACCGTCATCGTCGACACGCAAGATGATCACGGTCATAGCAAGATAATATATATTATTTAAATAATATATTTTATTTAAATAATATATATTATTAATAATAATTGTAATAATAGTCATTCAATTCAAGTTATAACTCTCCTAGAGATACCAAGATTCAATATTATATTATATAGATAATAGAATAAAAGAATATAAGATATTAAATTATCACCTCTCATCGGTTGTCAAACACCCACCTCAATTTTTTATCAAACGTTGTCCAATCATTTTTGATTTTCGGATTTCCACTCACATTGAACAATCATTATTATGATATTTGTATCAACTATAGTGGTTATAGATAGTTTCCTATCCAATCAGTATACTTGATGTAAAGATCAATCGACCTATCCTTCAAAAACATCCAATGTTATGGCAATGTACTTTGCGTCAATCAACTTTGATATTATTTTTAGTACCTGAAGGTTAGGATCATCATTGCAAACATCAACCGCCGAAATAATTGATTGATTGATTTATTGATTGAATGATTGATAATGAATGGATATCAATTGAAACTACATATTCAATCAATTTGATTGTACATTGATCATTTGTAAATTAACTACTACAACAACATCTTGTAAATATACACCACAACACCATGAACCTACTTCATTCCATTGTCCTAATATCCATACTGTTAACAGTATCTGCTACAGCAATATCACATCGTAAGTATTAATAAACAATGATCCGATAACTCCAAATTCAAACCAATCAATCACTCATCTAACCACAAACATTACCACATCAACAGATGGTTATAAACCTGGAAATGATCACAAGACAAAGATGACTGCTCATGACTATTGTGAAGTAGTCAACAATGGAGTCATGTTTTATAAATATAACCGCGCTGGAAGATTACCAGACACTGATGTGCCTTGGAGAGGCAGTGCCGCTTTGAAGGACGCAAGCCCAGGCTCACAACCAGATCCAAACGGTGATGGTGATCTGTCCAAGGGATACTTTGATGCCGGTGACCATGTCAAGTTCTCCTTCCCCATGTCCGCCTCGATGACAATGCTCGGCTGGGGATACCTCGAGTACACCGACACAATCATAAAGTGTGGCGCCAGCAAGATATGGCTGGAGGATCTCCGATGGGGATATGACTGGCTGATGGCTGCTCACTATGCTGAGAATCGCTTCGCTGGCCAAGTTGGTGAAGCCAATGCCGATCACGCCTACTGGGGCCCACCTGAGCTCATGACCATGGATCGTCCGACCTACATCCTCTCCGACACTGCCCCAGGAACTGAGGTGGCAATGGAGGTGGCTGCCGCACTGGCCATCTGTTCAATGATCTTCATGGACAGTGACCCTGCCTATGCCGCCCAATGTTTGAAGCACTCTGAAGAGATGTGGACCTTTGGAGACACATACCGTGGCGTCTACTCCGACTCGATCCCCGATGCCCAGAGCTTCTACAAGTCATGGTCGGGATACAAAGATGAGATTGTGTGGGCTAGCGTGTGGCTGTACAAGGCCACGGGCAACAAGGAGTACCTGATGCGTGCCGTCGCGGACTATGACACCTACAACATCGGTGAGATGGCTCAGCAGAACTCGCACGACTGGGACGTCAAGGCTCCAGGCACTGCCCTGCTCTTGACCCAGATCTTCCCAGGCAACGCCACCTACATCAAAGACATTGAGGGCTTCCTCAACTGGTGGTTGCCAGGAGGTGGCGTCCCCTACACTCCAGGCGGCCTTGCATGGATTAGAATGTGGGCACCAGCACGCTACTCGGCCACCACGGCCTTCTTGATGTCTGTGTACGGCACCAACGGAGACAAGTACACCGACTTCACCAAGAAGCAGATCAACTACATTCTCGGAGACAATCCACAGCAACAGTCATACGTCGTTGGCTACGGACCGAACCATCCAATCAATCCACATCATCGGGCGTCGCACCACTCGCTCACCGACAACATCATGAGCCCTGTGAACAACACCTACCTGATCCTGGGCTCCCTGGTGGGAGGTCCAGGTCAGAACGATGATTACAAGGATGACCGAACTGACTACGTCAAGAATGAGGTTGCATGTGACTACCAAGCTGGTTTCCTTGGCGCCTCTGCCTTCATGGCTTCAATTCAGTAACTAAACTACTTTTCTTCATCCTTTTGTAATTCTACATCTTGACATGTCATTTTGTATAGTCTGTCGTTAGGTGAACTTGATTGATTGATTGATTGATTGATGACAAGTTGGATGTGTGTTGTGGGTTGGACCAACCTGGGCCTTGTCCAAGGTCATCTTCCCTAATTATTGTTGTTATTAAGGTAATGTATGAATGACTTTGAAGGAAGTGTTCATCGGACCTTCAAGACACCTGGTTGGTTAAGTCTAAAAAACAACCAAATCTGTCGAAATTGATAGATTTGGGTTTTTTTTTGATGGTCCTGGGAAAATGACAGTCCCAAATCTGATCTAATGGGCGTTCTGAGGATCTTTGAAAGATCATTTGAATGTTTGCAGACAAATTTAATTAATAATAATCAATTGTTTTTGACAGAAGAAGCAAAGAGAACCAATGTTGTTTGGTTCCCTCATGTCATCATTCGACAATCCATTCTGATATCATTATCTTATCTAGTATTGTACTATTAGAGAGCATTGTTCAAGTTGATCAACAGACGACAATCCGACCCTCTCACTCTACTCCATTCATTCAATCAACCAATCAAACCATTTTGTTTATTTATTTTATTTATTTATTTGTATGTTTGATACATACTACAAGTTAAACAGTAACATTCAGACAGATAATCAGAATTTGGATTCATACATCACTTTTCTAGTCCAATCATTCTTTCATTGCCATTGAAGTTGAATCAAGTCAACCATCATCACCACACACAAACACACAAACACACGAATCGAAACCCAATCAACCAATCAATCCAACAACAACATTGACCACATTGAATCTCAACAATACAACCAACACGATCATACTCACTCATCGAAGTCAACATAACAACTACCATTTCATAACTTTATCTTGTTGTAATACTAGCACTTTCCCATCGCATCCATCCTACCACTGTCCGATCGAACAGACGTCAGTGGATCATCGAAATAAGCACAATGGCAAAGGATAACTATGGCAACAGCAGCAGTGGTACATTCACAGGTACTTCTGAAACTGAATGGCTGTTAGAAGACGATAAGAGGAAAATGACTGCTTCTCCAGAGAATACCTTGCCAAAGTACTACTTCCCAAAGAGGTTCTATATGCTGATACTTGGCACATTGGGTCTGACACTATGTTATATCCTTCGTGTCATTGTATCAGTCACAGTAATCCCCATGTCGGCGGTATGTTCCCATTCCAAGCAAACTTCCGTGTTGCCATCCTCACGCCAGACGCGCCACACATCGCCAAGATATTGGGAAACTGACTAACTAACTCGCCACACCTTGTAGGAGTACCACTGGGGCGACACATATAAGGGCTTTGTACTGTCAGGATTCTTTATGGGATACCTGGTGCTACAGATGCCAGCCACCTACTTCTGTAATAGGTTTGGTGGCAAGCGAGTAATGTTCACAGGTATCACATTCTCATTGGCAATGACTGCTCTGGCGCCATTGGCTGCACAGAACAAAGTTGCCATTATGATATGTCGTGTGATGACAGGTATCTCACAGAGTATTGCCTTCCCCACGATGAACTGGCTGATAAAGCGTTGGTTCCCGACTTCTCAGCGATCGTCCTCAGCCTCTCTCATCTGGTCAGGAGTGTACATTGGTATCATCATTGGCAATGTATGTGTTCATAGCATGCATGATCGAGATGTAATGTCATTTTCACTCACACCCTCACTCCCAACCTACAGGTAACAACACCAGTTATAGTATCAGAGGTCAACTGGCAGGCAGCCTTCTATATATTCTCAGGTCTTGGTCTGTTGTGGTCGCTGGCGTGGCTGCTGTTGATTAAGGATGAGCCAAAGAATGTTTGGGGCATACATCCAGCAGAGTTGCTGCTCATTGAGCAGGACATCAACCCAGACAAGCAACACCTGGTACTGAACAACCCAGTGTACAGCTCAATGTCGACAAAGAGTGATGAGTTGGGCTTCTTTGAGGTGTCGCGTCGTCTCTTCCGCGACCGCGCCATCTACGTCATTATATTCTTCTCAATCACAACGCAGTGGGGCAACTACCTGCTGCTGATGTGGTATCCGACCTGGCTCAAGAACCAGGCCAACATCCCTGTCGGTCCACTCATGTCGCTCTTCACCGCACTGCCCTACGCATTCTCATTCGCCTTTGCCAACATCAGTGGCGTGGTGACCGATCGTCTGTTGGCGCGTGGCTACAAGAAGATCTATTTGCGCAAGTTCTTTGGAGTGCTGGCGGCATTAGTGCCAGGCGTATGCATGCTCCTAATGAACTACCTTCCAATGGCTGCCACACTCAAGCTGGTCGTGATGACCACCTCCATCTCATGTGGAGGCTTCAACACACAGAGCAATCAGATCGCCACCTTTGACATTGCTCCAAACAGTGCCATTGTTACAATGGGGTATGTTTTATTGTCTACTCATTGGTGCGGCCAGACTGGATCATACTAACAATCAATCAATCAATCAATCAATCAATCAATCAATCAATCAATCAATCAATCAATCAAACATAGTATTACCAACTTCTTTGCAACTATCCCAGGTATACTTGGACCATTGCTGGCAGGAGTGATGCTGACAGCGTTCAATGGAAGCTGGGGACCTATATTCTTGATCTCCTCAGTTTGTTATCTCGCTGGAGGATTGGTCTGGTTGTTATTTGCAAAGACCGACAAGGTTGTCTAATAAACATACAATCTTTTCCTTGTATCCATGATTGAATGACTTTGATTGATTACAATGATGTCTTGGTTGTGTTTATTAGATAGTGATGGTAATGAAGATCAAACATTGTAGGACTGGTGCGAAGGGAAGTAGTTGGAGAAGAAGAAGAAGAAGGGATATGGAGTGATTGATTGTTTGGTTGGCTTGATTGATTGATTAATATAACAATATGACTGACTTGATCAAGTAGAGTGTCTCGCTTAATAATAATACTAAGTAATTATTTAGATTCCACGTAGTTTGGTAAGAGTCTTCTGTCTCTCTGCGTTGAACTCCTTCATCTTGTCATGAACTCCCGTCAGAGCAGTGGTTGGTGCATTAGTCTGTGAAGTGATGATAATGTTTGTTAGTTAACCAATCAATCAAGTGCAATCCATAACATATATATAACACGTACGCTGTTCAGCCATGGATGAGTGAGGGCATCCTTGGCAGTCAATCTAGAGTTGACATCGACGACCAACAGATGGTTGATAAAGTCCTTGGCAGCGGGTGTGATGTGACCCCAGTACTCGGCAGGGTAATCAAAGTTTCCTTCCATAATATATTCAAAGATCTCTGGAATGGTATCACCATAGAAGGGTGGGAATCCACACAACAATATATATGTAATCACTCCAATGCTCCACATATCCACCTCCTTGTCGTATCCAGTAGCGTTCAACACTTCTGGTGCTATAATAATTGTATGGTGTGGTGTTAGTTTGGATGGATCTGATTGGTTGATCGATTGAATGAACGGACGTACCAACGTAGGATGGTGTTCCACAAGCAGTCTGCATCATGGTCTGTTGTCCAATGATCTTGGAAAGACCAAAGTCGGCGATGGCTACCTCGAGGTCATTGCCACTGGTCTTGAGCAACAAGTTCTCTGGCTTTAGATCTCTATGAACGATATTGATGTTGTGAAGGTACTCAACGGCAGAGACGATCTTTCTAACCAATTGAATGGCATCAGCCTCTGTGTATGATCCCTTCTCAACGATCTTATCAAACAACTCGCCTCCTGTGACCCTGTGTTGTGTTTGTGATCATCATCATGAGTATGAGTGAGTGAGTGAGTGGACGAGATCAATGTGACTGACTGACTGACAGAATAACTATGACTTACAACTCCATAACGAGGTACAACTTGTTTGGTGTATCAAACAACTCCTTGAGTGAGATGATATTTGGATGATTGACACGTGTTAGGATGTCAACCTCCATCTTGAGATTCTTCTCATAGTCCTTGCCCAAGTCTGACTTGTTGATCACCTTGACAGCATAGTTCTGTTGTGTCTGTCTGTGAACTGCAAGGTATACAATCGAGAATGCACCTCTATATATAGTAGTGTTTTGTTATATATCATGTATTAGCTACTTATTCACATGACATGTTTGTTCCTGCTGCAGTCATGCCTGCCTCTGTCATGATGCAATGAACTTACCTTCCAAGCTCTTGCTTGAGTTCGTATATTTTATCAACTTGTTCTTCGTTCATTGTTTGTTTGATTGATTGATTATTGGTTACTGTATTATATATAAATGTGTATTAAGTAGAATGAACAATGGTTAATAAAGATGATGTTTGTTTTAAACACTCAGCCTGTTGACCAATTGGTGGATGGTGTTGATTGATCAATGTGTGTGGTAGGTGTGTTCATTCAAGTCCATCTATCAATCAATCATTTGTATTGGAATACTCACCAAATAGAGATAATAATAATAATAAGATAAATAGTTTACTAATTAGAAATGAATGAATGATCTAACAATAGAGTCAAGTGTAGGTTGGTGATGTTGTTTGGAAAGGGACGTGAGCTCACTTGAACAGCTTGGGATCATGGCCTTCTGTGGTCATCATTGCCTGATCACCACAAAAAAAGGAAGCAGTGTGATCAAAAGGAAAAAATTAATTAATCAGTCAGATTTATTTCGGCAGGTTAACTGTAGTAGTTCGAATAGGCTTCCTTCCAAAGGTTATATATGATATATATTAAATAATATCTCTTTCTATTATTATTATGATAGAACCATCAGTTAATCATTGAACAGCTGTTCTGTGTTGTGATTGTTATCATTCAGAGTGATGGACCATCACATTTCCATGAGGACAAACATGGTCAAATTCGTGTTGTGTTTGTGTCAAAGAAACTAAAGGACACACATCTTTTTTGTTGCAGATGCAGTGACACACTTGTTGTTGTCAAAGTTGTTGTTGTTGAGTGACCAACAGACTAGCAAAGCAAGAAGGGCAGACAGTAGTATAGAGTTAGTTTGGTGATGTCAATGATATGGGAGACGATACACTGATCAAGGGTCGGATAATAGGTGACAATGTAATCAAGAAGTTAATAGTGGACGATAGGTTTTACAAATGTCGCTTCTTGGTGTCTAAACTATCAAAGAATATGTATGTGTTGAATGATATGAGCATTACCATCTTACTTACTTATGAATCCTTGTCTCTCTCCATCGCTTCCAGACCTCCCTTAAACACACCTTATATACAACAGAAGATATTTGTATGATGATGATAATGATGAAAGCAAGTCATACCTCATTCACTAATTCACTCACTCACTCACTCACTCACTCACTCACTCTATCATTATAGGACTTGGTTATATACATACTTTCATCGTTGGGATCAACAGAGGGTAGATCAGCAGTGTTTGCACGTGATGGAAATGTATTGGTAACAATGCGTATGTACTGGATCATCTTTGATGAACGAATGAATGAATGAATGAATGAATAGTTCAATCAACCAATTGATTACTTACATTTTAGTACTATTTAGATGAACATAGTAACAACTCGATTAGCAGTGAAATGTCAATCATAGATGAAGCGACCTCCAAAGAGATAGAGGTTCATAAATACAAATATACATTCATTATCCAGATATTGTAGCAGTCAGAACGATTGATTGATTGATTAATTGATCCAATCATATGTAAATAAACCTATGGAAGCAATATGTACACATCACCGCATGGTCATCAGTTGGAAGTACGGAAGTACGGAAGTGCGGAAGTAACACCAACGATGAAACCCAAATGTTGGTCACTCGTCTTTACAGAACAGAGATAAACAGAGATATAAATAATATCATCATTACTTGTTGTATCATAATCATATTGTAATAATAATAGTCATGAAAGTACTTGCAATGTATAATCCCAAACCCAAGATACTCAGTCGATTGTTGTTCAAGACTGTTGGCAGAATGGTCAGACTGTGGCAGCGACTAAATAGATTCAAGTTACATGATTGGGATCGTTTACATACTATACTCGATGAGAGGATGGCACAGATCGACATCAATGAGGCATTGGTTGCCAGTGGAAAGCAGCCAATCTTACTGCGGCCACTGATCACCGTGGCCAATCACACTGCCAACCTGGATGACCCATTGATGTGGGGTGGACTGCCAACATACATTTCAAAGGATCCAAGATACATGCGCTGGACATTGGCTGCATCCAACGTCTGCTTCACCAATCTCCTTTACTCATACTTCTTCACTCTTGGCAAATGTGTATGTTATGGCAGTGAACGCATGACACACTTTGATTGATGCTAATGCCAACTTCATCCATGGACTTGTCACAGATCAATACATTCAGGGGCAATGGTATATATCAAGATGCAGTTGACTTTAGCATCGATAGACTGTCAGAAGGACAATGGATACATATATTTCCAGGTGAGTTGCCAGTTACCAGTTGCTAGACACACAAATACTAACACCAAACTTTGCACACTCCAGAGAGCAAGGTAAATCAGAAGGAGGAGTTGTTATACTTTAAATGGGGCATTGGAAGACTGGTGGCAGAGTCCAAGCTTCCACCAATAATTCTGCCAATCTATCATAGAGGCTTTGAGAAGACTATGCCTCTGGACCATTTGGCAATACCACGTATCAATAAGGATGTTGATATATTCGTTGGAGAACCATTCGATTGTGATGACCTGCATAGACAGTTCCAAGAGGACAAGGATATCGACACCAACAACAAAGACACTGTCCACTCCAAAGAGAATGACTTACGAAAGAAGATGTACTACAAGAGTATAACAACGAGGATAGAGACAGAATTCAAACAGCTGCAACAAGAGTCGCTGGTCGTGCTGAATGCCAGAGGTGTGGATTTAGGAGTAGGAGGAGGAAAGACATCCACCGTCGAATGAATTATTATTTAGACAACTACTGTGGATGTAGTACCTTGTTGTTGAATGTAGTACTGCTTATCGATTAACAAGGAGGAAGAAGGAAAGAGGGTAGGATGGGCCAAGGCTAGCTATTGACAACTCTTGTCAAGCTTGGTGAATGATAAACGTTGGCGCCACTCGATAAATGTACATTGGGACTGTTGGGCGATGCGACTGGAGACCAGACCGAGTTGAGATCCTCTCGCTCTCTTGAACTTCCATTGGAGGTAGAAACGCCACTCAGCAACGAGGACAGAGTGGGCGCAGGCAGAAGGTCAGAGTTGCCAATGCATTGGCGAAGAGGCGATTGATGATTGTTCTTTGGTGATTTGAAACCATTCGTTGTTGGTAATGGAGTTGAATGTATTGCTGCTGGTTTGTTGTTGTTGTTGTTGTTGGGAGTCTTGGGCGAGAGGTTGGTTGGTGATGGTGACTTGGAGGTGTTGGCAGAAGATGGAGGTGAAAACGACACTGGCGAATGTCTGGTTAGGCTTGACGATGGTGAGATTGCCGTTGATGTTATGTTGATGCCTTCTGAATGTTTGATGATATATCCCATCTTGTTTGATTGGTTTGTCGTCGGTTGTTTTGATGATTGTTGTTTGATATTATTGTTATTGTTGTTGTTGTTGCCGCTGCCACTCTTGCCGCCGCTGCTGTCGCTGCTATTGATATTGTCTTTGCTATTGTTGCTGCCACTGCTGCTATTACTACCATTGTTGTTTGACTTTGAGTTATGTGCTAGTTCCTCAAGCTCCTCCTCATCATCATCACTATCACTGTAGCTCGCATCTTCATCATCTTCTTCTGAATCATCGACATCATCCGAATCATCAGAGTCTAAATCACTGCTATCATCATCATCATCACATATTGATCGAGGTGATGCAGCTGTTAGATCGCGTGGATCCTTGACACTGACATGAGGCGAGGCCATTGGAGAGGGAGCCAATACTCGCAATGGAGGCAAGATGGCCGTGACGGCCAGACGCTTTGTCAGACTCTTGAGTCGCTCTGTGATCTCCTTGAAGGTTGGTCGCAGGTCTGGGTCGTACTCTGTGCAGTCCAGTGCCAGCTTTAGGAATGGCGGCGGACAGTCCTTGGGCACCAGAGGCAGGAGTATATCAACGTCCAGTCCGTATCGAAGTGAGAGAGGTCGCATGTTGCTCGTGGTCTCTAGTCGCGTGATGATCTCTGATAGCACAATGCCGTAGGAAAAGACGTCGCACGTCTCATTGTAGTCCTGTCCGAGTATGACCTCGGGCGCCATCCAGTTGTTCGTGCCACATATCGTCATTGTTCGCTTGGCACGTCCATTGAGCCCAGCGGTACGGGCAAAGCCAAAGTCGCACACCTTTATCTTCCAACTCTCGCACACCAACAAGTTTGTCGACTTTAGATCGCGATGAATCACGTGTCTAGAGTGCAGATAAGCCATTGCGCAAGCCACATCATATGCTATCTTTATCCTCAGAGGCCAGCTCATGCTGACCAATCGCTCGCCCATCGTGTCAATATCAGGTGTGCTACTACTACCAATGTTAACCTTTCGATTCATGAAAGCATCAGTATCCTCATTCTTATTCTTGAATAGATAGTAAGCAAGATCTCCACCTGGTGTGTAGTGTGTCGACATGTAAGTACTCTCGCACATTCATTCATTCATTCATTCAAACAAACAACATACCTGTAACAAACTCTGTGACGATGTATAATGTCTGACCCTTCTCAGCGACACCGATGAACTGTACCAGGTTGGGATGTGAGAACCTCAGCATGGCTACCTCTCGTTTGATGAACTTTATCAGGTCCTTATATTGTGAATTGTTTGGCGATAGTGTGATCTCCTTGATACCAACAGGTGTCCTGAATGTTGATATAATGAAACATGTTGGTTAGTTTGATTGATTGAATGAATGATCGAATGAATGAATGAATGAATACTTTACCCAAAGTATTCTCCTTTAAATATCTTTCCATAGGCACCCTTTCCAATCTGTGGACCAAACTCTAGATCCTCAAGTATGATCCTGAATGCATCTGATCCGTCTGGCAATCCATCATTGTCTGTATTGTGATGTGGGCTGAAGTGTTAGTATATCGGAACCATCCTCATTCAATCAATCAATCAATCAATCAATCAATCAAACATTATATTACCATTTCCATTACTTTGATATAAGTTTTGTTGTTTACTACTGTTGTTGCTGCTATTATTATTGTTATTGTTATTGTTGTTTGTTACTGAAGCCACAACATTAGTTGCCTGGGGCAATGTTGTTGTACTTGGCTTGTTTGGGTCCATTGTATGAATCTTGAACGAAGAATGTTATGTTATCTTATAGCAATCATTTAAGTGAATCTTTGCTGCCCTGCTTTCTTTCCTTTGTGTCTATTTAGAGTCTTATATGCGAGGCTTAACGAATGAATCTGATGTATTATGAATGATGATGATGATGATGTATTATGATTGCTTGGGTCGTTATTATCATCTGTTGGATAACGGTGAGCTATCTATTTGTATATATGTATTAGAGGTGTATGAATGAGAGAGAGAAGTATCGATTTTTCGCTCTTTTTCACTCTAACATCGATGTTGTCGTGCGAAGCACCGTTGTTGTGAATGTGTGTGAATGTGTGTGAGTTGAATTGTGAGAGATAGAGATAAACTATGTAATTGCAATAGTTAGTGAGTGTTAAGTCCAAACAACAACACAAACACTTAAATTTACTGACAGACGCCTGTTGGTGTTATGGCTCTCGATTCAGATCCATGTATTGAGGGTTGGCTTTGAAAGAATGGGCTCACTGCACATCATGACCCAACAAATATCATATTGTTGGAAATCAAGAATCGGTTCAACAACAAACAAACATTGGGACAACAGGTTGGTTGTTTAATTATGAATGAATGAGTGAAGAGACAGGACCAGGACAGGACTACTACAACTTGGGGAAACCCTTCACCTTGATAATAGAGCCTTGAGTGTTGGAGAGATACAATACTGTGCCCTTTGAAAAGACACCAGAGGTCACTTTGGCCATGGTGGTCTTCATCTTGACAGTGTTGTCCTTGCCCCAGTCGACCATTGCAAACTCTGGATGACTGATTAGACGAACGATGCCATCCTCGTGTGCCGACGCCGCCAGCAGGTACTTGGAGCGCGCGTCATACACGAGCGTCGTGATGGGGTACAGAACCGATCGTATTACCTTGAGCGGCGATGGGCTTGCGCTCTCGAAACACTGCTTGGTGTTGTATATGTTGATCATGCCCGACTCGGAGCCCGTGGCCAGATAGGTGCCGTTGGGCGACAGGGCAAAACTCGTGATTGCCTTGGTGCCCAGGTTGCCCTCGTCCTTGAAGCGGTGGACGATACGCCAGAGCTTGACGCTGTAGCATGTGAGGTGTCCCTCGGACACGATGTATAGGTGCTCGCCCGTGGGCGAGAACTGCATGGATGCGATCGAGCTCTGGCCCAGCTGGAACTCACGCACCACCGTCTTGGTGCGGCACGACATGATGCTGATCTTGCAAAGTGCGTCGCTGATGGCAAAGTGCTCCTCGGACACTGCCAGCAGACCCAGTTTGTTTCCACCCATACGCAGCTGATGCTTCTTCAATGCCAATGTCTCTGTGTTGAATGTAAAGAAGAATGGCTTGTGTCCAATGATCACGCACTCCTTGCTATTGGTCAACATCTTTCCACTTGTGCATCCAAAGCCCTTGAGTACTGTTGTGAACATTGGTTTGGCCAAGTCGAATGTCTATATTGATTGATTGATCGAGTCGTGTCAGTGTGAGTGTGTGGGTGAAGGGACCTAAGTACAGGCTCCAAAGACCATCATACCGAGAACATAGATATTCCATTCGTTTGGACAGTAAGTAATATGTTTGATTCTGGATTGAGATCGATGTTGGAGATGTGGCACTGATGTTTGAGTGAATGAATGAATGTGTTAGTCAATGATGATGATGAGCTCTCATTGTTTGATCAGTGATGAACACATACACCAGCAGACTTTGTAGATGTAAGATGTAGGTTCAAATAATTATCCTCTCTGCTTCTTCCAATACGACTATCTGTTCCAAATGCCTTGTTCTCAAGATCTTGATCCTCATTGACTTGGCCATCGACCGTTGTCTCCTTGTCTTTTGAAACCGCCCATGTAGGAAGCACTTCCATACTATTATATACAGATAATGTTTACATATTAGTATGATTGAGAGAATGAATGAGCTGACATTGATGATGATGATAATGATAACATACTTGAGCAGTTTCTTCTTCTCATATTCTTCGTCGTCGTCTTCATCCACCCAGGCAGCCTTGCTATCTGATTGGTTAACATCTTTATCTTCTACTGTATCTTTGTTGTTATTATTATTCACATTGTTGTCATTATCCACTATGATGTCATTGTTCACTACTGTATTGTTGTTGTTATCAATGATATCAACATTATCAACATCATCAACAACATCATCATCATTATTATTGTTTATAAGTTCGATATTATGAGTTATATTATTGTCCAACTTCAGCTTCTTCTTTGTGACCTTGTTAGTGCTGCTGTTGTTATCATTCTCTATATTCTTAGTCGTAGTCTTTGTCGTTGAAGTCGTAGTAGTAGTGCTTCTCTTTGATTTAACACCTGACGATGTCTTTGATGTTGTTGTTGCAAGAACAGCAGCAGCAGCAACAGCTTTAGATGCTGGCAATGTTCTCTTCTTTGACATCTGTTTTGTTGTAGTTGGTACCATTGTCTGTGATGAACCCGTATCACAACAGTAATAACGATTGATTTCAAACTGAGGTGAGGCAGTCAGAGGTCTCGACGACTCGTTCGGCAAGTCGTGTGTGGTCAATGTAATTGAAAAAAATTAATTGCATCATTGTGAGGATTCTCTGTGTCATTCGAGACACAACAGACTTGGCAAGTGATCAAAGTAGTACTATCATTTTAATGAAGATGGACTCAGAGACACAAACAATGTTGGTGGTTCTTAATCTAACTTAAGTTGTACATTTATACTCGATTCATAATTTCTATACTATCTCACGATTTCTAGTGATCTTATGATGATGAAAGATTGACAATAATGCGACAGCCACATTCATTGATCAGATATGACACGACTATTAGTCAATCAAACATTCAGTCAATCAATGTCTGGTCTTTGTTTGTCCATACAAGGAATTCATTGAAAACCTTGTAAACAAAGTCTGGGTGATTTGTGATGAATGTATCAAAGAATGATTAGAGTCGAGTCAGAGTCGAGTCATTACATTGAATTTCTCAATGTACATCATATATATTTTCTTTATCTCTGTTCGATGATGCAAGCATACATGAATGCAGTCAATGACTCGACGACGAATGGCTTCACCCATCTTAACCCAAATTGAGTGTCCTTTAGATCTAAGCGTGGGAGACTGAACAGCTGACAGGAGAGGGGGTTGTTTTATGTCTGTGTTGTCAACATTGTTTGTATGTAAGTGTGTTTGTTGTGTTGTTGATAAATAGCTACCTCATTATTAATCAATATATATATTGAACAACTATAACAAAAACACATACATATATATATATATATAAATATATTAATAACAAAGAAATAATTAATCAATCAATCATCAATAATGGGATTACCAGGAGGACTTCAAAATGTAAAGCCAGCCGATGCTGAGGTCAGCATCGCTGTTCAGGCTATCAAGAACGACCCAAAGCTTGCCAAGTTTGAGAACATCGTTCCAATCTCATATGCCACCCAAGTAAGTTGTTGTTGTGACACAAGACCAATCGGCTGAATGACTGAATGACTGACACCTCTGTCTACCAATAGGTGGTGGCTGGAATCAACTACTTTGTCAAGGCCAAAGTAGACAATGGGTACATCCACTTGAGGATATTCAAGAACCTCCAACAACATTACTCTCTCACCTCAATCAAGGAAGGTGTTGGTGCCGAATGTCCACTCAATTACTTCTAAAAGTGTCTGTCCATTTCACTTTCTCCAGTCAATCTCAAGACAAAGATAACAAACGTGCATCAGTCATCTACACCTATACATACTTGTACTTAAATGATTAAATGATGACAACCACTCCTCTGTATAGTATAGTTATATAACACTCTAGCTCTATATGAGCATCGAGTTGGCTAGGTTGAGCTTTACTTATTATTATTTACATTTCTTAAGCTCTATGTACAGGTGATGTTGAGGTTGGAGACGTACAGACCACACCGATCTATGTCGTCTTGCTCCTCTTCCATTGTTTGACAAAGGATGAGAGAACTGATGACATGATGACCTCATTGGTTTGGTAGTCTCTTAGCCACAGGTGAATAACCAAATGGTTGTTGTTATGATGCTTGGAGCAACACATTACCTTGATCTGAGCGACCAATGATCCTTCCTTCACCAGGCAGGATACATTACTCTTGATCAACACCTAATACAAAGTAGTGGGGTCAGTACTTGGTCTTAATCAATAAGTTAAGAAGGATGTATACATACAAGTCTATCTTTACATTGTGGATTGTTTGCAAAGTAGAATCGTGACTGGAAGTAGTCCTTGCAGCAGCTGCATTGTGGAAGTGGATTGAATTGGTGGTCGAGCACTTGTGCCTCCAAGAGTAGTGCAGTCTCATCAGATGTTGATGGATTGTTACAGAACTTCTTGGCATTGCCACCGTATCCAACTTGGTCCGAGATATATACTCGACAGCCTTCATACTTGGCTTGGATCATTGGTTCATGCAACAAGAACTCAATGTTATGATAAAAGTTACGGTAGAATGGTGAAGAGTATGACGAGTACTCTGTTGGTAAAGGTATGCCATTGGCGTAGAATGTGCTCTTGTTCACTGGTAGGAACTTGGGTGAATCAGACTTGCTATTGGATTGGGTAAATGAATGAATCAGTATGATTGTGAATGATACAGGAGTAGGAAGATGAGTCATTTACTTACGGTGGTATGAATCCAATGTTGTCCGAGCTGATATCTGGACTGTCCGGTGTTGGTCCAGTTTGGCATGATAGGGTGGAGGTGTAAGGTGATTGAATTATATTATTATAGTTATTAGTATCCAAGGTTGTTGATAGTTGAAGATTGTTGTTGGAGTCAATGATAAGTGCATTGAAATCAACAGGTGGAGCATGGAGTATTGGTGAGGTCATGGGTGAAGATGTAGGTGAAGACATTGGCGATGTATCGACAAGTTGGCAATAGTTGTTCATGTATTGTGGCACAATAAGTGAACCTGTAACTACTGGGGACGCAATTGATGGAACATATACCAAGTTGTAGCCTCCAGGATAGACTGTCATGCCATTAAAATAACCAACAAGGTTGTTGTCCCCTGGTCCATGGAACATGGATGGCGTCTGATGGATCATATTCCTATTTTGGTATTGGAGAGGAGTTAGTAAATAAGTTTGATTGATAGATTGTAGCGAGTTATAGTTACATTGTATGATGAAATACAGGGAAGGATGTTTGGTTGATTGATGAATAAATGAATGAAGACGAACTGGGGAATGGCGTTGTTGTTAAGTGAAGTATATATATCTTGGCCCATGGTAAGTGACCGGTGGAGGACCTCCACATGATATACATTGGAGGTTAGTTAGGCCAACTAACCCAGAGTAGTGTAGCTCACTTGATCACCACCATTGGTGCCACATTCGATGAAGCTCGATCGAGAGAGGGCTTCAGGAGGCAGTACCCCACAACCATTGACTGCATGTAGAGGACATCCCTTATACTAGTTAGGGGGTTTGTTTGTTTGATTGTTTGATTGTTTGATGGTCGTTGTTGTTAATGTATAACATGTAAAGGTGTTGTAGCACCTGTCAGTTTGTGTGCGTACCAATCAATGCCCAGGATGGGCTGGAAAGGCATGTCAGGACATATGTACATGATGTGATGTGGATGAATGAATGCTACTAGTTGTTAATGTGTGTGTATTGATTATTTGGTTCAAGTCGATGTTGTTCATCCACAGAGGTACACCTATTCTTCGTGCACATATATCCTTTGCGATACCAAGCAGCGATCATGATGATGGCTATCCCGCAGCTGCTCTCTCACTCATGCCTTGGCGTGCACGCGAGTTGGAAGGATGCCAATCGAGATGTAGCGCCTGGCAGTGTGTGTTGGTGTGGCCCTGTGCATCCGATCCGTATCACTATCAACTCGTTCAGGCCAACACCACACATCACACTAATCCTTGATTGTGATTGATTGAGCTGAGTTAGTGAGTGTGTGGTGTGTGTGGAAACTGTTTGATCGACAAAAGGACCTTCCGTTGGACGATCACATTGTGGAGATGGATCCTGGGTGATGACAAACTCCACCATCTCAATCAATGCAATCCAATATCTCCAAAGTCATTAAGTCCTCCACTTTGTTACTTGATGTTACTGCTGTCACCGTCATCCTTGTTGTCCGTTACACCTCACTTCCATCCAGGTATCCAACAGATACTAGATTATCTCTAACAACAAACTCAATCGTCATCAGAGTCAATGTTGTCGTTGAGGCACCAACATATTGTAGGTCCTCCTCATCTTCATCTTTACCTTTGAGATGTTGTTGATAGTTAGTTACATCGGTCGGTCAGACAGTCAGTCGGTTGGATGACTCGCAGCGGGTCACCCTGGCAACATCAAAACAATGCAATTGATTGATCGAAATGAATGAATGAACGAATGGAATGAATGGATGTTATGTGAACATGTTCCATCAATGAGATGAGTGATGCCAAGCCAATTAATGATCTAGATCTCTTGTATTATAATAAATCAAGCGTCTAGACTTGATGGATATACAGGATGCGGTAAAGGTATGATAGACTTCTTTTCAACATCTCGCGCCAGTGCTTTCCTCATGTCCAATGCATCCTCTTCACCAGAGTAGTATCCAATCACTGTTCGATACAGTGAATATCCAAACTTCTCATACATCTTGATCGCTAGTGTATTCGACTTTCTAACAAACAGATCAACAAAGTATGCATTATGTCTGTGAATGTGTCATGATTGTCATTCATTGTCGTTGTTATGTCAGTATGTTGTATGACTGATCATCGTCTATCTCTGACGTCACTCCTTACACTTTCTCCGAGACCTCTTCCAAGGTGTTCATTAGACGATCTGCCAATCCTATTCTTCTGTACTCTGGTGCTACTGTTACAGCTGTGACATGTCCATGCCAGTTCTCACCATTACCCTCTGCTTTACCAAGCACTATATAGAGTGAGCTCAATCAAGGCATATGCATTAGTACGTCGCGCTCACTCATCTCTCCAACTATCTACTCAAGCACAACATACTGTATCCCATCGGTCTGCCATTGACATCCTCTGCAATCGATAGTAAACTAGGCCAGTTTGATATGTATTCAAAGTAGAAGGGTAGATAGTACTATGTATGTTTGAACTGAATGTGTAAGCCAGATGATCATTCATTACTTCTTGCCGATCACTCAATCAATCAATCAATAACTTTACCGTCTCTGTAAGGTAATCCAAGTTGATATTATTGAACCTGAATAAGTCATCACATGTGAACCTTCTGATTGTAGTCATCGTTGTATGTAGCGTAAATATGTATGTAGATTGAACTTGTTCGATAGCAATCAATTGCCATTGATTTTTGTTGTAGTCAAAATGAAAGGAGCAAGGGGAGAAGGTACAGTAGTCAACTTGTAGCTAAGTTTTATTGATTAAATTAAAAATAATAAAGTAGGGTAATAAGGTCTTTATTAGTTTGACTTGTCATCCATTCCTAGCTACATTAGGTAACCCAACTTGATGAGGTGAACTTAGAGTCCACATAGCCTTCTTCGATGACAGTTGGGCAATGAATGTTGTATAAGTGATAGCTCTCCATTGTTACCTAAACCTGTGTTGATCTTGTCCAATAGTTCATGGGGAGGTATACATTTACTCTTGCTATCTCTTCTTCTTGCGGTCGTCTTTTGAAGATGACATCCTGCAAATGGTTCCTCATCATCCTCATCAATGTCCATTCCATCCAATGAATGAGTGCATATATTCCGCAAGTTCTTTGGGATGTGTATAGGTTCGGACAATCCAATTGTACAATTCTGATGATGATGAATATGATAGTCACAATCTGTAATATCATGGTTCATCAATTTAGAGCATTTTGCCAATTGATTAGAATCATTGTTGATCAGTTTCAAAGACTTTATCTTCTCTTTATCGAGGTATATCTATCGTCATTGGTATTTGTTGAAGATGAGGAATCATTATTATTGATGCTCTTGGAAATTATTGAACTGCAAATATGTGATAATGGACTACTTCCATAATTATTATTATTAATATTATTATAGTTACAACTTTGATTATAATAATCTTCTAAAGCAGCTCTCATTATCTCTCTCAAATGATATAGGGATATAAATAGATAATAAAAGGTAATGAAATTATATAATGAGATCTGATTATAATAACTACAACAAGCAGGAGGTTAATGTTTGATCAAGTATCGTCTTTAGCTATAGATGAAGTAGAGAAGTGAAGTGAATGAGTTAGAGAGAGAGTGAATGAGTTAGTGATTGACGAGTGAGTACTCTAGTTATGTCTATTGTCCCAAAGGGGTATTGATTTGAAATTGAATGGGGTATTGTGTAATCAACCAATCAATTGAAATTGAATATATTATTATAATAATTTAGTTTAGATAATGTTGAAAAACTTTTCAAGATAAATAAATACATTAGAGTAGGAACAAAATATGGATAGAAAATTCAGATTTGACCAAATCTTCCATATGATAAATATTTATTTCTATTGTAATATATTTCCAATATCTTGAAGAGGTAAATATCATACTACATCACTGATGTCGAACATCCAGAATGTATGTTTAAATTTGTGGTGTCAACTTTCAAAGTCAATAATAAGTGGGGATGTATTTATTCTGCAATCATACACCTCAGTCCAACACTGTTGATATTGACGCTTAAGATTCCCATATCGGATTAATCTGTGTGTGCCTATTATCAAAAAAAAATGTCGGGTCATTCGACTGATGGATCTGTGTGACTTGATTGAGTGCTGGAAAGAGTGCTGGCAGGCCGACTACCTGATGATGTGGCGGGACCATAGCCACTGCCAACGATGTTACTGATGTCTATACCATTGGATGCCATATACTGAGGATCACCAAGCATTTGTAGTATACGATCCAGTTTGATATGCATATCAACCACTGAGTCATTTCTCCTCTGCTTATCCTTACACTTCTCCATCTTCTCCTGCTCCTTATTCCAATCATTTAGTTTGACTGATGTCAGTATCTTCTCTTGACCAATTAACTTTAACTCGAATGTCTATTTTTGAGAGATATCAAGTAAGTAAGATGTTGGACCTATCATTCAATCAGTCCCTCAGTATCCACTACTTACTCCACCGGCATTCTTATTCTGTACAATCTCTTGAAGGAACTTCTTGCGCTCAGAGTTCACCTTCATCAATAAGTCGCTGTAGTATTGAGCTTCATCATACCTGAAGCCAAGTCCAAGTAGTTGTAACTCTTCAAACATACGTTCAGGGGTTATTCCACGCTCCTCCATCAACCCAGGTCGTTTCTCCATCAATATGATAACAATCGAACTTATATCATAGATGTTTCGTCTGAATAGGAACTTTAGAGACAAGTAATACCTCTTCCATTTCTGGAAATAATAGTTAGTTATTTGATGGTATTGAAGATAAGTATATACATACAGTCAACATTGTCCTCTTGGCCTTTTGTTTGTTCATAATATTGTCATTGACTTCTGAATAGCTGTTGGAAATGATTGCAATGAACATATTCATTAGGATGAGGAACATGAATATGATAAAGAGTAAAGTATACTATATGAGTTGTTGATCATAACATGTTAGTTCTTTTCACCAACAAAGGGATATATGAATAAAAGACACTTACAATTGGACCAAGTGCACGGTTGGTATAGGTCATGGCTTGGAAGCTTGGTGGATTGCCCATGATGAATTGTAATGATGTACCAAGACTGGCAATGAAGCCATAGTAATCTGGAATGTCATGACCAAATGTTAACCATCCAGATGTCAAGAATCCAATCATTATGATCAAGAACATTATTGTAAATGCCAACAATTCAATCCTAGCATTAGCAATCGTAATCCATATAGCATACAATCTACGATGTATGATCAAATATCTAAATGTCTTGAATGACAACAACAGGATATCTAAGGAAGGKTTGTTAGACCTGTGACTGATTCTATGATTCAATTATTCTTTCAAACGTACTTATAGCACTAAGCTGGAAGTATACCAGGGCAGTCTGGCCCATCTCTTCCAGATACACCGGATAAATACCACGTTCCTCCAGTGGAATAGTTCCAGAGTACTTATTACTCAGGAATATAAAGAATAGAACTACAGATGATATGAATAACTATGAGGATGTATATTTGTATCCAAGGTTAGTAATGAACATCTATCTATCAATCAAGATGACCTGGCTCAAGAGACTTACGGAAATATTGACAATATCAAGTACATTCCAGAATGATTTGATAAAGTAGGATATCCTACCAAGCTTATAATCGATACGTGCTTCGTTGATGAAGTTATAGATGTAGTAGATGAGGAATATGAGGAATAGGAGTTCGAGGAATGCTCTGAAGCCATCGGTGGCAGTAGAGTACATATTGATACGATAGGTACGCATTGAATAGTATGGGTCGATTGATCCAGATGCCGAGTACTCGAGCAACAGGTAGACAACTGTAACGCGCGACTCGTAACTGATGGAGAATGTGACGAATGATATTATGACTGCACGCGTCTGATAGTTAAAGAATGAGTTGTTGATCAGTGACTCTATGCCACTGGATACATCAGCGATGGGCAGATCGATATAATAGCCAGATGGCTCGTATGTGTACTGATTGTAGCCAAAGACTAGAGGCTCACCCGATCGCTCGGAGAACTTATAAGTGGCCGTTGGTCCGACAATATCGCGTGTCTCTCTAGTGCTCTTGTAATATACTGGCGAGTAGCATGTGAGGTTGAGGCCACGCGATGGACAGCTGTTGGGTGCCACGCGTAGCTGGCGCACTCGCACTGTCTCACTAATGATGCTCGTCATGCAGTATGGATTGTCAAAGGACATGTTCTGGATGGTGGAGGCAAACACCGTTGTGAGATACGTGTTGAACTGGGCTTGATTGGTGATGTCGGTGAAGCCATTGAATAATAAATCAGACTTGATCGTTTGTCCAATCTGGTAAACATCATTTGAATTCCTCTGTAGGATGATGAACGCCATGAATGCTACAAAGAACACAATATGTTTGATCAAATCTTTGATCAACCTTGCTCGTCTCTGTATCTCGATGGCCGCCAACATTGTTGCCTTGTCATGATCATTCTTGTCAGCCAATGTCTCCTTGATCTTTAGCCTACAACTTGATCCAACACTTTGTTTGAACCTTTCCATCTTTGACATCTATATATAATATTTATATTGTAATCCAAAGTCACATGCTATACTCCTTCCTTTATCTCTTCCTATATTCCTTCTCTCTATGCTCCGTTCCAGACTGATTGACTGGATGACTCTCCACTCAGCTCACTCCTCCTGGCAAGTCAACCTCCAGCCATTATCAACAACAACACCACCTTTTGGACCTTCCTCATCGTCCCTTTACTACACACTATCATGGAAGCATATATGTCGTGGGGTATGATAGTTTCTTTAGCTAGTGAAGCATCAATCATGTGTCTTTCTAACATGCATGTCAACACACTAACACTGATCCTGTATGTTTGAGTGGTTGAGTGATTGTGTGGTACATTTATATGTAAGTGGAGGACCACTCACATGATCATCGATCAAATTTACCTTATGATCGATGTGTTTAAATCGCATTGTCAATTCTTTAGAACTTAGTTTTAGACTAATGGTAGTTGTAATGTGTTTGCGAACAATGTAATCAATCAATGTCCCAAACGGAAGAACATAAACAAACCCTTGCGCTGTCCACAAATATCTCGCCATAGGGTTCATCCTTTAGTAATGGACCTGTCGGATTATCCTATTAATGAAATTGATCAAGATGCTTGCAGCTCCACTCAACCCAAGACCGAACAACAAATAGTTCCTGTCTCTGATCAAATGTTACACATTGTATGGCGATACCTCCAACGAGGAGTTCTACGATCCCATGGGATCTATTCTGTATAGATTGGAAGCCACCAGAGAATGTAACCTAAGCATTTGACCAGCTGTAGTTTCTGAAGAACCATCTGGTTATTTTGTTGGGGATGGGAGAAGCTTGGAAGCTGTTATAGTGTCAGTCTTGTTTATTGTGTCAGTCTAGTCTTGGTGTTGTGTGTTTTGTTGGATGTATATATATATATATATTAAAGGTCAATAATACTACAAGTGTTGGGCATTGCCTTCACTTCCATAGTTCTCGCCTGGATGTGAGAATGCGAATCCTGTGTTCTCTGTTGGAAAGAAATGTTAGTACGATTGATTGATTGATCACAACTATAATATATATACATACTCTTTGATACTTTGCTTGACTTGATCCATGTAAAGAATGGGATTCTCTTCTTCTTCTTGTCCTTGTTGTTGGCATCGCTGACCTTGAACTCCTCGATGGTACCCTGTGGACCTGCACCAAGGCCCTTCTCGACAAAGACCATTGGATCGGGCTTGCCCTTGACCTTCTCAATCTCCTGCACAATCTGGTAGGGATAGGGAGTGACGTCACGCTGAATGATTTTGTACAGACTGTCTGGGATGAGACAGATGATGGGGATACAGGCCAATGCCAGCCAGAAGAGGGCTGAGCTCCAAAGTTTAAAGGCTGTGAAATAGAGGTCGCCCGATGCCGAGCTGGAGGCGTTGTAGAGCGAGGCAAGGATCGCCTGCCACAGGAACCATATCAGCATACTGCCCCAGATGGAGAAGTGTGTCAACCAGGTCCAGTAGCGAGTCTCGAGCGCCAGCTTGAGTGAGACGGTCCATACGACTAGGATGAACATCAGCTCGCCCATGCACCAAAAGTCTAGGTTCAGGCCGTTGGTTAGGAGTGGTCCGCCGTGCATAAAGATAGCGCGCACGCAGAAGAAGATGACAACCGAGTGGCACAAGGCCTCGCCCAGCCAGATCCAGAGGATCTTGAGGTTGAACTCTGAGTCCTTCTGGCCAGACTTGTATAGCTGTGGATACTTCATGGAGCTCTCGACACTGACGTCCTGGTCAAAGATGGCGTAGACAATGATGGGCAGACCGGTGAAGATGACGTTGAACACGGCGATCGAGAAAGAGTCAAAGAGTGTCTGTGCCGAGTAGAGGTTGTAGATTCCGAACCAGAACTGGGTCATGGCAAACACCATGTTCTTGTAGAAACAGTACAGCATCAGACGACTGTTTCTCTTGTAGTTCCAGCGGCCATGCACAACTACCAGCTTATAGAGGTAGCGGAACTGGGCGATCGAGTAGTCACTGGCCATTACGGCCTGCATACCCTCGTTTCCACTGATACCGACACCAATGTGGGCTGCTTGGATCATTGAAACGTCGTTGGCACCGTCACCAATGGCCAGAGTCACGGCGCACAGAGAGTCACGCACAAGCTTGACCACGAGCGCCTTTTGCAGTGGGGTGGTACGGCAGCAGATGACGGCCTTGCAATTGGAGGCCAGGTTGAGGAAGGGGTCTCTCAAATCGCCCTCGAGGGCAAAGTTGAGACAGCTGCCCTCGACCACGAGTGCAAAGCCGCTGTGAGGGAAGTCGACAATGTTGTCTGAGAAGTAGGCGTCCATGGCCGAGCGAATCTGCTCGTTGACGTCGCCCTGTGTCTTGCCGTTGAGAATGATGATCTTCATGTCAGACGTGAGCAACTGACACGAGAAACCAATGTTGATGGCAGTCTCCTGCTTGTCACCAGTGAGCACCCAGATCTTGATGTTGGCCTTGGCCAGGTTGGCAATTGCCTGGGGCACACCAACCTGCAGCTTGTCTTCGATGGCTGTCGATCCGAGCAGGACGAGGTTCTTTTCGATGAGCTCGGCGACGCGGTCCATCTTGGCGTCGTGGTCCTGGATGGAGATGGCAGCCTCCTTGTACTGTTCGTTCCAGGCGTTATACTCATCTTCGGGGATGATGGCGTAGGCCAGGCAAAGGGTACGCAAACCCTCAGCGGCAAAGTCCTGTAAGTGCTCCAAGGTGGTCGTGTGGATCTCATCCTGGTCCTTCCTGAGCAATGGCAGAACGGTGGTGTCTGCACCCTTGGTGTAGATTATGAAGCGTCCCTCAGCGTCACGAACGACGATCGACATACGCTTGCGATCACTGTTGAATTCGAGAATGTTGAGGAACTCAAACTGCTCAAGCTTGCCACGCACTCTGATTGTGATCATCGTTGGTTGACGATTGTAAAAGGCGTAGCCGAGGTTCTTGGCTGCGGTGACCAGCGCGGCCTCATCTGGACTGGAGGCTTCGTAGTCAATAACGCTGTCGTCCTTGTTGGGACGATCGGCAATGACGGTGTGGCAGACGGCGAGCAACGTGAGGAACTGGTGAATGAGGTCCGACTGGTGCGAGCCCTCGTCGAGATGCTCGATGAGCCTGCGATCCTTGAAACCAAAGTTGGGGTCTGCGCCTGGGATGCCCTCGTTGTTGCTCGACGACTCGCCAGAGTCAGCGCCATAGGCAATGCCTCCAATCGAACATCTCAAAAAGTCCATCTGGTTTCTAGTTAGTGTGCCTGTCTTGTCACTGAATATGTACTCGATCTGACCCAACTCCTCGCTCAGGTTTGATGTGCGTGACTGTGCTGGCGTGCCAGACTCGCGGTGGAACATATCGCGGTCCCACGAGATGAAGATGGCCTGCGCCACCTTGACTAGCTCGAGCGACACGTACAGCGAGATGGGGATCATAACGGCAAAGGTGATCATGAACGACAGGAAGTTCTTGCCCGCCGCTGCGACGTCCTTGGAGCTGTAGTCCATGTAGAAGTCGTTCAGATGGTTGCTGGTGCTGACGACCGAGACGACTGTTGCAACGACGCACACCAGGAACATGATCGAGAACAGATTGATGAGTGCGCGGTTCACAAGTTTCTCGAGGGTGCTGCGCTTGCTGGGTGCGTCGGTGGAGTTCTGCATGATCTTTGTGTCCTCGCCGGTATACACGGTGATGCCATAGATCCAGTCGGTGTTTCTGAGCACACAGCCACGGAGTAGTGTCTGCGTGTTGGATAGGGCGTACTTGATGTCGGAGGGGCTGTTGCCGAGGGCCAGCGAGCCGTGGAACACGTAGATGACGTTGTTGGGATGCTCGCACTCGACAAAGCCCTTGAACATGGTGAGATCCTCATCGCTTCTGAGATACTCGTATGTCTGTGGCAGCGCCTGTCTCTGCTTCAAGTTGGTCTCACCATCGAGGTTCGACGTTTCGATGTAGCAGATACCATGTTGCTCGGAGCTGTTTAGCAGCACCAAGTCGGCAGGGAATCTCTCGCCCTTATTAACACGAACGATCTCTCCCACCGACACGTGACGCCATGGTACCTCGACGAACGAGTTACCACGGAACACTCTTGCTGGTAAGTTATTGATCTTACTATCTGACTTTCTACGTTTCTGTTTGTTATGATTGAAATTGATCGATTGATTTGAGTGAGTGGAATGATTCCAAATATCATAGATCGATCGAATGACTAAAGATACTTACAATATCCTCTACTGCTTCCTTGATGGCAGTTACTGACAACACAAAGATTAGAGGGATGACGGTGGTCAGGGGGTTGACGGGAGATGCTTGGATAGGGATCAGCTGGATGATGGCAATGATGAGGAAATAGAAGTTGGCCGCACGTCTGAACTGCTCGTACAGGTTCTTGGGGATGAACGACCAGTAGGTGTACTTGGTGGTCTTGATCGTGTTGTCACGGAACTTGGACGTCACGTTCCTCGTCGGGTCATTGACGAATATACTCCTGTTCTCGCCAATGTACTTTCTCTTCTTTGTCCTCTTGAGAGGCTTGGACTTCTTCTTTGGCTTGTTGGGGCGCAATGAAGAGCCGGCCTTCTTCTTGATGGCTGCTGTCGTGCGAGGTGACGTTGGACTCGATGGTGAGGTCGCCTCGCTGCCACCCGCGTCGCTATTATTCCCTATCGAAGACGTCGACGACGAAGCATAGTTTGGGTTCACTGTGTCTGCCGATGGCAGAGGGATCGTATCCTTATCTCTACTACGATCCATTCTATCTATCTCTATAACTACTCCCTTCTCGTCGACCTCTTGTGTCTGCTGTTGTTGACTTATGGTTGAATGATTGGATTGACCCGACTAAATAATAAAGTCTGATTAAATTGATTGGATTGATTGATTGATTGACTGACTGAATGTTTGTTTGTAATACTACTAAGATAATACTAAATTATAATCCTACTTTTCTCTCTCTCTCTCTCTCTCACTCTATTTGCATGCTACACTGGAGATGATGATGTGATTGATGTGATGTGTCCACTTGTCTATGACAACTGTTCCTCTTCTCCCTTTGAATGTCAACCAGCCTAATAAGTGGCTATTGTTTGAGGAGATGTGGAGAGTTGAGGTTGAAGTGCGCTAATATATGTGGTACTAGAGATGGATTATATTTGTTTGATTGATTGATATGTGTGTGTTGTGAATGAATGAATGAATGTGTGTATCTGTGTTGTTTGATTAGGAAGTTAAATGAAATACAATGTATTATTTAACCCCTGGGTATCCACCAAAGCAAAGCACAGACTTGTGTGTGTGTGTGTGTGTGTGTCTGTAAAGTGTATGTGTTTGCCAATGCATCTGCTTGGAAGCTTGAGAAGCTACCTCACACACCTCACAAACACACCAAAAGGACCAACAAACGTCCAAACGGCTCACCACAAGGGCGTCAGATTAGCCACAACCTCGACCCACCCGAGAAGTGAGCGTTACAATCAACGAAAAAAAAAACAAAAAAAAGGGTCCTTGTGCAAAAGTCTCTGTTTTGATTCATGCAATCAAACAAAGTCCAACGGACCTCTACATTCAGTACTTCACGACAACAGATAATGGATTGTCAACAACAAAATCAGATGGTCCACTTTCCGATGCGATCGAGTCTCGTACTGGTCTTGATAAAAATAGATGATTGATCTTTGAAGAGGTCTAGACCTTTGGTTGGTGAGCATCAAACCAGTGTGATTGAATTACCAAGTGAATGAAGTTTTGTTATTATTACTTATTACAAAATGAGAGATAAAAGAATGATCGGAATTTGTTTGGCATCTTGGAATAAGAATATTGATTTCTATTCAATTTGGCTGGAGACGAATCATTCATCTCTCACCTGCTGAGCAAGTTTGTAAAGTGACCCTTCGGCTGGAAAATCATTCACATTTGGTGACATATTAATATGTGTCCTCTAACGATGTACAAATTATTACTTGGGCAAAGTCATTAGTGTTGGCGCCACAAGTGACATACATTATTTAGATCCGCGTGTGATGATCAATTTTGAGATTGGTGCATCCAATCAATCACATTCGCCCAACCCTTTGATCACTCCCTTCCTTCCTCTATGTTTGATCATATGATTGAGGTCCTAACGCGCCCACCCTGCTCGGAGAGGACAGACCCAGCCACCATATACAGTAACTTGTTATAAGATCATATCCAATCATTCAATTAATTCAATATTGGGTGTACTGATCAACTCTTTGTCCTCGCGGTGGCACTTGCAAGGGGTGGGTGATGTACGCCCTCTCATTTCCAATGGATGCGGCAATGAACGAGAATGAATGCATTGCGATGTGATCATAACCCAACTCTGTTTGTTTGAATGATCATTGTTGTTGTTCATAATCATATCTCACTCACTTATCTGTATGGTCGTCCACTTTCTGCCTGCCCGTCCATCCATCCACAGCTATTATCCATTAAGGTGACCAGGGTCTGACCAGCTAGAACATCATCCTGTGACACAAGGGATGGACAATGGCTCGACGGATGCATGCCGACCTAGGCCAGAGCCTTTCCAGGTGTTGTGATTGATCGATCAATCAAACTCGTGTTGTGATTGATCGCACCTGGAAAGACTCTCGCCTACGAAAATGGTGGCCTGTCTCTCTTTTTCTTGAGACAGGTTGTCAGTCGATCCATGTTTCCTTAGATCGCCATACATTCTGTCCCTCCTTTGCCTGTGTGTCAATCTATCGATCGATCAATCAATCAATGTTTGTTTTAGTCGATTGAACTTTCAATCACATAAATAAATGATGAATGGACATGTACGCGACTTTGCGGAACATGTGTATGTGTGTGAGTGTGTCTAAGTATCGATCGAAAGGATGTGATCCATCCACAGCCATTTATTTGTGGCTGTTGGTGTTGTTGTTGTTGTTAGTGCTAGTGATATGATTACTGTTTGGAAGTTCTCCCTTGTTGTAGAAATTGTCCATATCCCTGTAGATACGACTGTGGATCAGATCTCTCGATCTAGTTTCACCCCATATCCAGAATCCAGCAACAAAGCCAGACGACACAATGAATGTTCTAATATTCCAAGACAATGTCTTTCTAAACTTTGGTGCTATATATATTTGATTGTTTGTTGTTAATGTCAATCATTCATTCATTGATTCAATCAATGTGGACACATACATATTAGTGAACCAACTGCTACTACTGATGCGGTTACAGCGGTGTAAAGCAAGCCACCTTTGATGCCCTCTCGCAGGAATACTTCCTTGCCTTCCCTCTCTTCGACCTCTCTTCTCTTCAAGTACTGCTCATGTGTCTCTCTTCTGTTTGGAGCCTCTGGACCTGACAGGTCCTCAAATGGTGGTATCTCTTTCTTGTTGTTGTTTGACATCTTGTCCTTTAAATATGTTTATAAATATATATATCTATAAATGTTATACTTGTAATTGATTGTGTGTATATGATTGTATATGTTTACTTAAAGTGGAATGAATAAACTGGTTGTGTTGTGTTATTTATGCCAAAGTTAATTGATCAGATGAGATGTGGGTTCAATAAAAGAGTGCCCAGGACATCATCTGAGTTCATGTCCTATTTTGGGTTGTTCATCGTGTTTGAGATAAAAGAAACAAAGTATACGTCATCAATACTCTGCACGTAACCGAAATTTAATTCAGATAGATACTTCATTATAACCAACTATCTGATTATACGTTCGTCCATTCATCGATTCATTCATGGTCTTGCGTAGTACTCTTGCTCACTCACTCGTTCACCAACAGTGTGAGAATCAAGGTCCAACCAATTGGACCCTGACACTATTCTTATCGCTATCATCGTCACAGCCACCAGATGGATGGTCCGTCGCTCATTTCTTCCCATGTTTATTTGTTTCTGTCCTTTTCTCCTTCTTTGGTTAATGGCATTCTCCAAGAATGCTTGGACAAGAGGTTGAGGTTGGTCTTTGACGCTTAGCAAAGCAGTCTGCAAGTCGCAAAGATCCCCCAGGTGTTGGAGGAAGAATTGGATGATGTTCAGATGTCCATGATCGGCTGCAATGCTCAAGAGATATGATTCAATATCAGCCCTCTCACCGTTGACATGGACAAACAACAGTGCATCCAGTCTGCCTAGCTCCGCCATTTTCCTGGTTGAGCAAGTAATTGTGTTACTTGTATAAAGGTGCTGATAGATCAGTAACTCTAGACTTGGCAGATTGTCAAATGAACCATTGAAAAAATTGATCTCCTTGTCCGGTGACTGTTGTCCGTGGATAAGCTGGTACAACTGGATGGCATTGAGAATGATGTTGACACGATGCAGATCGATGGTGGAGAGGAGAATATCAAGAGATTCTCTGGCCATCGTTTGGGGACAGCTCCTGGAATCTGTCTATGCCTTGTCCGTTGTTTAGACAGTGCTCCAGATGCTTGTGGTCATGGTGGATGGGTCTGTAGAGGAAGGGGCGCCCAAGATTAAGTTGTAGTAGGAACAGCTCTAGATCACTCTGTCTTGCACGTCTGGCGAATTTTAACATGTCCCTATGAAGGCCCTCAGTTCTGTTTTGATGGAGGAACTGTACCATCTCAAGGGCATCGTTACGACAGATCCAGGGCACAAGGTCATTATGGAGATGTGGGAGCTTCCCATTCTCAAGAACATTAAGCAATGGATTTGCTGGCCTCTTTGATCACCATTGGATCGTAGCCCTCTGTTCGATGCTGGTGAAGAAACATAACCATTTGCTTGTGTCCCTGTAAAATTGAATGGCTCATTGTCAAGTTGGTGCAGCCCTCTGTTCGGTGAGAGTGCAAGAATCGCACCACATTGAAATGACCATAAATTGCAGCACCATCAATGGCGCCGCTGGTACAGTTGATCTCTGGATATTCGCGGTGCAGGTATTCAATGATCGAAAGATGTCCGTTTCGAGCTGCCAAACCAAATACATATCCAGTGATGTCCAATCCTTTGACTATGAGAAACTGGATGATGTGGAGGTTCCCTTCGATGGCAGCCAATTCCATGCACGCAGGAGAGTAGGGCAGAGAGTGATGATTGTGAAGGTATTCGAGCATGTCAATGCGCTGGGTGAGCATGGCCTCAGCGGTGAACCGGCCTACCCTACCCTTCTCCTTGCCTGTAAGCACCATCCTTAGTGAATCGAGCGAACAGTGGCGAGCAACTAGGTCAAGATGGTCGGATATCTTGGCCTCATGGCGATGCTGATGCAAGAACATGGCAATGTCAAAGTGTCCATTCTTTAATGCGTTCGACATTTTGTCTTGTTGGCAGCCCTCTGTTCTGTGGACGTGGAGGAACTGGACCACAGATGTGTTCCCATTGGAGGCTGATGTGTGCATTGCTCTGCTAGTGCATCCATATCCTAGCCGATGCAAAAGGGCAACAGTGTCAACTGATGATGATTCCGCCGCCACATCAATCAATCTATTGGCGCAAGCTGGAGGCCATCTCTCGGCCATCATTGCAACCAGTTCCAACGAGCACTTGGCGGCCTCATCAAGGGCTTCATTGTTAAAGCCCTCCTTTCGATTGAGAAGCAGAAACCGGGCAATGTTGTAGTGGCCATTCTTGATTGCCACATGCACATTATCAATATGGAATGCACCCTTCTCATTCTGGGGATGTCGATGCAGGTATTCAACGATGTTCAGATGGCCTCTTGCGCAGGCGATGTGCACCAAGCGCATGAGGCGATGGTCAATGGCACCATTGAGAGTTCGCCGTGGCTTTATTCCTGCAAGGCAAGGCACCGATTAGTTGGGTGAGCAGGTTTGAAGACCATGACCAAGTGTTTGTATGTTACCGTGTATTCTCTGAAGATTGAGGTACTCGGTGTTGAATGGCTCACTCTCAAGTCTATGTCTCAAGATGTCAAGGTATCCAAGTGCGTCGTATTGTAGACACAGCTCACTCCACTAGTATCGATGGAATTGGTTGAATGCCAACTGGCCGCCTCTATAGTAATAACACTGCTCTTTAATCAGTTGATAGAATATCCTCCTGGCAGTGACGACGTTGTTGATTACGACTGAGAACACTTGTTCTTTTCTCTTATGTACCATCTCCTTGATCAAACATGTATTTGTACCTCTTTTTGTTGATGGTATGATCATAATGGATAAGTTGCAGGCAAAGTTTGGTATGTTCATAATTTTGTGAATGAATGTACTCTCGCTCTTTATGGTTTAATCGATTGTGTGATGGATAGTCGCTTGGAAGACAACTTTAACAGGCTGCGCTTGAGTATCTCCTCTTGCTCTTGGAGTGTGTGTGATGTCGACGTTGTTGGTGGTGGCGGCGGAGTGATGACGACGCCCCACTTCTTACAGTAGGCCTCTGTTGGTATCACTTTGCTCGCAACATGTTGGTAACCTTTGGCCAGCTCCCTCTCTCGCTGTAGGTACTCGGCAAACTCTGATTGTTTGTTTGGTAGTTGCCAGGGCATGAGCCACTGGTCCATGCTGATATTGTTGCGTTGTTGCTCTTGAAGTATGCTCTCCCTCAAGTATGAGTGCGCCTTGCTCAACCAGCCCCTCACAAGTGCCAACTTCCTCTCTGCCATTGCATATACCTTCCTGCGCTCCACCTCTATATCATCATCCACTTTGTCCTCTCCTGGTTCTGTCCTCCACACCTCACGGCAGGGCGGTGCTTTGGCCTGCTCCTCATACTCATCATGCTGCTCCTCGTCCTTCTCCACAGACTCTCGCTTCCTCTTGAGTGCAGCCATGTAACTCCTCTCTCTCATTTCTTCACGCTCGCGTCTCTCTTGTTGTTCATGTTGCTCCTGCTCCATCTGCTCTTGATCCATCACCTGTTGCATCAACATATGCTCATGCTTCTTCATCTCTTCCTGTTGGCGCAGCTCCTCTTGCTCTTGCCTCGCCAACTCCTGCTCCAGCAGTCGATCGTGCTCCTCCTTCTCTCGAGCCCTCTGCTCACCCCTCTCGCGCCTTCTTTGTTCGCTGGCCGCCTTCTTCTCCACCCTTCTCTGTAGTTTGAGCTCTTGCTGCAGCCTCTCCTCTTCCTCAGCCTTAATCATTTGTTGCTTGGCGAGATGCTCCAACGCGCGATTCCTCTCTGCGACTTCCTCCAACAACCTCCTCTCCTCTGCCATCCTCTCTATTCGGTCGCGCTTCTCCTTGGCCTCTAACTTGTGTCGAAGCGCCAGAATTGTTTGCTCGCGCTGCAGTTTCCTCTTGCGCGAGCTCAACTCTGAGAAGAAATCGTTAGAGTCGAATCGCACGTCAGCTTTGTATCCAACATTATTCCTAAACATCTTGAAGCGTGACAATGTTCTCTGACAGTCTGATGCACCGTGTGTCGAGCTGAACTGGATAGCGGCCTGGAAGTGTAGCAGTTTGTCGAGTGATGCGATTGGTACCATGCCAGAGATGTTGCTATCGTTGCCAATCACACGCACCAAGTCCTTTGGAGTATCCACCAGTATCTCAATGTTGTCAATCTGGCCAAAGTGATTGAATACTCTTTGTATCACCTCTGCTGATGGATACGAAGTGTCGGCTGTCTCATTATCAACGAACCATGATGTGGGCAGATATCCAACAATGACTGTGTTTGATGGTTGCATATTGTTATTGCTGATGTTGGCTTGTGACTCCATGTCATTGTTGATTTCATCCTCGACTCGATATACAAAGTATGATGACATTCCTTTAAATGTAACACGTCTACCATTTAGTCGCTCATGTACAATGCCAGCTCGAGACGATCGTACCTCTAGTCGAAATGTGTATAACAGTGTCTCGTCATTGTTGTCTCTTGTTGATGCTTGTGATTGTGATTGTACATCTCTACCAGTATGTATGCTTGTTAACAATAGAGGTTTGTTGACTATTGACGCTAGTAGTGATTGTAACATCTCTGAGGCATCCCATTTGGGAGGGGTATCCGAGTGACCAATGACCGTTGTAGACACTCTTGCGAAAGAGACAATGAATGATCTCGTTGATATTAATGTTATTGAGCTACATAGATTGATATCATCTTCATCATCCATCCCATGTTATCTTTATATCTTAACTATGTGAAAGTATTGAAGGAATGATTGAATCTTTATCAAACATCTCGAACATCAAATTTAAAATAGGTTGTGTTGAAGTTTCAAATTTGAATTTGAATTTAGATAACGGTTTTTTCAAACGGTCGCAGTGTAGGTGACACACACATTCAATACCTCAATCTTTCATTCTCGTGACCCTTTATTACAACAATCATATATATATATATATATTCAACTCATGTCTTTATTAACTGAATCACCTACAAAGACAAAGATACTTGGGTTCAAACGATCATTGTCTGATGTTGTGTGCAAGAACGATGATGATGGACTGGCATTTGGAGCTGGAGGTGGACTGATCGTTCAAATGGATAGTAGCTTCTCAACACACCATCAACAACAGCAACAACAGCAGCAGTCAACAACAAAGAAACATAAAGTGGCCACAACACCTGCAGGATCAAAACTAATCGAGTCACTGTCATTGTCACCTTCAAAGTCGTCACATTTGCGCAAACGCCTCACCACGCCAACACCGGTCAAGAGTACTGGATGGACGACCGAGTGGGACTGGAAGCAATCATCACTCACTGCATTCTCAAACTCACCACTCAAGTTCTTCGAGACCAAGGTGGCCGGCTACACCACCCCCAGCAAGACCAACAAGGCAGCGGCCGCCAAGAAGAAGCCACTGTTTGATGGCGGCATCGACCTGGAACAGACATTCATCGCGGTTGGCAAGAAGCTCGTCGAGCAGACTATATGTCCCAAATGTCGCATGTTGTACAGTGTTGGTAGCAAGGAGGATGAGCAGACACATAAGAAGCACTGCACAGAGAGTGGACAATCACCCAAGATCATCATCAAGAACTGGCGATCGATTGGCAAGATATTGAACTCATTTCCCAATGATGAGGGCATCATATCCATCGTGCCTGGTGAAGAGGACAATGCTGTGTTGAAGTCCAAGCTCGAGTCAATCATCAAGATGGTCAACTACGAGCTTGGCTACGTCGAGCCGTCCAAGAATGAAGTGGAGCCAGACAACGAAGAGAAGGTGAGTGAGACACATGATTGATTGGTCACGATCTCGAGTTTGCTAACACCATGGTCCAATACTTCTACTGAGTAGTTCTTCATGTATATGAACGCAGAGGGTAGGGTTGTTGGATTTGTCGCAGCAGAGAGACAGAGTGTGGCGCATAGGATCAAAGAGAATGATGATAAGGACGACACGACCATTCAATGTGAGGATCAGTTTGTGCAAGTCAAATGTGGAGTGAATCGCGTATGGACACTAAACAGTGTGCAACGACAAGGTATCGCCACCAAACTACTTGACAGTGTTCGTCGCAACATGTTCTATCGTTGTCAACTTGACAAGAACCAACTTGCCGTCACCACTCCCTCTCTCTCTGGTCGCGTCTTCTTCTCTCACTACTTCCAAACCCAACACTATCCACTGTACAGAACACAACAAATTCATCATAATACCGATGGATAGGCTTGGGTCAACAAGCCCTCGCACAAACATACATCCATACCTTCTAATGATTTGGATAATACTAAATAAATGGCCAATCATCGCAAGGCAAATAAGATAGATATACAATTGGTTGTTTATATAATTAATGGACCGCAGGCCAGCCGTTTACTTGCCAATGACAATACCCTCGTATGTCTGCTTGTACCAGTTGACAGTGTCAATCTTGGTGATTCTGTGCTGGAAACCAACGCGAGCGCAGGTTCTCTTTCTCCGAGCCACACGGAAACCTGGACGACCAAGCACGACAAAGAAGTCCATACCATAGATACCGATGGCTGGGTCGTACTTGATGCCCAGATCAATGTGCTCCTGGATACCAAAGCCGAACGAGCCGTTGTTGGAGAAGTTCTTGTTGCGCAGCTCAAACTCCTTGACCTTCAGACCCTTCTCGAGGATCTCGGCAGCCTTCTCACCGCGGACGGTGACGTGACAGGCGATCTGCTCGTTACGACGGATGGAGAACGAACGGACGGTGTAGCGAGCCTTGGAGTAGACGGGTGTCTGGCCAGTCAATTGCTCGAGCACCTTGGCAGCACGTACCAGTCTATCACCACTCTCACCAACACAGATGTTGAGGATGAGTTTCTCGATCTTGAGCTTTCTGTTGATGTTATCCTTCTTGTCGGCGACCACTGGTGCTGCGCTGGTGGTGGTAGCTGGTGCCTTGGTTGCGTTCTTCTTTGAAATGTTTGTCTAATGAATGAGGTGATTGAGTGAATGATTAGCAACTATGAACAAACAACGAAGAATGAATGAATGTGTGTCCTCTATACCATATGATCCGTATTCCATGTCAGACCTTGATCCCTCTCGATGAATTGATTGGAATCAGTCAAAACGACAGAGGTCAGATATAGATGATGGGATGGGATGGTATGGAAAGATGGATACACGATTCATAATGTGTCATGATGAGATGTTATCGATGTTTAAAATACCAATCCATTTGGTAATCGATTATCTATCAATGATACACACCATTGTATCGTTATTAAAGGATATATGTGATGATGCCGTGATTGTGTGTATGTATATGATATGTAGTTATGATTGAGTTGTGAGTGGAGATGTAAAGGGCACGAACGAGGATACATGGTGTAGGAAAAATGAAATCATTTTTATTTTATTGTGCTTTATTGTTGGAAAGGTTGCTTAATGATGGAACTTCTGACCAAGTGATTGATTGGGTAACTGGAAGATGGTACTCAACAACTTGGAAAGAGAGATATTATTATATATATATATACTATGCCAAAAATGATTTATTCACTAGTGTAAAGAGCTCTAAGCCAAATGGAGATGGTTTAGTTGGCCTTGACGATCTTGGAGTCGGATGGCTTTGGGACTCTGGTCTCAGCCTCAGTGAGGATCAACTCGACAGTGGATGGGCTGCACAAGTATGGGTTGATTCTACCGTGGGCTCTGTAGGTTCTACGTCTGGTCTTCTGGGCACGCTGGACCTGGACGTGTGAAACGATCAACTTGTCGGCATCGAGCTGCTTGGCCTCAGCGTTGGCAGCGGCGTTCTTCAACAAGCTCAAAACGTGCTCGACGGACTTCTTTGGCCATCTGGCAGAGTGAGCCTATATAATATTGGTTGATTGATCGAACCTGTATGTCAGTGATTCTGTTCATTTCGTCATTTCGTCATTTCGTCATCAATCAACCGTGACCTGATCTCTGTCGCAAATCCTGTTCCAAACGATTGACTGATTGACTGACTGATTGATTGATTGTGTTGCCTGCCAAATGATACATACACCCTCGAGGTTCTTGGCTTGAGCAGTACGACCACATCCGTACTTGAATCTACGGAATGGGATGGCCTCCTTGTGCTTGAGGACGTTCCACAAGTAGGTTTGGGCTCTCTTGAGGTACATGCCCTTGATGGCGTTGGCAGTCTCACGAGTGTTCTGTTATGATGTGAAATGAACTTGTGTGAGCTATCTGTATGTATCTATGTCTATCTATCGCATGTCATAGTCTCTTCGCTCCTGTAATATCCTATCCGTAGATGATGTGATGATAAACCTAATCGATGCATACCTTGAAGTGAACTCTCAAGTTTGATCCGCGGGACTTGCTGGCTGTTTGGCAGGAAGGTGTTAGATAGATGTTGATAGGTGGATGGAGTCGAGAGATAGATGATAGTAACATACACTTCTCTGGGTTGGTTGGCTCGGTGGCGTAGGCTGGCTTGGTCATTTTTGGCTAGATTGATGATGGTTGATGGATTGACAGTGTAAGACAAGGATTCGATAGGATTGACAATGATAGACGTGGTCTCTTTCCAAATAGCTAACAACATACCAATCGCGACACTTGGTGAAAGAATGTGAGTCTCGATCAATCTCTTTGATACGACTTCGATGGAGGACGAGAGGGGAGCTCCCATCCATTCCCTCGTCTCATTTAATGAAAAATAAAATAAAAAATAATCATTTGTGCTCATTCAATACGAACTTCTGTTAATTAGTAGAAAACAGTGTTCAACACTATCCTCATTATTATGAAAGAGGAAGAGTGAGAGAAGAGAAGATAAGAGATAGATATATATATATATATATATGTATGGCCAAGAGTATACAATCACAAGATAGACTATCATTTAGCTTTGACTATGCTGATGCTGATGCTCAACGACATTCAGTGGTAGTAGTCGAAGAGGATAGTGCAGCAGGTTGGAAACAAAAGGTCATTCACAAGAAAGAAACAGATGTACAACAACATGTTGATGATGAAGATAGTTATCACCTGTCATTTGGATCAGATGGTTCTATTCCATTGGATTTAGAAGAGACTGACAATACAGCATTCAGATGTGCCATCAGTACGTGTCTCAACAACAACAACAAGAGCAATGATATCAGCAATGACGACAACAACAATATCAATACTAGCCAACTCAAATCACATAGACATGGAAAGTTTGATAGTGTAGATATATTCGATGTAGATGAACCATCTGTTGAGAGGATTCCTCCACAACAACAATACAATGACAATGTTGTTATTGATTGCAAGATAGTTGGAATGAAAGAGAGGACAAAGTTTGATGATGTTGATATATTCAATGAGGTGGATGATCGTGGTACTCAAGAGTCAATGAAGGAGAAGAAGAAGACAGAAACAACGACCACAACTACAACTACGACGACCAAGATGAAGAACAAATTTGGATCAATTGATATTTACAATTTAGATGACATGATCAATGATGTTACCAACACGAATGACAAAGGTGATGTTCGCCAATCAGATGCGTTGGACAATTCATTGGATCCTCCGAGCTACACATTCAGCTTTGGTGACATCAATGACAGCACAACAGATGTCAGCACAGACAAGGACACCAGCTATGACAGGGACAAATCAACATGTGGCGCCATCTTGAACAATTGCACCTCATTCGAGTTTGACTTTGGGGAGCTGGATAGCAATACAACGGCTACAACTACAAAGACCACATCCACAACTCCATCCACTACTCCACCCAAACCAACTACATCAACTACGTCAACAAGTAAAATGGCTGCACCAAATGTGTTGTTGGACAATATAACACCAATCAAGAAGGTGGACAAGAAGAGATACAACTATGATCTGATCACTGGATCAATCACCAAGCCGAGAAAGTCAACAAAGTGCTCAATGGCACAGACGCCACTACGTAGAAACAACACGATGCCATTATCTTTGATGTATCAGTCAAGTCTACTAGCTGACGACGATGACCCCTTCAAGAGTGTGAACAAGAGTGACGAGACTGATCAACAGTCACAGTCTGCTATGGGCTCAAGCCCAAACAACAAGAGTATAGCCCCCCAAGACAACCTGCACCACACATCACCAAGTCAAGGCGCCAGTAACAAGGTCACAAGAGATGGTAGTGGCACGTTGTACTGTCCGATATGTCAATGCAAGCCTACCAATGGACACGTATCACTCTGTGGACACATATGCTGTTGGGAGTGCTGGGGACAGTGGCTGTCCATTAAGTTGGAGTGTCCTGTTTGTCGAGAAAAGACTAGACTCAAACAAGTAAAGCCTGTTGTGGGGCAGACCTGATGTTGTATGTCCATTGTAATAATCCAATCCAATCCAATCCACCAGTCTTAAGTCTTTGTTGTTAATGTACACACCTTTAATTTGAGTTGAGTTGTGTCTAGTGTTCACAATGAAGGAGGATAGGTGTCGCCCCTCCCAAAGATAGTGCTATCGTTGTTGTAGTTTGTAGAGTTGTTGTTGTAGTAGGGTCGCTTGATAGATGATTGATTGATTGATTGACGTAATGATTGAATAATCTATTCTATCTATCCATATCTTTACTTTCTCCACCATGTCAGCAAGGCCTGCTCTCTCGAGATCTTCTTCTGCAGCTGCAGAATTCCATATACGAATGCTTCAGCAGTTGGTGGACAACCTGGGATGTACACATCGACTGGGACGATACGGTCACATCCTCTGACCACTGAATAACTGTAGTGATAATATCCACCTCCATTGGCGCAACTGCCCATAGAGACTACGTATCTATGTGTTTGTTTGGTTTGTTTGATTTGTTTGATTGATTAAGTTAATGATTGAGTCACAAGAGTTGAATTGAACTCTCATATACATACCTTGGCATTGGCATCTGATCGTAGACCTTGCGCAAAGCAGGTGCCATCTTGTTGGTTAGGGTACCGGCGACGATCATACAGTCAGACTGACGTGGGGAGGCACGAGGAATGACACCGAAACGATCCATATCGTAACGAGCGGCATATGCGTGCATCATCTCCACTGCACAACAGGCGAGACCGAATGTCATTGGCCAGAGTGAACCAGTACGTGCCCAGTTGACTAAACCGTCCAACTTGGAGATAACGATCTCTGGCAACGATGATGGTGGTGCTGGCTTGAATGATGATGCCAGTAGCTTCGACAGATGTGTGTGTGACATGTCTTTGTCCCTGTATTCTCTATAAATATAAAGTAGTAGATCTTATGTGATTGTTCAGGTATGTAGCAAGAACAAATGAGAGGGAGTAGGTGGAGAATGTGGGTGTTTGTTGTTGTGGCGAAAAATGAAAAACTGGACTTTTGGAACTTCCAATACAAGTATTGGATCATATTAAATGATGACATGACAATTGATCAAGCTTCGCTATTCTTTAATTTAATGTTTGATCTTAGACGTGAGAGAATGTTGTACTTGTGCTTGATGACGAATACCATGGCTAGGAGGAGTATGGCTGCACCAACGACTGAGCATACAACAGCGATGATTATCACTTTGTAGGACTTGGGCTGGCAGTTGGTAATATCATCCACTGCCACCAATGATTGGAAGCTGGGATCAATTAAACAATGTGATTTGAAGTATGGTACTACTATTGATGTCAACACTTTGTACTCTTTGTCATCGGCATTGATGTTGTTGTTTTTGTTGTTGAGAGCTGAGTAGAGAGGGTCTGAAGAAGGGAGTATGATGACCTTGGAGAAGACAACTCGGTCCTCCACATACATGTGAGTGGCGAATGAACCAGAGAGAACAGATTGACCAGCCACAACATAATACGATGATGCATCATCGTTCTGAGCCAACTTTGTCTTTGTACCACAATCATCATTGAGTTTGGCAACTGTCCTACTCTCAAATATGACCTCCAGGTTGTTGAGCGTCCATTTCGCAATGGCAACTGAGAATTTGACACTGTTGGCTGGTAGATTGATAGACTCTCCGGCAAACAAGATGGTCTGAGACACTGTGACCAGGGTCACATTCATATACACGGTCACCTGGTCACTTGGGAAACGACCAATTAGCTCTCCAGTGATATTGTTGGCGGTCCACTCAATTGTGGACATGGCGCGAGTGCGTACTATAGTGCCAACCGAATCACTCTCACGCAGATACACTATTGAGTTGATAAAGTTCACCTTGGATGGGTTGATTGCCGTGCCATTCTGGATGATGGGAAGACCTCCTGGCGATGTTGGGAGCGAACAGTCATTGTAGGTCCATCCAGGGTGACAGAGGCATCGTCCAAAAACGAGATCAATATCACCATGTCCATTGCAATCTATAGTTGTTCGATTGTTTGGATTAGAGTAAAATACATTATACACACCCGATATTCCACTTGATGTGACGTTGACCGGTAGAGACTCCAACTTATTGTTGGCTTGTGGAACCTTTCCATCAAACAGGCAATGAATCACCTTGTCAGATATACGCGTGACATTATAGCATTGATCGCCACCGATTGAGACGCTGAGATATTGACCAAAGTAGTTGCCCGTGATTGTAATCTTAGAGGTGATGTTGGCAAGTCCTGGCGTGGATTGGAGAATGTATGGCGAGAGGTAGCTAAAGTTGAAAGCAGGTGAGTTGACCCCGAGATGTGTGATCACCAATGATTGATTCTGCACAATGATCCTATCGGTGGGTGCCAATGTACATGTAATAGTCTGTGCCGGGACGACTACTTGGAGATTGGTGCATGGTGTAGGTCCGACCTTAACAACCAAGTTGGCCAACTCCTCATAGTAGATTGATCCAGTGATTGTCACCTGGCCACCATTTGTTCCCACAACTGTAGTGGTCTGGACTTTTGATGAATCATACTGGATTGTTTGATAGTTGAATGAACGATATTGGTGTCCATTGTATGGGAGGGTCACGTAAACCTTGTAGGGTCCACCTGATCCAGGAGGTACAGGCAACACCACATCTGTGCCAAAAAAGTCACGTTCAACAACTACCGCCGATGAACTACCTATCAGGAAAGTGAAGGGATCAAATGGAGTTCCACGTTGGGGTGTGACGCTGTAGGTGATGTTTGTACCCTTGGATGACACAACTGATATCGGATCAGTCTCAATATATTGAAGGTCCAGTTTAGGATAATGAACACTCAAAGTACCATACCATCCACCATCTTGAGCTGTTTAGTCAGCTGTAGTTGCATCATATACATAGTTGGAGCTCAACTCGGTAGGCATCAGTTCCTTATCAATCTGTGCTGGTTCAGTTCCATTTGGTCCATCCACACTCATGAACTTTGAGTCTATAGGGAGAGAGTTAAGGATGTAAGTGAGGGTAGATGGGATCAATCAATAAAGTACACTTACCAATGACGGATAGTGAGGTCCACGCTTGATAGAATGTTGGGGATACATTGAGAGCATTGGCGAATGTTGTCTTTGCCATCGCGGTCATATACTCAAGGACACCACTAAAACTTGGTGTGTTGACGTATGTCAAGTAACCAGTATGACCAGCCAAAGATGAGTCATGGGTATACTTCAATGAGTCCTGGAAGCTCGTGCCAGAGTTCCATATCGAGAAATATGATGAGTTGAAATCTGATTGATTCGATCCCGTTAGTGATTGTTTTAGAGTTTGAGAGGATCTAATGAACATATGTACATATCAAGGGTTTGAAAGATTGTCCCCAGACAGTGTGTGGATGGCTCGTGGCGCTGGCGCTTCTTTGTCGCTTCGCTCACATTACGTCGCTATCGCGACTTCATTTCCTATTTAATACAGTTTCAATTCTGCTTTAATGCTTATATTATACTATCTTTATTCTCTCTACAATAAATAGAATAAAAACAGATATGGTAATGATATTGTAGAGATGTAGAGAGAATAGAGCAATAAAAGTGATTAGAACAATTTTAAAAAGCGTCCAAAGCTGTCTCAGAGCTCCATCTATCTACATGGATCAAGTCGGCATCAGAGGACGGGTAACAGCACGCACATGAGGAGATATTGGTGGGGCATCAATGGATGGGTAACGTGCTCTATTCACCAAAAGTGCACCAACAAAACATCTGTGAGGGGGTGTGATACACAGTTAAAATAGGAGATTGGTGATAACTTTTAAACTGCTGAAACTAGTTTTTGAGAGGAATGTTGAACTGTTGAATCTCTGTCATTGGTGTCTTGACACTGAAGGATGTGAAGTCCTGGTTGTACTGGATGTGCCAACAATGATCTCTGATAGGTGAGTCCTTTGAGGTGAAGTTGAGGACCGCCCACTGAGTGATGTCTTTGTCGACCATATTGTAGTACTTTCCACCTGGAAGGAATCTGTTAATGTGTTCGTCCAATGTTGCTGGTTCGCCCTCTCTTAGCAGCTCGATTGCCCACTTCTTTCCTCCGTTGATATAAAAATCGACATATCCGGTTGATTTGAAACATGGGCCAACGTTTGGACTGATGTGGATGTTTGTCCCAACCAATTTGGTTGCGGCATGGAAGAACTCGTTCTGCCAGACTTGTTCGTTTGGTTTAGAGTCGCGCTTGGTTTCGACTGATTTGTGCTCCAATGCTTGTTGAGACCCAAGTAGGATTGAGGACCTCATTCTCACCAATGAATGGTAGATGAAGTCTCCAAAATCTGTTGGTTGATAGCTTTCCGAGACTTTTGAACCAAACAGTTCTGTGTAGTAGAGCGTTCGAAGAAGTGGGCAGACAAACTTGAAAGTGGAAGTTTGTGCATCATCGTGCATGAAATCATCCTCATCGTCCTCATCGTCCTCATCCTCATCCTCATCCTCATCCTCATCCTCGTCATCCTCATCATTCTCGGTTATGAGGTCCTGGGGGCTCACTTGTAGCGAGGACGATGAAGTTGGTGTGTCCACATCCATGGGAGTACTGATGATATCAGGTACGATGGCTCCTTTCTTGACCAAACTCTGAATAGGAGCCTATGTATATCATATGTGTTAACCAATTTATCCTATTGTTGTTGTGGGATTGCGAATACATACACCAAACGGCGCAGAGAAAAGCTGGGAACGCTGGAGAGAAAGGAGCATGGACGATAACACCTCGTTCTCTTGTTTGGAGAATTGATTTGGTCTTTGGTAGGCTCGGCTACCCTTTGCAGAGTCATAGAACTGTTTGGAGTGAAGATACAGACGAATCTCGGAAGGATCGATGATCTGCTCCTTTGCCTTGTCCTTGAACCTGTTGTTCAATCCTTTAAGTGCCATGACGACAAGTCCAACATGCCCACTAGTCATTTCCCAAAGGAGTGATTGTAGCTCGGGAGTGAATGGGAGCTTCGTTCTCTTTCGAGACAAGCTCTTTTCCTGAAGAAACTCAGAGAGCTCCGATTCAGAGAAGTTAAGGTGATCAATGCCAAGACAGTGAACTATGTTGACTGGTGTGCAGAGTCCGTCAATGTATCTCTGGTAGTATGCTGACACAAGAAGAATTGACAGCTTGGGGAGGGTGGACCAGATTTGAACAAGTCCCTTCATCTTTGTCCAAAACTGATGGAGTGGTTGGTTGATCTGTGTGTATGTGAGTTGTGTTTCGTCAACGATGAGGAACACTGGATGTTCTGAGGCAAGAGAAGTGATTGCATTCCATGAGGTACCAGCGAAATGTTCCCATGATGTTTCGAAATCCTCATTTGATTTCTGACTCCAAACAAATGAATATCTGCGGACATATGTATCCATGATTGTCAATGATGAACTGCTCCAGCAACTGAGTGATTGATGTCTTTCCAGAGAAAGGTGGGGCACGAAGGAGGACCAAGTGATGTTTCGAAACATAATCGTACAGCTTCTTCACTGTGTTATGTCTCGGGAGTGTATTGCGTGATCCAATAGTGATGCCTTCATCGGACTGCTCTGATAGGACACTCGGTTTGAGTTGTCGTGCGAATGGTATGTCTAATATAAAAGTGAGAAGTTAGCATAGTAAGCAAACACATCACTCACTCTCATTTGTACTTACGAGCTTGGCCTCCTTGTGATCCTATAGGGGCAGCAGGGGCTTGAGTGTGTATGTTAGTATTGAATGAAGACATTGCCAAGATATTGTTTGTACTTACGAGTTGGTTGTGAAGGCACAATCTTGAGCAACAACGACCCATCAGCCAGTCTAGGAAGTGCTGACAACAAAGTGTTGTTCAATATTGGGAGGAATCTTGATTGACTTTGATGCATCATCAAGATACACTCTATTGGGTATTTGTGCCATAATACAAGTGAATGTATGAGATAATAAGGGTGTGATGAGTGAAGACAATAGATAATTATGTGACAAAGATTGAGAGTATAACTGTACAGATAATAAGAGGTGTTGGAATGCGAAGACAAGTGAAGTTGTGTGGGGATGAAAAAAGTTGTTCATTTTTGATTGACCTCAATATTACCTCTCTACTATTCTACATTTCTTAACATCTTGCTCACATGATCACTCCATTGATTGACCTTGATCTTCTTTGTGAGCAGTTCATCCAGTACATCACCTGAGCTAATGTTGCAATTCTTGCCGTGTGCCATTGCATCTGACTTTAGTGATAGAATCATCCAATTGAATGCGAACCTCTTGACTGACATGAGGTCATCCTCATCCTCAACCTTTGGTGCCGGTGTCTCCTTCTGTTTCTTTGCAAATAGACCACCAGGTTTCTTGAACAGATTGCTGTTTGATGTTGGTGATGTCGTCGATTGTGATGGTGGTGGTGGGGATGGAGCACTTGAGGTTGGAGCCTTCTTCTGGAGCAATGCCATTTGTTCGCTCAATGTCTTGACGTGTTCATTCAACAACTCCTTCTCTTTCTCTAATTGAATGATCCTGTTCTCGTTGTCCTTGATCCTCTTTTGATTGTTTGTCTCCAACTCTTTGGTTGATGATGTTGGCGTTGGGGTGGGAGTTGGTGTTGGCGTTGGCGTGGAAGTTTGTTGCTGCTTGGACAACTTGTCAATCTGTTCTGACTTAACCTTGATCTCTTTGGCTTTCTCCTGGACATCCCTTTGAAGCCTGTCCACCTCCTTTTGTAACTTGTCGATGGCCTCTTTGTGTGACTTGTCTTGTTCCTTCTTGGAGTCTGGTGATTGTTGTTGTTGGGTGAGCTGTTTGATCTGTTTCTGTGCATCTTGTAGTAGAGCGTCAACCTCCTTTGATTTGGAGGCCTGTTCATCAAACTTCTTCTTCAGCTCTACGTTCTCATTCTTTTGTATCAATAGCTTGTCCTCTAATGATTGATTTGATTCCTTTAGCTCATTGACCAACTCTGTAATATACTCCTTCTCCTCTTGCACACATTTGATATTCTCCAATTCATCCTGCCACTTATTATTCAACTGATGAGCGTATGTCTCCAACACCGATCTTTCCTTTGCATCCTCTGCCGCCTGTTTCATCAACTGATCAATCTTTGACATCGCCTCTGACAACTTCTCTTCCACTGATCTTTTATCTTGAGTTGATTGATTGATTGAGTGAGTGAGTTAGTATGATTGATGGATAATTTGGGGATGGAACTATTCCAGCCAACTCAAACTCACCTTCTTTACCCAAGTCACCAGACTTGATCTTGTAGAGGATGGTATTGTTGATTTCGTATAGTACGTTAAAGTCCTCAACCATACACTTGACAATGTCCATGGTGTAGTTGGTGGCGTTCATCATTGTTTCGAATGACTCCTCCTTGGGTCTGAGCAATGTTGGCGCAAACACAATGGCAATATTGGCAGAGGTCATCTTGTTCTTCTCTTGGTGCACCTGCAGAGTGTACAGGAATTTAAGTACCATCTGGAGTATCTCTGCATTCTCCTTTGGCAACGCTGGCAACAATGACTTGACGAATGATATCTTTGCATTCCTGTCTTTGATATCATATGCACCCAAGAAGTTCTTGTACAAATCGAATGTCAACAATGGCTCATCCATATCCCTAAGGAACATCTTCAATGCTCCACTAATACTATGTTTATCTTGTATCTTGCCCAAGTCTACATCCTCATCTGATTCATTTCATTAGATTGGGATTGATTTGATTAGTGTGTGTGTGTGAGAATGAGTGTGTATGTGTGGCTGGGAGTACGGAAGGACACTTACCATTTTCCAATGACTTCTTCAACTCCTTGACCTTTGTGATATTGCCAGATATCCTACAGAGGCCTTCTATCTCTATACAGTTGTCCAATAGGTAGTTGACCAACTTCCTCAGCGCCACAATAACAACTTGTTTCTGTTTCTTCTTCTTCTCGCTTGGCTTCAAAATCTTCTTCAAAGTTTTGGAGACTGCTTTCTTTTTTGCTGTTGGTTCCATTATTATATCTATCTATCTGTATTTATTTATTAAGTAGTCAACAATGTTTTTTGGGGGTGAACCAAAGCAAATCAAATCAAGTCACTGACAGGTTTTGCACTCCAATCGATTGGATCGAATATTTGATACACATCAAAAAAGCCCACTTTTTATTTGAATGCTGGCACGTAAAACGATCCGTTTCAATGAACATTCATTGTATTGGTATTCACCAATAGCATGAATCTAGATTTTGTTCTTGATTTCCGAAGTCATGATATCATTGACTAATGTTGTTGTCGTTTCGTACTTTCTAGTTTATTGACTTTAGGTCGACTAATCAGTTTAATAATCCATTGGTGGCTGGGCTGGGGCTGGGATTTTTTGACAAACAATCCAAGTAAGTAAGTGATTGAGATATAATTGCTGGTGATTGATTGAATGATTGAATACATACCTGGATCCTCCTTCTTTGGCAGCTCAACAACCATAGCCTCGGTGGTGGTCATGAGTGATGCAACGGATGCGGCGTCAACGAGTGCGGTCCTGACAACCTTGGTTGGGTCGACGATGCCGGCCTTGATCATGTTTGTGTATACACCCTTCTGGGCGTTGAATCCAATCTCGACGTTGCGACGAGCCATGAGCTTGCCAATGACGACAGCGCCATCAAAACCAGCGTTGTTGGCAATGGTCTTGCATGGCACCAAGAGGGCATCGCGCACAATCTTGACACCAATCGTCTGGTCAAAGTTCTCCATCTTGATTCTGCGGAGAGCGCGGGTCGAGTAGAGAAGGGCCGTGCCACCACCTGGCACGATGCCCTCCTCGACGGCGGCGCGAGTAGCGTTCAGGGCATCGACGATGCGGTCTTTCTTCTCGCCGACCTCAACCTCAGAGGCGCCACCAACGCGGATGACGGCAACACCGCCAGCCAGCTTGGCCAGACGCTCTTGCAGTTGTCCCTTCTCGTACTCAGAGGTGGTGCGTGTGATGGACTCGCGGATCAACTCGACGCGCTCCTGGATGGCGGACTTCTCGCCGGCGCCGTCCAGGATGATGGTGTCGTCCTGGCTGATCGAGATCTTCTTTGCCGAGCCAAGCATGTTGATGTCAAAGTTGTCGATCTTGACGCCGAGCTCCTCGCTGACGACCTGGCCTCCGGTGAGGGCGGCGAGATCTTGCAACAGAACCTTTCTTCTGTCACCAAAACCTGGTGACTTGACGGCGCACACCTGCAGGCCTCTCAACTTGTTGAGGATTAGTGCGGTCAAAGCATCAGACTCTACACTCTCTGCAATGATCACCAACTTTCTTCGCTGAGCGTGAACATTCTCCAAGATTGGGATCAAGCTGTGAACGTTTGATATCTTCATATCTGCCAACAAGATCAATGGGTCCTCGAATTCCTGTTGTTGTTGTAATGTATTCAAGGTTAGCCTATGGGGGAGCGAGGTCCAGGTTGGTCCACCGAGATGATGATACTTACACACTTCTGGGTCTTTGGATCAGTGATAAAGTATCTTGAGATGAAACCTTGGTCGAACTTCATACCCTCGATAACTTCCAACTCATCCTTCAATGTCTTTCCATCCTACATTAATATGTTTGATTGAGTGTGATCAAAGTTAGTCGTGGCCACTCACTAACTCAATCAATCAATCAAACTTACTTGAACAGTGATGACACCCTCCTTTCCAACTCTCTCCATGGCACTGGCAATGAGGTCACCGATGACCTTGTCACCGTTGGCAGAGATAGTGGCTACCTGAGAGATCTCCTCGGTGGTGGTGATGGGACGAGACATCTTTTTGAGCTCACCGAGCACTGTGTCGACGGCAAAGTTGATTCCACGCCAGAGGTCCATTGGGTTCATGCCTGCAGCGACGGCCTTGCAACCCTCGGCAAAGATGGCCTTGGTGAGGACGGTGGCAGTGGTGGTGCCATCACCAGCAATGTCGTTGGTGTTGGAGGCGACGCCCTTGACGAGCTGTGCGCCCAGGTTGATGTGACGGTCCTTGAACTCGATGTGCTTGGCCACTGTAACACCGTCCTTGGTGATCTTGGGAGCACCGAATGGCTGGTCCAAGATGACGTTGCGGCCCTTTGGGCCGAGGGTAACCTCGACGGCAGCGGCCAACTGTTCGACACCACGCAGCATCAGAGCGCGACACTCTGAGCCAAACTTTATGTCCTTTCCAGTGGAGTAGTTCCCTTGAAAGGAACGTGCTGCTGTTCTTGACCAATATTGTTACCTGTCTTATCACTGAATGTCTCAACATCTTTCTCTCTCTATCTAACTAATTATGTGAATAAATGTATTACTATTGATTGAATGAATGATTGATTGATTGATTCTTAGACTGATGATTATTGATTAGGTAATCGAGTGTGTCACACTAAAAGAAGATGTTCGCCAAAACAATTAGTCGAGTAACGTTACTACCGTAGCAGAAATGGCAAGATTGATTAGAAGGAAGGAATCAAAAGTTTGAGAAGGGCAAAGGTTGTGAGAGGGTGTGATAGATTGATTGATTGTAGTATTTATCTTGAGATATATATTTATAATAGTAGCAGTAACATACATGAAGAAGGAGAAGCTTCCGACAAAGTGTCGTGGATTATCGCCAAATGCATATCCAGAAGGCACCAAACACTGTCGACATGATCTGTGTGGAGAAGGATGMTACGACAATGTGGAAGTTGCCAATAGGATGATACGAACTAACTCCACAAGGAACACCCATGAGACCACTGTCCACCACGTCTGTTGTTGTGAAATACAAGATTGCCAAAGATGTAGGAATGGTGCCAGGGTATTCAAATCCATTCCTGTACAGACACCAAGTGCCAACCTGGTTCCTGCACAGTTGCCAAGTGCGTCAGTCGAGACTGATCATGACATGGTGGTCAGCCACCAACATAAGAGGAAGAGCCCTGACACTCCAGATACCAGCACTGTTGGAGAGGGCCCCCGTGTCGCTTGCCAACACGATACTTGCAAAAGGACGTTCAGCACGTCACAGTACAGAATCGACAACGAGAGGACCGTGTCGCACACGATGTGCTCTTTGGAGTGCAAGGCCTGCATGGCGTACGACAAGATCTGTAGCCAATGCAATTGCCTCAAGAGCCCGAGCACCGACGACATCCTCTTGGTGGTCAAGGCAGTGTCTGAACTGTCGACTGGAAACAGGAGTGCTATCCTYCAACACTTGGTGTCTTCAGAGTCCTTAAAGATAGCAACTGATGAAGTCCAGATGGAGGTTGGTAAGTTGAGTTGTTGGTGGAATCACATGTAAACTCAGGGTTTGAAGATGGGTAGGTAGGTATAAACCGATGCTTTTTTTTACCTACCCATTCATCAAACCGGCTCTTTTTGTAAGACAAATACCGACCGTTCACCTGACCTATTTATAAAAATTGAACCTATTTCGGTTCGAACCGYCTTTTTTTTTKTGKGGGGGGGCTATTCCCCCCGAAGGGAATTGGTCCCAAAAACCCCCCAATGGAATAATTCCGGTTCAACTTCAATGATCAACTTCATCAATGCAATTTTTATWCTTTTTCATTTTATTGACATTTGTTTCGTGAGGTCYGCGGAAGTGTGAGTAGTTAGTTGACAGTCATTCAAAAACAAAGAGGATACATGATACATGATACAGGTCAATGGATACTTCCATCACCTTATGTCCAATCACTCACCATATATCCATCCATACCATCTATATCATCCACACGATACACGATCACATACTGATACACTATAAAGAGACAGAGATATGATAACAATTACCTTATTCACTGATGATCTTATTTGAATGATTCCAAAGGAATAGGAGCGATCATACASACATGATATACAGGACACCATACAGGCAATCAAACACAGTGTGATATGGCTGTGATGGCGGCTCGCTCCGCGAATACCTAACCCTACCGACGGCCCGGTGGAACCAAACCGTCTTAGTACCTACTCATTCTTCATCGGTTCGACCTGATGCAYTTGATGGGTAGTAAAATACTCAAACCGACGAACCGACCGACCCATCTTCAAACCCTGATGTAAACAAACGAGCCATCTAACTTACATTATTATAATCCATCCAATMGATGAGATTGTCAACATGATCACAGTCCAACAACGCGCGAGAGCAGATTCAGMACTTTGGAGAAGATGACACAAGAGGAGGTCAAACAGCTTTAATATTCCAAGAGCAAGATCCSTAGCAGGAACTGGGACGGAGCAACATCTATCGCTGAATCAATACTTGGAGAATGATCGGACACACTTGTTCATCAAGCACTTCAAAGAGTTCACAAAACTCATGTGACACATCTCGAGTTGATTGCTACTTAGGAGGACCGGAGTCTGCACGACGATGACGAGCCCAGGGTGCTTCACCGAGGGGAGAACGTGAGGCGACCAAAGAAAAGGCCCAAGCTCAAGAACGTGGATCGCTTTGTGGCAGTGGCCATATCGCACAGGAATCATGCAGTGCTGCAGGTGCTGTTCGAGTACAACGTACAGCTCAATCAGGTGTATGTCAACCTTCTCACCAATGTCCACATCAACTCGACGATCAAAAACAATGGCGCCAACTTTATGGCCTTCATCATTGACGCAAGCTCGAGACACCAGAATCAGAATCACTGCCATCCCATCACACTCAATATGATCAATTGGCAGGACATTGTCGACTACAACATCTTTAGGCTGTTGTTTGGCATCATCCACAGGTTTAGGCGCTCCTTCCAGCCCGAGCTGACAAGATCGATTGGCTCGCTCGAGAATTCGCTGGCTTTTGTTGGCTCGATCTTTGTGCTCTGGGACAGAATCAGGCTGGATAATGCTGTCAACCTGCTCGTCTCAACACTGACTCACTACACGAGCATGGAGATACTGGACCTGGTCCATCAAGGTTATCCCTCTCTCTTTGCCGACTACTCCCAGGTACTCAATGTCAACTGCATCGTAGTCAACAACAAGCTCTTCAAAGGTGAAAATGCCGTGGCAAATCATATGCATTTTCCGTGGTGACAAGAGAAGCTGGCTACCCACGAATTGTTTGACAACCAATAACCAGACATTCAACAGATATTCAATTTACTCAACGATGATTTATTTAAAATCAGCGTTTCCAACACTTGTTATACCAATTGCGTATCATCGCTGTGTCGCTTGCATATTTGTTGAATGCTTGGATAATGCTTTCGAGGAAGGAGGCGGTCCTGTTCCTGTCTCGTAGTTCCAGTACGTCGGAAGTAGCACGAACTTGACGTTGATGGCATCTAAAATCGAGGTGACCAATGGCCAAACGTCCCTTTGAAGATGAATACTTGCTTTGTCAAGTATGATGTAAGTGTTGGGCCTGATATATCGATCATTAACTGCATTGATGATGAACGAGAGGAAGGTGAGACTAGTGTTTGAGTCACCATCTGTGTGATCCTTGGCCTTTGCATACGACCCAGATGTGGAGATAGCCATCATGGCAAATGATTCTCTGAAGCACTCTGGGTTCACTCGAATAGGTTGGTCAATGCCAGTAGCACCAAGCACCTTTCTCTTCCAACATTCTATGGTATGATATGGTTAGTATATATATACAACGGCGTGCACATTGACTATATGTAATTGTATTTCTTATTATTTATGTTATATAGTTTCCTTATTAGAGAAGTGAAGAGATAGAAGTGATAGATCAAATGGAGAGTGAGGGTGTAAGACTTGATTGCTGCAAACTTKAGTATTGAAGGGCGAGAGTCTTTTTTGCCCATAAGTCGTCGCCAACACTAATCGCTTAAGCCATCGATGCTGGGGCGACCCTTGTTGGTTGGAAACCACTTATCGAGTAGCATCTAGACTTGGCCAAACTAATATGAATGGTCCAAATGATATGACCGCGGTGATGACCCTCAGACAGTRGTGTGAGTGTGAGTTACAGATGTCCCCAACAGTCTTCTCCTTTGGCTTGCGATCTATAATATTCACACTTGTAAACCTTGATATCCTGCCAAACAGTTCTGAAATGCATTGTAGGTCAGTCAGTCAGGTATGGTGATGAGATTGAGTGTGTATTCACCTTACCCTCGAGAAAGATCATAGTTCGATAGAAGGTTGGCGGGCAACGAGAATTTGTGGAGCTCCATGCTTTAAGGGTGATGTCAGAGCGTTACTTCTCCAGGTCTAGGGCTGGTCGCCAGACTTCTTTGTTCGCCTCTTTGCTGCATCCCTCACACCAATTTGCCGTTCCAGATCTCTAGATCACRATACTATCGTTGGGACAAGTTTACGTTTGTGACCACCTTGTCTGCCAGGTCCACATGGCAGACTTGTATATACATAGTCAAAACTTGGATGTCCTCCATTGATGATACTCCATCAAGCTCGTCCAAGGTACCTCTATGCATCGASAACTGTTCTTGGCCTTCCTCAACCTTTGACTACGTGTATCCAGTTTGGCCTGTTCTGTGGTGTTGATTGCTTCATCACGACAAGAAMTTGATCAGGTGTTTGTCCTTTTCTTTGTCATATGTGYAGGATCTCGTCACGCCAATGACGTCGATAAAGTTGTGCAGCGGGTCGCTAGTATTGGCGAGACGTCAGCTTCTTGACTCTTCTCCTCGSGCTGCGAGGTGTGCTTGTGGTAGTACTCGAGCAGGTACTGGTTGGCCTCAAGCTCGGACGGGCGTACCCCTTGTACTTGATCTGCTGTTGGTCAGTGCCCACGAGCTTTYGAGACCAGACACGCACCACCATTAGAGGAAAGTGTCGATAGTATATTGAYGTTCTTCTGCTGACATAGTCGGTATAGCTCCTTKACTACACAAATTGTTCATTGCACAWCGGYAATCCAAAAGTGATGAAAGTTGAGTCCATGTTGTGCAATGACGAGCCTAATCATGGATGGAGGGATGCCAACAGCGAGACATATCCAGAGACTTTAGCAGTGCTGTGTCGATGACTTTGTGGARTACGTCCACACATCGACTTTTCCAGAAATGCATGTGTCCTCTTTGAGATCSTCTTCGTTTCTATTCATATCCAGCCGTTCTGGATAGATACAGTGTTAGTCTGTCAGTCAGACAGTTAGCGCGATGAGATGAGTGTATGTGTGATCACGTCTTACCAACGACAAAGATTTCAGTTCGATAGAG